ACCTTTATGTCAAGCACCTTAAAGTTGAAAATCCCTCCCCATAATTTCCAGATTTCTCTCATATTGTTGACAGATGGTTGAAAAGTCACTACACGTGTATCCATGTTTGTAATAATGATCTTTCTTTAATTGGTCCAAACTAAGAGTTTTTTTAGGAGAGTAATTTTAAGGAGAGCTTTATTCAGCTCACCAGTGAGCGAACTAAAGAAAAAAAAAGTGTTAGCTACTTCAATACATCTCTCACAGATGAGCAGAATGACAAGTTACCTCAGAGAGCAATCATACCTTGCCTGGAGCATATCACAACTTGTAAAAGGCTTGTTCAATGCTGAAGAATTGATGATTGACAAGATGGATAAATTAAAACATTCTTTTGGGTGAATAAATGATATCCTTTAGGATGGATAAATGATAACTTCCTTTCGGATAAATGATAACTTCCTTTCGGATGAATAAATGATAACTTCCTTTAAGATGGGAAAATGATAAGCTACTTTAGAATGGATAAACAATAACTTCCTTTAGGATGGATAAATGATAACTTCCTTTAGGATGGAAAATGATAAAATGAATGAATGAAAGCAAGAGAGAGAGAAATGGGGTTGAACATCCACTCACACAAACTAGGTTATTTCAGGACAGTAAGAATGAAAGCTAGGACAGTAAGAATGAAAGCTAGGATAGATGAATGAAAACAAAGTAAAGAGGATTTGTGAATGGAAACATGGACAAATGCATGAAGTCCAAATTTACAAAACTTCCCCTAAAAACCTTTCGGAATACCACACATTATACAGTAAATAACAAACAAACATCTGTATAGTTGTTGGGATGTACCCATATTATGTAGATATTCGTGAAATGTGACAAATTACCTACAGAATGAGAAATAATCCCAGATTAAACACAGGTAACAATGAGTAATCATATACAGGTAAATCATAGGTAAATAATCCAAGTCAAAAATAGTATGGGTTGATCGCGACTTTTAGATTGACAGTCATGAATTGACAAGGAACAATACAGTGTGATGTGGGAAAGAGGACAAGAGAGAGTGATTATTTGTTTGTTTACTGACCATTGTCCACTGAACCATGTATTAAAACATCTCAACTGGCATTATTGACCACACGAAATCTTTAAATAATAATTGTACAGCTTTAATATACCATACAGCTAACTTGAACAAACTCCTTCAATGTCTATAATTTATGAGAAAATTACAGAAGACAATTTTAAACTATTTATTTTTCAGCATGGTTTTCCCTTGTCATTGGTGCAAATAGAGGGCCTGGCAAGGAAAAGTGTGGATGGGATGAAAAACCATGGTCTTGTGTATACATTGGCATGTACGTAAAAGACCCCTTGATAGTTGAAAATCAACAGTAGGCCCTTTCTTACCCCATTTAATTTATCTGTTCATTTGATGTTCAATGCGCTAATATGTTTGCTTTTTAACTTTAACTAAATTACCTGGGGTGGGGTTGGGTGAGGGGACCATTCATGTATCTGTGGCTACATGTAAAAACAAAATATTTACATGTATCCATGATGGGAAAATCCTATTCTACTTGTATCTTTCAAATGTAAAAATCCTGCCATTAAAAATATGGCTGTTTGTTTGTGCTTCATTTTGAGCTGTTCTTGGATTTTGTTCGAATGACTCAACAATAGAAGATAATCTCAAAATTTCCACCTGTTTTGAAATATTTTCCATACAAACATGGCCACCAATCATGAGTAACGAGTGAGTTAATGACCAATCTGATTAAAATACAGATCCTATTTCGTTTTATTTTTTGTAGTTCAAAATTTCATTTTACTTGTCTTTAATACACTAGAATCTGGAAGAGTTGTTAACCCATGGTTTGGATGATGTGAAGGATTAGCCAATGAAACGATCTGTTATGGCGAGTTTTTGGCGTGAGGTGCACGGAACTGTGGGTAACCCACTAGAAACATCAACGCTGATTGGTTAACCAAAAGTCACTCACATGACCTCTGACACAACCTTCCACTACAAACAGTCAGATCTTTATGTAGTGTAGGTCATTGAAAGTATAAAAAAAAAAAAATGAAACAAAATATAGATCTGTATTTTAATCAGATTTGCTAATGACTATCAATATTACCCTTTGGTATACTCGTACTATGAACACAAAAAATGAGCCCTTTGGTTGGAGTCAATATCCTATGCAGCAAGTGCAAGCATACTATGGACCAGGAAACGAGCATGACGTCATCACAGCCATCTTGGAACTGTCTCATGTCGATCGAACTTGAATTGGCCGTGCCTCAATTTTTTTTTTCGAAGAGCGGCATACCAGGATGCAGAACAAGATGAGTGGCATCTGGGATCAAGTTCTTTGTCATAAAATTCCCGGAATTCAAGCTTGATGGACATCAAAAATCTACAAGTGACTTAAACCATAAATATGTGACCTCTGTTATTTTCTAGTACGACTAATAATAAATCTATAATAGTCGTGATTTTATCTAAACCATATCAATATATATAACCACAATTATATCTGTTCTATTTCTATAACACTCCTTTTAATTTCATATGACATCATGTCAAATAGGATGGTATTTAGTGATAATAATAGCAAGCGTGTCGACAGGATCAATAATAGATAATCAATCAATCAATTATAATAACGACAGTGATTTGCTGTTTATCTACATACTTGACATTCCTCAAATAGTTTCTACCAGTTAGTTGAATGAACTGTCTCTCTCTCCATAACAATACTAACAGTCTGTTTACATTAACTTTACATACATAATACTTACTGACCAGTCACATACATCAAAATATACAAGTTATTTACATATTGTCCATATTAATTCAAGGTGGTCATATAACACTGACTGACTAAAATGGCCACTGTCCAGTCAAACATCATTATATATACATGTACAGGATAATTATACTGATATAAATGAAATAAAATGAGGCTTTTATGTCCTACTTTTCTGCACCCAGCTCATTAATGAAAACAGGCATTATGACTGACTATTGTTCGGACAGAAGCATTTCTGTCTAATAGTAATATTCTTTGGAATTCCAACTGTCAAGACTTCTTTTAAATGTACGCCAACAAGTACATGTATACGAGCAAATCTCAGTATTTTGTCCCATCTAAACACCTACATGTACATGTAGATACTTGCAAGGAGAAACTAAATTGCAAAATCCAGAAGAATTTTCTCTACCAACAAAGTGATCGAACTCCGGATGATGTAGCGCCATACTCACTGAGCAGTACCATGTTTCCATGGCTTTTGTAGTATTTTTTTAAAAAATAAAATGTGGTTCTCATTATATGTGTTTAGTATGTGTGTTTTTATTTTAGGATCAAGAGTTGTTTCCTGTCACATTAATTACAGTTTTTATAAATGACACAGTCATCAAAATATAGAGTACATGAATCTAACATTCCACAAAGTTTTAGGCCTAATATTTGGGTACTGTACTATATTTCTACTAAATGCAGATCATCTGGACCTTCCATGTAACATACATGTATGTAGGCCAATTGCCAAGTCAACACCTAATGGTAAATAATGATCACACGAAGCCTACAATTACATGATTCAGTATTATCACCATATGTGGTCCAATGACTATTATATGTACATTGTATAAAGTGAATAAACATCTTTAGGTAAAACATATGTCATGTCAACACATTGTGAAATAATTCCTCTTTTCATTGAATACATCAAAATAAAGTCATTTTACTAAGTTCTACCATAAAAATGTATAGGTCAAAAGCTTGGAATATATTATTTGATGTTGGCAAATTAAATGTCTGATTCAATTCTTAAGTTATGTGTGTCTTAGTCTTACAGTATTTTTAGATTTTATATAGAAAGAATTTCCTGGTAAGTTTTCAGCAACATAACTGGAATAATGATAAGATTTTGTCTGAAAATTTAAGAGCAATATATGTAGCCAGCTATCTTTTATCTCATACTACTACAATCTACATGTTCACATGTTCTATATCCCTGTATAACCTACTGTACTAACTCAACTAACCAGAGAATTGTCTATTAATCATTAAATTGTCATAGTCAGGAGAGAAAACTTTTACTTTTTCATTTATTTCGTTATTTAATTGCATTTCAAGTCAAATATAAAATTACTTCAACCAACGCCCTGCCAATAAAATATTAATTGATTATGTAAAGAAATCAATCAATCAGTTTAAAGCAGTAAATCAGTACTGCATGTATAAATAATCAATCAGGGTTGTATGTATTACATATTTATAAAAAAAAACCGAACATTGTCGACTTTGATGTGATGTGTGATTCATCATCTTATCACGTTTATTTAATCAACCACTGATTGATTTCACCTGATAAAAACTTTACATGTATAATGTAATAACAACCATTTTATAGAGCACCTTAATGAATGAAATGGAATTGTATAGCAATCCAGCTCCAACTGGGCTACATGTACTGCACCAAACTAGAGTAAGGTACCTGAACTCTCATGTCCTGCTCAGTTGTACCATAACATTTTGTATAAAATCAAACCACAAAAAATCGGAGAAATAGGGTTTCATGTCCACAAACTAGGTAATATCTGGTATTTTATTTCAATATTTTTGTGAGTAGCCCAATATAAAAAGCTACACACTATACCCCTTGGCACTGGTAATAATGGTACTGTAAAATCATACGGGAAAGTATGACACATTTAAAAAGAGTTAGACTACAGTGTTTTGCACAAGACCCTTGTTAAACTCGTTGAATACATATGTAAGACTAGCAAATTGAAAAATCAAATTTAAAGAGCTTATATCAGTAATGGTTTTGTAAAACCTTCTGTTAGGACTTACATACATGTTCAACACATTCTGAACACTCCTGTTTTAACTGTGCAGTCAAGCCGTAAATTCATTTTTTTTTACAGACCATCTAAGATCTTCAATTCTAAGCACAAATGCCTTTAAAAAGAAATAAATATAAAGTCTACTCACCGTCCAATGTTTCCCTCAATGGTATATTTATCTGTTAACGGTTCGGTCTTAATACTACTGGAAGGAACATATTTCCCCTTTAATCCATTCATAATTAATCCTCTTAATACTTGAATCTACTCTCCTCTCTCTTCCTTTCACTTCTTGTTCTCAATACACTTTTAATTCCCTTTAACTCACTTGATATAAAGTAAGGCTAAAACATAAGTTAAAGTTATTTTAAAATTTTAAGAAGTTAAATAAAAAACAGAAGAGAAAATAACAAATGTTTCAGCTTACACTTCCTGAATGTCAGACTCAATGGCCCCAAATACATTTAAGGTAAATCAAATATTAATATCATATTTCATACAATTTATGAAATGTCATGCACTAAGAAAGGAATTGTCACTTTAAAAGGGCTTGTCCCTGTCCCATCCTTTATCCATTATGTGAAAGTCTACTGTATTGGAATTTAGCTTTTAGCATGAAATACACTTTGACAGGTATAATAAGGTCCTCAGACAGCTGGGATTAAAAGGGATTATACAATTACTAGGATCCTTTGATTTAGATGAGAATAAAAAGTGACAATTTAAGTAAACTTGATTTGTTTTGGGAAATGGGTATTTGTCTATACTTGAAATTTTAGGATCACAGATAGAACCAAGGTTAAGATATAAATGATTTTGTGTTCAATTGTTGACAGTTTAAGTAACAAATGAAACTAAAAAAAGAAACAGGCGACTTTGCTTAATCTTTTGACAGACAAATTTAAGCTTGTCCCATGAATAATCAAAATAATACATCAGATCAACCCATTCAACACCTTATTTCATCCTACAAGATAAATCAAAGAGGTTTAACTTATTTAAGAGAATTAAAATATCCATTTTAACATGTGAAGTAAGACAGGAGTATCATCAATATGTTGACAAAATTAACCTAGAATTCAGAAGCCATAATGAACACAAAGGAAATTAGGTTAAGAAGCAGACTAATGAGTTTTATTAATGGCTTAAGTAATTAACCTTTGGATTTTTACAATATAGGCCTACTGTACGTGGTAATGGGGTTGAAATAATCACTGCTGTCAGAATACAAAATACCAGTGACGTCTTATGATAAATTCTCGACAAAATCAATTCATTGTAGTAAATCATGAAATTTCAAAAATCAGTCACAACAAATCTGATTAGATTCCACAGAGAATGGGTCTCTAGAGCACCAATACATTACTTGATATACCCATACTTTTTCATGTCACCAAGTACCAACAATATTTGTAAGGCATGTTTATTCTTTTTTTGTAATAACTTTTTAAATCTGGTTTGTAACTTTGTATAAGTTCACTCATGCTCATGCCAGAACCTACTGGAGTTTAGAGATGTCATTTTCATTTATAATTTCATTCATATTGATTCATAACTTAAAATTTAATTTAAAACATGATTTTAAAATATTAATTTTAGTTCATTGAATAAAACAAACCATCGCTGGTTTCCCCCAGATACTTATAGATTACAACAGTCTCTATATGCCTGGTATGCAACGTAAATCTTGCGATTAGTCATACACTGATTAGTCGTGGTGATTTTGACAGGAGTGAAAGTAAAAACACCTTTTCGAATCTCCTTTTGGTTCAATCAACTGTTTACATCGGTAAATCCTACACTTCCAATAAGTCCAAATTAAAGAAACAAAATATAAATGTAAAAAATACCATAAGTCTGTAGGACTCTGACTTTAGGCCATTTCCATTAATGAAATATTTGCATTTTCATATCAAAAACTTTCTAAGTTCACAGACATTTATCACTCACTGCCATCTCCTCCGTTCACAGCACTCATATCGGTTTGACTTCCGGCCTAGTCCAGGTTGATTGAAATCGAGGTAGGTAAAAACTTGACTAACCAGTCTCTCATTATTTTGCATAGCATGGTGGGCGTTTATTAAAGGTCCAGGGGTACATTATTGACTTGGTTTGATAGTAATTTTGTTGTTTATTGTTGGCAAAGCCTCTAATATTCGCTTGGCCGCCGTTCTGTAGCCTAATTGTTTGGCCTTGTGCTGTGGGTCGGCGCTTCTACCTTAATTGAAATAAAGGTAAATTTGTTTCTCATAGAGTCATAATAAATATTTTTAATATTTCTTTATTCTTCAAAGCAATCAGGATAACATATATGACAAATACACGGGCTTTAAACATAAAGGAATAATGAGCATTTTAAATTTCGGTTAGCTTCTGGATTACTAATACTAAAAGGCTATGACCTCTTTACAAATTTTTTGCCAAGTGTCTGGAAAATCTAGTCTTATTTCAAAATATAAAATTTCCAGGGGACACAACTGCGTTTAACAACCCTTAAAAACATGGATTGCCCCCCATAATGAACTGTCTTTATTCACATCATTATATGAAATACAAATGAATTGAAATGAAATGGGGTTTAACGTCCTTCTGTTCTGCTCTGACTTGGCTAATGAAGACGGGAATACGTCATACAGTGTGCTATGAGGGAAATTTTGCCCGGACAAGCGGCGCTAAGGCCTACTGTTATATCGAATTCCAACTGCCTGGGGATCTTTTATGTGCATGCAAATGTGTTCCTGGGACCTTTGTTTTTTATCCCATCTGAATAACTAGGCAGCTGTCCTTGTCAGGCCCTCCATCCTGCACCACAGACAAAGGGAGACAACATTGGAAGATCACGATGAACATTCTCAGCCAACACCAAGAGTGAACCTTTGGCCTCCAGGCTAGCAAGCAAGCGTTCGCACCCACTTAGCCACCGTGACTCCCCAATTGAAATACTTGAGAAAATAAAATCCTGAACAACTTATTGTGCGAACCTGAGACCTCCTAGTTAGCCAGCTGGATTCTTAAAGTATTCACTTCCCTGCCGCGGCTCCCCTAAATAATTGTACAGCTCACATTCCTGTTTACCATGCAAGGGTCTCTTTCTCATCAGTGCATGAGCGCCGTGAGCAAGTAGCTGACTCACTAACCAGGAGGTCCCGGGTTCGATCCTGGTCTGGCATGGTTTCCCCTTGTCAGTGGTGCAGGGCAACATCTAGTTGTTCGGTTGAAACGTAAAATGGGGGGGGGGGGGTTGTACATGATGGCATGCACGTAAAGGAACCCTATACAGTTGGAACTCGAAATAAGAGTAGGCCGTAATGTAGGCCAAATCACCCCCCACCCCTATAGCATAATGCATTGCATATTTTCATCTTCATTTTACAGGTTGATTTCTCCTAATTAGAATTGTCACATCCATTATAGTATAATTTAGTTTTTGCCATATATCTATCATGTTCACAAGATTTTTAGAAAAGGGGGCATAAATTTGAAACACTTATCACAAAAGGTTTTTCCTTTCATGACCACAATGATTCACACCAAATTTGAAAAAGATCTGTCACAAATTGCATGCACAAGCCAGGTGTTGACAACGGATTGTCACGATGACGACTACCCGTGGGGCGTATAAAAATTGGTGTCTATTTAGGGTTATTTCGATTTGTTGAAATGGTATCTAGAAGGAGCAAATTTAAACATTTTTGACTACTTATCCAAAACAATTGTGAATTAAACAAAAATTGATTGATGTTGTTTGGGGGCTGCTTGACTGCCTATAGGGTAATTCTCAGTCCATGTCGATTTCCATCACCAATATATTTTATGGGGACTATATGAGAATCATTCTCCTCTATGACAGGAAAAAAACTGCAGTGTTTTTTTTTGTTTTTTTTTACTTTAACACAAACAATTTCAGCATCAGAAAGTTTTATTAAATAATAAACTAAAATTATTTTTAATAGTACATTAAAACTATGCAATATGATATAATAATAAAGCAAAAAGCTTAATAAACATTGTTAACCATAATTAGAACTAATTTTATATAACTAACAAGCAGATATAATAATTAACAAAGTATATTATTTCAGAACAGTTTCATGAAAGTCAACTAATAAACCTACATAATTAAACAATATATTGAACAAGCGCATTACCAGTATATTAAATAACAAACAATCCAAAACAAAAAAAATATTAGAGGAGAAATAAAATTGTTGCAGATTTGTTACATTTTATTAATTATCTAATATTGAAATAGTTCAGCCACACACAACCATGCGACAGGACACTTTACCCAATAGTATACATACAACCATGATATCTGAGATAGCATCCAGTTCCACAATGAAGCGATATCACAACCAACCATACACAAAACCCTAAGGACCAATTTTTTTTATTCCTTTAATGATTAAAACATATTAACACATGAGCTGTGATGTCATGATAGGAACTGTCAATAAACCAACCAGCATTATGTACTAGGCATCTTCAATCCAACAATTTTCTCAAAATGTTTACAAAACAAAGATTACGGTAGCTGTTATAGAAAGTGTAGCTGGTTTGTTTATTTAAAGTGACTGACAGTTCTTCTCATGACATCATAGCCATCATGTTACAGTAATTAAAGATAAAATGATTTGCCTTTCAAGTTGTGAATGGTTGAAACTATCTTAATAGGAAATGAAAAAAAAAAAACATAAAAAATCTGCAACAACTAGAGTACTCCTTTAATAAAGATTCAAGGATTTCAAAATAGATAATCATAATTTTTTTTATAAAATTACAACCCAATATTTTAATTAAGCTTTAAAAAACATGACAATTTAATCAACACAAATTGAGGAATCAAAAGAAACAAAAGATCGATTATAAGAAAAGTTCACTAAATATTCACAAATACTTGACAGATATGTATTGTAATTTTTGGTCTGGCTAGTAGTATAAAGAAAGAGCTTAAAGGACCACCAAGAAACAGGGTTATCATCTGCCAGGGCTTTAAATTCATGGGTAATTGTTGTGTTAAAATATTAAGAAGCTGCATCATGTTGTCAGGGATGTAATGTTCATTTAGAAAATCTAAGACATTCTAAAAACAAATAGCTCATATTAAACAAACATATGGTCCAGAAATGTTATTCTTTTTCGGTCAATTTAATTCTACATGATGTAAGGTAGTTTAAAGGATTACCAAAAAAAAACCCACTTATATTAATGAAGTTTCAAAAATTGAAAAGGATAAATCATGAATGCAAATTACTATGAACATTCCACTTTTCAGGCTAGATGCCAGAATCTGTCCACCTCTCATTTTACCTGTATTACAAATGAAGTGAACAAGGGTTAGCTCCAAGAGCTTTTAAAGAAATATTCAAAAACAATTTCATAATTTTTGGTCCAGACGTCATCACTTTAACTGGAATATCCTAATGAAAATCCATCAAAAAATTGTTTATTTAAAACCTACTGTTCTAAAAATATTGTTCTAAAAATAATGGCATCATTTTAATAACTTAATAAGTTTGTTTGGATCAACCACATCTAAAATACCAATGAAATGGTACAAATATTGTGTGTACTATATGATATTGGGTGTGCTAAATGAATTGGTATAAATATTGGGTGTGCTAAATGAAATGGTATGTCTGCTAAATGAAATGGTATAAATATTGCCTGTCGGTCCATAATGTGCATTTATATACTTAACCCTCTATAACCAATAGTAAAAATGACAATGTTAAATTTGCTTTTCTTAGTCGAAAGCCCAAAATAATCTTGATGTTTAAAGGGTTAAATAGATTAGATGTAGTACCATCTAGTTTTAATACCATCACATTCTATAACTTGTATATTATGTATAATTATGTTTGTATATCAGGTTTTGTGTATTAACACCTTCAAGCTGTGACAAAAAGCATATAACACTGTCCATTATGGTTGTGTATTCCAAACCAATCCTTACAGACCATCTTAAAGTACAAGATATTGCGTATATTGTTGAATTATCCATTATAAACCCAAAAGATTTTTTTTGTATATATTATTATTTACCTCTTTCATTAAAGATATACAGCATAAAATTATAAAATTACAGAAAATTAACCATGGCACTTTCAAGATGCAAAAATATAACAACATTGGAGTAATAATAAAATTGGGGTAATATTAATTTTCTTTGGTATCAGTATATATTATAATAATCACAAATATATGAGCAGTACACCATTACCTAAAAACTGACATGGTGCTTCACTATTGACACTACAGTATAGATAATTATAAGATCCAAGTTATCTGTGATCATTATGGTATATATAATTAAATGGTAGTATATAAATGTTTATTACATATTTAAATATATCAATTATCTATTAAACATGCATATTAAAAACACTTAATTGTTACAAATATTGATAATACTTGTATGAAATCCTCTAATATTTGCAGTATGTAATTAAATTACCAGTCTAATATATACACAGAATAAATAACATAAACAAGAATGATGTAAAACACTGGAATAAGATTTACTACAAGAGGTGGGGATTAGTTGATAAAAAAAAACCTTCCTCAGTTGTAAGTAGATTAAAAGTAGAGCCTAAATTCTCTTTCCTAGCACTGCATATGTGATCACAGAAACAGTCACTGTCCAGACTAGCAGTCTAGCATTGCATATGTGACCATAGAAACAGAATTAGCTGTATGTTAGTCTCAAAATGACCATGTCTATTACATTTACAAATCAAGATCAATCATAAAGACCAGATCTATTACATTTACAAATCAAGATCAACCATAATGACCATGTCTATTCCAATTACAAATCAAGATCAACTAGCAGTCTAGCATTGCATATGTGACCATAGAAACATAATTAGCTGTATGTTAGTCTCAAAATGACCATGTCTATTACATTTACAAATCAAGATCAATCATAAAGACCAGATCTATTACATTGACAAATCAAGATCAACCATAATGACCATGTCTATTCCAATTTCAAATCAAGATCAACCATAATGACTAGATCTATTACATTAACAAATCAAGATCAACCATAATGACCAAGTCTATTCCATTTACAAATCAAGATCAATCATTATGACCAAGTCTATTACATTTACAAATCAAGATCAATCATAATGACCAAGTCTATTCCAATTACAAATCAAGATCAACCATTATGACCAAGTCTATTACATATACAAATCAAGATCAATCATAATGACCAAGACTATTCCATTTACAAATCAAGATCAATCATAATGACCAAGTCTATTCCAATTACAAATCAAGATCAACCTTAATGACCAAGACTATTACATATACAAATCAAGATCAATCATAATAACCAAGACTATTCCTTTTACATATCAAGACCAACCAAAATGTGAGCAATAAACTGTCTAATCGCATGAAATCTATCAAAGACACAACCTAGGAAGAACAAATTTTTTTTTCTATAAATACACATGTAATTCATAATAAAACTGATCTGTATTTGTGGTTTAATTTTCTAGAACACCAGATACCACTTCTCTGGAGTTCATGTAGTTTACCGTATCAAATTTTTTCTGTACCTTCATTTCTAACATAATAAAATATTTTTAATTCTAAAACATTAAAATCTGTACAAATAAAATAAATGTACATAAGGTACAACTACAAGTAAAGTAAATGTAAGAAGACTAAACTTTCTTATAAGTTACAAGTTTTGAAGATTTACGATAAGCAAAATATGAAGCTACAAAAAGATAAACTAAACAAAGTAAAGTTATAAATAAAACATCTAAATTATTTGGATTTTCTACAAAAGCAAGGAAAATTTGCCCTAAGGTCGTAAATATAACTAACATAAATATAGAGCCAATCAATTTCTTCATAGTCCACGTCTCAGTATTTATGTCGTTGTTATCGTTGTTTGACGATTTCGTCTCCTCACCTAAAGAATTCAGGGTTTTCTTCTTGTTGACTAAACTACCGAAATTAAGAAACATTACATCACGAAATATGTAGTCCCGACCCTTCTCAAACGACATTGTTTTATATGTAAGTGATCTGCTTTTTAGGTGTTGTTTCTGTTCACACAGTGTTTTCTGAAATTTCTCAAAACCATCTAAAAGTTCCAAACACATGTCCCCTTCCTGGAGCTCTTCGAGGAAGTGAACACCATTATCCAGCTGATCGAAATATGATTTCAACTCATCGCTGTAAGAACTCAACTCTTTTAGACCTTTCGTCTCTTCATTTTGTAACAAGTCTTTTTTCATGCTTGTAAATCGTTCAATATTTTGCTGAAGATGTTTCGATCTCTTATCAACCTCCATTAAAGTCTTTGAGGAAGTTGTTTTTATCTCTTCAATAGTTGTTTGAATACTATCCATGAGTGTATCAGCATCTTTCTTTTCAAGGGTTAGTCGATCCAATTCTGTTTGTAATTGTTTTTGAGCTTCGCGAAGCTTCTTCGTCATTGGTACTGTGTCATGAACTTTGTGATCCTCACATGAACAGGTGATGCACACAGCCACATCGCACGTAATGCAGTAAATTTGTAAAATTTCATCTGCATGCTTTGGACATGTACGATTGGAGGACATATTGACAGCATTCGGCGCGGTTTCAATTCTGATAATTGCGTGACGTGTGGAATCATGATGGCATAAGCGATGCTCATGGATGCAAAAACGACAAATATCTAAATCACAATCCACACATTTAAACTGCGACTGCATCCATTCTCGCTCGCATATATCACAAGAACTACTGTAACCCTTCGATCCAAGCTCATCTTGAACACTTAAAATGTAAAAACTGATCGGAAAAGCATCTATTCCACCTCTTGGTACGAAAACATCTGTGCGACATTGCGGACATCGAAATAATCTTCCAGTGTTAGACGATGAGCGTACAATATTGCCGATACATTCAAAACAGACAGTATGATGACAAGGAAGCAGACGTGGGTCTTTAAATTCGTCCATACATATTGGACATACCAACAATCTCTCCCTTAATCTCTCTATTTTATCACTTGTAGCCATGATTCTGAAAAAATCAAGAATTCAAAGAATAAATTTAATAATCCTTGAGTGGTATGTAGCCAGGCTTTGTTGGGTTGTTTTTTTCTTTTTTTAAACCAAACATTATAAGATGGTAGGCTGAACTAGGTACTTATCAAAATTAGGACACTGGTAACCTGTTATCATGTTTGTTTGTTTGGCAGAAATAAGTGTCAGATTCTTGCCGATTTGTGACACTAGATTACAACCCAATGAGTCCTAATTAAAGTACATGTATCAGGGATTTTGAGATTTTTCACAAAAACTTCGTCCTTTGCATACAGTACCTTAAATTAAACTAGAAGGCCTACATCATTAATTCATTATCCTTTCCCAAGATGCTATGAGGGAGAATTCGTGCAGACAACGGTGTCACAGCCTGTTTCGAATTTCAACTGGAGGGTTCTTTTACGCATGCCAATCTGTACATGGGACCTGGATTTTTCATACCATCTGAATGACTTGACACTAGGCCCTTCATCCTAACAAAGGGAAACCCAGCAATTAAGCATCTCACTCACTGAGCCACCGTGGCTTGAATCACTGAGATCAATAGGGACATAAGGTCGAGGGGGAGGGGCACACAACCCCTCCTAGAGTCTGTTGGCCTATTCATGCCTGAAAGTACATGTATTACGGTACGTTAATGAACAGGGTGGGGGTTGGAATGGTCTAGTGGTCACCTCTGGCTTGCGGCAGTGGTTTCGATCCCTGGTGTGAGCGTATGTGGCTTGGAGATTGGGGCACCTTCTCAACCTTGTGGGGTTTACTCCGGGTACTCCGGTTTCAGGAAAGACCCCTGCTCGTGCGCTTAGGTAATAAAAATGAAAAATAAGACTCGTCTGCGATATCACCTTCATTGAAAGCGGACGTTAAACTCTAAGAACAACAATGAACAGGCCTTACAGGGTGCGGTAAATTTTCAGAATTTTATAGTAGGATTCAAATACTTAAAAGTACTTAAACTGTTTTTTTTATTTCTTATAATAATCCATTTATCATCTATATTTAGTCTATATATAATCTATTTTGAATTATTATAGTTCACCTGACAATTGTTTGTTGGTCTAGTTTATTTGTGGCTGCAGCATCAGACTTTGGCCTTTTATATTTTCCACATACCACCACATGTCACTCACCACAGGCAACGTTCTCTCATCGTCACGGCTTCAGCTCTTCTAAAACTAAATTAGTCTATTAGTATTATTAGACTAACTTGTTGGTGTTTTAAGTCTGCTTTTACAGACTAAGTAAGAAGAAAGACACCGCTAAGCAAATGAGCTTGTTTTGATGAAAGAAATTGATTGGCTAATCTTAAATAACATCAACAAAAAATTTCTCAAATTTTAAACAAGAGAGGATAACTCTCAGATAAACGGGTGCTCGGCGAAAAAATATTCGCCTGCGTCGAATTCTTTAAAGTGATGTTTTATAAGAGTAACAGATAACTATGATACGTTATATTTCAATTCTGCATAATGGCAAGAAGTGACCAGATGTAAAGAACCAAAAAAGAGCAGCAAAGCGGCAACTAAATTTCGTATAAAGGAGAATTAACAAACTGAACGAATGACCCAACAAAAATAATCACCCAAGGGAGGTAACTCCATTTTAAATAAACGGATGCAGACCACCAATAATTTCCCCATTGACTTCAATGTTAATCCTTACCTATGTGCCCGCCTGCAACTTTTCCCCAAATTTGCGTAGGGCTGAATGCTTTTCACTACAGATAGAGAAACAAATGGTCATGTCTTTGCACCCAAATTTTTATGAGGTTCACCACCCAAAATTTGAGATACACAAACTTGTAGAAGCCTACTAAAAAAATGTAACTATTCGCCATACATATCACCGTAACCAACCTGATAACTCTGTGATCCTTCCGCCTTTCAATCATGAATATCTACCAATACCTGGCAGAAAATGTTAATTCAAGCCCTCTTCGTCCAAATGGGCATGCAAAAGGGGAGACAGAGAATTGCTATAAATAGATTAATCAATTTAATTTTGATATGGATTAATCCATTTAATGTCAATATGGATTAATCTGTACAATATTGATATGGATTATCCATGCAATGTGCATATGGATTATCCATGTAATGTGCATATGGATTATCCATGCAATGTGCATATGGGTTAATTGTAAGATGTTTGATTGTGTGAACAAACTTCTGTGGCTTTCATAAGCTTATCCCCAGACGAGGAAAGGTACTATATAGTTCTGTCTAGAAGCTTCAGCTGTGAATGATGAATCTCAGCGGTGTGCATGCATGAAACATTGTAACTAGTATGAATGAAATGTCTAAAGTTGGTGACAAAATAAAAGACACTGATAATGTTTGCAGTTATGCTAAAGTTAAAATTGTATCGCTACACTGGGCTGGGTATGTTTAATTAGGCATAATAGTATAACAATCTGATATTAAAGACGTTACAGGCATTAATAAACAAAATGAATTTGCACCGTAAAACTATCATGATCAAATCGTAGTTAAAAATAAAGATATCTGAGATATATCTCAACTGTTTTCAGCTACATTCTCGTAACTAAATTGAAGTGCATTTAATACCGTTCACATTTCAGAGATAAGATTTTCAAATAAAACATCATTTAAGACAAAATGACCTGATGACTAAACAAGTCAAGTGACAACAGGACATTTTTTTGTGAAAATATTCCTTTTCAAAACCACCTGTTTCTTGTGCGATTAGTTCTAGTGAGTCATTCTAGCTCGGTTAGTATGACACTGGCTTATTTATCAAGATGTTCCAGGTCTGATCACTCTATTGGCCATGAAAGCTCTTTTTGATTTCCCGAACCGGTGTCCCCTTGTTAGTGATGCTGGACAAATGACCTGGCAAGAAAAAGTTTGGACAGGATTAAAAACCATAGCGATTTGTTCTATGCAACAACGTAGCTTGGTTATTTCAATTCTAAGCAGTTATTTATATGTAGGCCTAGCTAGACGTGTGAATCTGTAGTGAAAATCAATTCTAAGAAGATTGTGTTGTCTTTAGATTTATAATTTCCTTTTCATTTTACTTTACAGATCAAATGTTCTACTGTTGGTAGCCGAGCCTCAATGGTAACCCTTTTCTAACGGATATCAAGAAAGGTGTGAAGAATGGAAGATCTTTTAAAATCAAGTTTCATCTTTCTGTTGTTAATGATCATCAGTCTGACAGGTTGTCAAGGATCCGTTGGGGATCGGTCGTATAAATTTATTAAATGTTTGAATAAATGTATTACTACGAATTGCTCAAAACCACATGATTTTCTGACCAAACAACCCCTACATCTGAAACTACTACAGTGGGATTGTGAATCTGAGTGTCGTTACAATTGTATGTGGTCAACAGTTGATGCATTTGAAAAAGATGGTTTAAACATCCCTCAGTTTAATGGAAAGGTAACAATTAAATTCCTGTGTCATTATTTTTTATCAATATTTTAATTTTCAAAACTGGTGGCAATGACAGTGATTTGAATTGCTTTGCTATAGTCAGTGTTGTTTGACTTCTGTTTAGCCATAGCATCCTTCTGTCCTTGACCTGATTGTTCCGTAACTACGATTTGCGGAGGACGAATTATTGTTTAGGTTTAATCGAAAGCGAGAGAGAGAGAGAAATGGCATTTAACGACCACTCGACACAAACTAGGTCATTTCAGGACTAACACATTGTTCAATTTTATTTCACTAATTCGCTTGCGCGTAGGGGTCTTTAGCGGTGGAAGGAAACCGGAGGACCCAGAGAAAACCCACGAGGTTGGACAGGTGACCCCACTCCTTGTCACATACAACTGGGGATTCAAAACCAAGACAGTTGACTCAATGACAGACCTTATGATACAGCACACACATGCTAGCCATTCGGCCATCCAACCCCTCTTAATCGAAAGCTGTGTGATCCAAGTACTTATCAGTTACAATAGACCTATACATCTAGGCATTCAGTTCATGACTTCTCCACAAAGTTTTGAGAGCACTTGATGTTTTTTGCAAGAATGCAACAAATCTGTCAATCATTTGCTGAGATAGGTGGTGTGATAGGTGTATGAGCTCGATAAATGTTAGAGGGGCAGAATCTGAAATGCCCGAAAAATTTTGGGTTACTGACGGCAGTGCTTACTGTGTGGGGCCCCCCCCCCCCACCACCACCCAAAAAAATTTAACTGAACTGCAGCAAACACGTTTTCTTAGCGCAAATGATAGTGGGAACCTAACATTGAGTTGGTTGTATTAACATCTTCTATTTCTATGTAGCTGGTTTCCACAATTAAAATGAACAGTCAGACCTTTTATGCTCCTTAACGCCGTCACATGTGTAAAAATTAAATAGCTATTTGAATAACTTCCTTGTTGAATGAGTATGCTAATAATAACATATGATATAAAGAAGACGGTGTGTGAAATTGTATACGTATGTATAACATCAACGATAAAAATATGGTTGGTGTAATTCATTGTTTATGGATTTGGATCATGAATTTTTTAATAACCAGAAGTCTTTTATGAACGAAAGGTGTTTCACTGGTGTCCTTTTACCAAGATAAATCTAGAAATATCAGATAAATTTATATATAAAATGGTCCCATGATGCATAACCTACAGGATAGATAAATGTTAAGGGGGCGAGGCAGCTAGATCCTGAAGTGTTGAAAAAACCCAAACATTTCGGGTTACAAGCGACGGTGTCGGTCGTCTGAGAGGGGAAGGAGTGCAGCTTATTTTTAGCTGATCCTGAAGTGCCCAAAACCCCGAAAATTTCGGGTTACAAGTAACGGTGTCGGTTGTCTGTGAGAGGGGAAGAAGTGCAGCATACCATGTAGCTTCCCCCCCCCCCCCCCCCCCCCCGAAGAGAATTTGGAAATTTGACGGCTGCAAAGGCATTTTCCTTCTATTCCAGCCCGTGAATACAGCAACTTTAAAGTAGTCTCATATAGCCTGACTTTAGTGGCTGACTTGAATTCCAATCAACCAATCAATCGTCGGGAGGAAATTTTGAAAATTTAACTGCTGCAAACTGCTATTCCAGGCTGTAAATACAGCAACTTCCATGTGGTCCAACATAGCCTACCTTAGGGGACTTAACTGAATCCTAAATTACAAACTATTTGTCCAATTTTCGAGGACACAGTCTTAAAATCAATTCAATAGTTAATAGATTAATCTGTATTCAGTGAGTACTATTATAACAATTTAAAATCAACTCAGTCCAGTTAATAGATTAATCTGTATTCAGTGAGTATTATTATAACAGTTTAAAAGTTAAAACTCACTCAAATTTTAGGAGTCTCCGAGAAATGAAACTGCCCAACAAAATGACCACTCCTTGTATGCAAATTGTGTAAAAGTATGTAATATGAACGTTATGTAACCTATAGAGGTCACAATTTTTATCTGATTTGATGAAACTTAAAATATATGTTTATATTCCAAAGATCTAAGTCCCTGTTGATATTCGTGCATTTCAGACCATAACTTCCTGGAAAATGGACCCTTGTACGAAAAACCACATTTTTTTTTGTCCTCCGCCTTTTGAAAGAAGCAGAGGACTATTAAAATGGTTGTGTCCCAAAAAGACTGTCCGTCCGTCTTTTTGGGACACAATAACTCTCTTTCTAATTGAGCTACAATGTTCAAACTTGGTGTAAGTGTTTATTAGGTCAATGCCTTGATGGAGTTCGAAGATGAGCATTTTCGTCCTAGGTTAAGCAGAGATAAGCCATTTGATTGATTGATGCTTTTGGACACTATAACTTTAGTTCTAATTAAGTGAGAGTGATGAAACTTGGTGTATAGTTTCATTACATCAATACCTTGACTAAGTTCGATAATGAGCATTTTCTGCTCAGGGTAAGCAGAGACATAAGCAATTTGATTGGTCGAGACCTTGGAACACAATAACTCTCCTTCTAATTGAGTTGGAATCTTCAAACTTGGTGTAGGTGTTTGTAAGGTCAATGCCTTGATGGGGTTCAAAGATGAGCATTTTCTGCAGAGATAAGCAATTTGATTGGTTGATGCTTTTGGACACGATAACTTTAGTTCTAATTAAGTGAGAGTGATGAAACTTGGTGTATAGTTTCATTACATCAATACCTTGACTAAGTTTGATAATGAGCATTTTCTGCTCAGGGTAAGCAGAGCGATAAGCAATTTGATTGGTCGAGACTTTGGAACACAATAACTCTCATTCTAATTGAGTTGGAATCTTCAAACTTGGTGTAGGTGTTTGTAAGGTCAATGCCTTGATAGGGTTCAAAGATGAGCATTTTCTGCAGAGATAAGCAATTTGATTGGTTGATGCTTTTGGACACGATAACTTTAGTTCTAATTAAGTGAGAGTGAGGACACTTGGTGTATAGCTTTATTACATCAATACCTTGACTAAGTTGGATTATGAATATTTTCTGCTGAGGGTAAGCAGAGCGATAAGCAATTTGATTGGTCGAGACTTTGAAACACATTAACTCTCCTTCTAATTGAGGTAGAATGTTTAAACTTGGTGTAGGTGTTCATTAGGTGAATGCCTTGAGTTCTATGATGAACATTGTCTGCTTGAGGTAAGCAGAAATAAGCAATCTGATTGGTTGATGCTTTGAGGACAAGATAACTTTGGTTATAATGAAGTGAGAGCGATGGAACTCCGAATATTGATTCATTATATCATTACCTTGACTAATTTCGATGGTAAGAATTTTCTGCTTAGGCTAATGAGCGATAAGCAATTTGATTGGTCCAGGCTTTGGAACATAACAACTCTGCTTTTAATTGAGATAGAATGTTTAGACTTGATGTAGATGTTCATTAGGTGAATGTCTTGACTGAGTTCAATGATTAACATTTCGGGCTGAAGCTAAGCAGAGCTAATCAATTTCATTGGTCAATGCTTTGGGACAAGATAATCTTGATTCTATTTGATAGAGAGTGATGAAACTTAGTGTATAATTTGATTGCTTTATACTTTTGAAAAAAAAAATAAATATGCAATTAATTAATGTGTGTCATCTATTTATTTTGGGATTTCGGCGGGGGACATCAGCCTCACTGTTGGCTTGTTTAGCTTGTTCTCTATTCATCTCTTGCAAAATGTGGATATATCTTGCTTGGCAACTGCTGGTTGACATTATTTTATGTCATGTATGAACTAACTGAGAGGTCAGTTCTCCAACCATTCAATTTCACTGCCTGATAGTCCTGACTTGCAATTATGACTGAAATGAGTACCAGGCTTGCAGGTATTTTGAATCGGATATAATACAAAATTAATTACATGTACATTATTTCTTGTGATAGATGATATAGCCCCTTAAAGTTTATACTTAATATTCATGTTTATATATTTACTTGAAAAGTTTTTTTCCTTTTTTTTTCAGTGGCCCTTTATCCGTTTATTTGGTATTCAGGAGCCAGCATCCACGTTATTTTCTACATTTAATGCTATGTGTTGTCTTGGTATATTTTATTTTCGTAGAAAAATATTACCAAGTGTTCCTATGTATTATGTGTGGCATATTGTGTCATTAGTAAGTTTTATATTCAATACTATATAATCAAATAAACAAATACCTTATCATTAGTAAGTTTTATATTCAATACTATATAAACAAATACCTTATCATTAGTAAGTTTTATATTCGATACTATATAATATAATCAAATAAACAAATATCTTATCATTAGTAAGTTTTACATTCGATACTATCTAAACAAATACCTTATCATTAGTAAGTTTTATATTCAATACTATATAAATATAACTTATCATTAGTAAGTTTTATATTCAGTACTATATAAACAAATACCTTATTAGTAAGTTTTATATTCAATACTATATAAATATAACTTATCATTAGTAAGTTTTACATTTGATACTATATATAAACAAATACCTTAACATTAGTAAGTTTTACATTCAATACTATATTAACAAATACCTTAACATTAGTAAGTTTTACATTCAATACTATATTAACAAATACCTTAACATTAGTAAGTTTTACATTCAATACTATATAAACAAATACCCTATCATTAGTAAGTTTTTCATTCAATACTATATAATATAATCAAATAAACAAATGCCTTATCATTAGTAAGTTTTACACACTATATCATATAAAAACAAATAAACAAATACCCTATCATCATAGGAAGTTTTATATTCAATACTTCATATAACCAAATAATTTATTACTAGTAAGTTTTATATTCAATATTGTATATTTTTTAAAAATTGTTTTAATATTTAAAGCAATCTCTGACTTATCCTGTCATGGTACCTTTCCATCATAGATCATTTTCATATTGCTGTCATTTAACTCGATTTGGCTGAATTTACTGGTGCACTATTTTTATTTTTAGCCCCAAAATAACCTTGTTAGTTTTATTTGGAGGTTAAACCCCATTTCTCACACTCTCTATTTTTATTCAGGTTTCTCTTAATGCATGGATTTGGTCGATTGTATTTCACACTAGAGATACTGATATAACTGAGGTTAGTATTAGACAGTATAATTTATAGTTGGATTATAATAATATTCATTATGAAATGCTCAGACTCCTTCATTAACTCAGATTAGCAAGTACAATTTTTATTATTATCTCAATAGATAAATCAGTTTATTTTTAGCATTTTTACAGATAAAGGTTATGAATTTTTGAAACATACATTATGCAAGAGCTAAATCTGCCTATTGCAGGTCTTTCTTTAGGCCTGAAATGTTATCTAAATTATTAATTAGACATTAATTAATTTATCCAGACCAGGATCCGGTTTGCTGCTCAACTTTCATTCATGATTTAATCATAAAATGGATAATCGAGACTATGTTTTTTATCGTACCGACTTTAGTAATGATGATCGAGGCTAGGCCCAAAATTCAGTCACTAAATTCTCGGTTCAGAGTGGATGAGCAAATTTTCAGCAATTCCCTTTACATTATCTAGCTTTTAACTATTATAGTGAGAACTGCCAGCTCTTTATATAATCTACCATAATGTATCTTTAACATGTGTTGTGTTTTATAGCAAAATTCTTTGAACTACCTAATTCTATGCCCATTGAGTGACAGTCCGACAGGTAAATTCTGCACCGTGTCAACTTCTCTGCATGTCCGAGACAGGAGTCCTACTCTTCAGCATCAGTTGTAATCTTGAGAAAATTACGAGATTGAACAAGCTACCCTACTCCATGACACAAACAATCATGGGATTGAATTGAACCCACAGCTTGCATAATTCATGATTTTATATTAACACTAATTGGTGGACATTTATATCTTTCAGAAACTAGATTATTACTTTGCCTTTTCCATTGTGTGCTGTAATATTTGGGCTTTTATGTGCAGGTAATAATTAAATATAATAAAAACTGGATGTACTATATATATATTTAGCTTACTTCTTTATCTGGAATATTACAAAAATTGTTTTCAGGTAAAAATCACGGCTTTGTGGATGAATCCATGCACTGTTGATATGGATTAATCCATGCAATGTTGATATAGATGAATCCATGCAATGTTGATTTGGATTACTCCATGCAATGTTGATTTGGATTACTCCATGCAATGTTGATATAGATGAATCCATATAATGTTGATTTGGATTACTCCATGCAATGTTGATATGGATTATTCCATGCTATGTTAATTTAGATGAATCCGTGCAATGTTGATTTGGATTACTCCTTGCAATGTTGATATGGATTAAGCCATGCAATGTTGATAAAGATTAACCTATGCAATCTATGCAAAACCATGCAATGTTTATATGGATGAATCCATGCATTGTTCATATGGATGAATCCATGCATTGTTCATATGGATGAATTGGTGCACTGTTCAATCCATGCAGTGTGAATTTGGATTAATTGTAAGATATTTGATTGAGTGACAGGTGACAAACTTCTGTGTCTTTGTTTTTATTTATCTGTATATAATAATTAGTTGATATATTTCAGGTATTTTGGTACCAATAGTTGGTATAAGACTGTTGTATTTACTACTATAATAATGACTATATATTTATATCATATTTACTATTTACATTATATTCAAATGGATTATGGTTATAATGTGACAGTCAATATAACATTAGGTAAGTACAAGGCTGTAGAGAGCAACTGCTGACAATATTTATTGAATTATATTAAAATTCTCAAGTCTTTCGAAGCTTTGTTGATATTTTATATGATTATGACAAACAAATGAAATGAAATGAAATGGGGTTTAACGTCCTACTGTTCTGCTCCTAACCTTGGCTAATAAAGACGGGCATACACCATACATGAGGGAAATTTTGCCCGGGCAGCGGCGCTACGGCCTACTCTTATATCGAATTCCAACTGCCAAGGGATCTTTTACGTGAACGCCGATGTGTACACAGGGCCTCAGTTTTTTCGTCCCATCCGAACGACTAGACAGCTGTCCTTGTCAGGCCCTCCGTCCTGCATCACTGACAAGGGGGAACCACGCCGGAAAATCGGGATGAACTTTCTTGGCCATTGCTTATGACATACAAGATTTTAACCATCAACATCAGATATAATGGACATATCTTTATATCAGAGGTGCTATCAGTATATTAGAAATAAATAAGTCATCAGAGAATGAACCCTATAGATTTTCAGCAACCTTTTCTGCAACCTTCCGTTCAGGAGTTAGAAGCTTGAAGGCATAAAGAATCCTTAACAAATTTGGTAAACATCTAAGCTGCTGTTTATGGCTATCTTTTTTTTTTTGTTAGACATAACTGCTTTGTGGGGAGTTTAGAAAATTTTGTGTGTATCAGAAAGTATGATGTAAAATTTGAATTGTATTTTTACAGGTATTTTGAATACTATCCTATGGTCTATATGGAGTTTATATAGAATTAAAAAACAACCTTATTTGTGGAAATGTTTATTGACTATTCTAGCTGTACCCATGTTGTTATTATTAGAGTTATTCGACTTTCCCCCATTCTACTGGTGTTTCGATGCTCATTCTCTGTGGCATGCTGGGACAGTTCCATTTGCTATCTTATGGACAAGGTAAGCTGGTGATTAATTTCAGTACATAAGGTGCGCTTGTTGAATTGGATATCAAATTAATCTCATAATGTTTGGTTCTCCCCAATATTTCAGCTTTTGACCACCGTGACACATTTTGGTAGATAAAGCAATCCATAAACTACGTCTTTTTTACATATTTATCTGGTTAGCATTAGTTAAGTGGATGTTAAAACCCACTCCTCTGTTTAAGACATAGAAAATAAACAAAATGAAATTGTAACCTAATTTCAATTAGATTAGCATTATGTTATTTTCTTGTTTCAGTTTTGTTGTAGATGATTGTAGATATCTTCAAGAGAAACAAGAAGAATCATTGTTAAAACTTGACTAACATCATTCCATAAAATTATTAATTTTAGTCAATTAGTCATGACAACCAAGTTACTTTGTTACTCACATTGCTAAATCTAAATCAGATTTTATTATTCACACAAGAGATGTTTAAAGGTTATGTCCCAGAAAAAAAAAAGGTATGCAAATCAAGTGCAAAAATTTGAAGGAACAGCTTTTTTACCTTGTCTGAAAGTTTCAGTTCAAAATATTAGCCTTTTAAAATATTGCCAAAACTGTGTATAGTGGTTAAATAGAGCACCCTCCTACAATTTTCAGTTGAGTGACATGCACGTATAAATTGAAAGTATGGTGGGATGTTGTAAACAGGTGTATCCATGCACAATTAGTATTCAAGAATCTCATCTCTGTCAGACAGCATAACGCTGGTATTTCTTAGGTTAAAGGGGCGTTATGAAAGGTTAGATAAAGAGCTTGCAGTTCTCACTATAATAGTTAAAAAACTAGATAATGTAAAGGGAATATGCTGAAAATTTCAGACAAATTGCTCCACTCTGAACCGAGATATTAGCGTTTGAACTTTAGGCCTAGCCTCGATCATCATTACTTAAGTCGTTACGTTAAAAAACATAGTCTCGATTATCCATTTTTGGATTTAATCATCAATGAGCTTTGAGCAGCAAATCGGATTCAAATCCAGTGAAAATCTGACACCGGTCTTTTCATGATAATAAATCTATAATTAATAGTTTATAATAAACTTTATATAACATTTCAGGCCCAATAGACAGATTTAGCTCTTTCATAACGTATGTTTAACCTTTGTCATTACAAATGTGTGAATTGCTTGATTTGATATTTGTTTTATAATATCCATGTATTTCTGGTTGTCCATGTCTTTGCATCGTGTTACAAAACTCATTTTATGAATGTCATTCTTAATTTGAATGAGTATTTTGATAATCCTATAGCTATTGTTATCCACATACACAGCTTTAAATTTGAGAACGATCAAATCCACATAGAAACTGATCGTGTGTATTTCTTGATATCTTGCCTCAAACTATTCTTCAATATACAGTTCCATAAATCCTGCATTTTGTTACAATATTATTATAATGTATATATAAATGTACAGCATTTCGCTTTTTTTTGTTCGCAATAATTTTAATTATTTTTATAAATACTTGTAGCAGATAAACCGAGGATTGAAAGAAAGTGTACCAAGATATTTTAACGTATTGGGTCGAGTGGATGTTTATACATACAGTATATCATCTAGTCAATTAACAAAGGGTTGGGTCACTTGGCTAACCTGGTGTCTATTCTCCAATTGCTAAAGACCCATAGGTACAAGCAAATTATTGAAATAAATTGTCACAGGTTAGTCCCAAAATAACCAAGTTTTTTTGTTAAGACACTGGAAGGTTACGAGAGAAACTAGGAATATCAGTGGTGCAGAGGCAATAATTACAATGCAGGAATTTGCTCTCTGATGGCATGCTCCCAAAGACTAACGGAAATAGGAAGAATGTGTAAACTGGAAATCTGAAAGTGGTGAACAGAAATAGGCCACAATCCATGCAATAATTTCTTCATTTACAGTAGAATTGTTTTTTAAAAGTAAAGATAGTAATAATTTCTCCAATAATTAATAGTTCTAATTGTTTTAATGGAATATTTTTTTAAACAGATAAGTTTATTCTAATTATTTGTTGTGTGATAATACAACAGGTCAGTTTATTTTCAAATTGTTTCAATATTTATAAATAACTTGATTTAATTGTTTTGTTGAATTGTTAATATGATATATTTTCTACGCCAATAAATTTGTATCTAAAAAATATGATCATTTTGTATGGAACCTTCATTGTAGAATATTTAAATATTATTATACATCAGCTGTCAAAAGGTAGTCACATTGCTAAAACCAGGTTGGATGGCCGAATGGTTAGCATGTGTGCGCTGTATCATAAGGTCTGTAATTGAGTCAACTGGCGTGGTTTCGATTCCCCATTTGTACGTGACAAGTAGTAGTATTGCATGTCCAACCCTGTGGGTTTTCTCTGGGTCCACCCACTGCTAAAGACCCCTACGCGCAAGCTAATTATGGGATAAAATTGAACCATATGTTAGTCCCGAAATGATATAGTTTGAGTCGAGTGGATGTTAAATCCCTTTTCTCTCTCGCTAAAACCAGATGGTATCACCAAAACCCATGACCTTGCTAGTCATCACTAATAATTATTGTAAAATCCAGATTTCTAAAGATGACAAGTGATAGGGTGACCCACGCACCTACAGAAATACAGTCAACCGCTGACAGTTCGAGACTACCACTGAAGCGTGCACATTCGCCGTGTCGAGGCCAACTTTCTGACAGTATGATACTATAAATAGCCATGGCATGTGCAATTCTCTACAAATCTATCAACTATTACAGCCGTAAAAAAATTATTGTTGACGATTTTGAATAGCAGTAAAATTAAGCTTCTTGGTTATTACAGCAGATTTAGAAATTACGTTCGTTTCATTTTTTAAATCGCTTTATCATTAACTGTACCGTTAAGAGCGGCATCTTTTGGTTTAGTACAAATAATATCTCAGAAACACTCGGGTTAGACAGGAACATGATACTAGCAGTAGTTTCATTTTACTTTTACAAGCTTCTTAAAACAATTGTTGAGGTAGCTAACGTGCTCATTTCTAAATTCAATTTCTTGTTCTAGCTTTCTGTTATGTTTCGTAAAAAAGTAGTCTTGATTATCCCGACCTGTCAATCAGCCCTAGAATGGTCGATAGACTGGTTAAGCGAGACTAATTTAAAAACAAGGGCACGTAACCTATCTTTTACTCAAAAGTGTCTGGATGTTATGGACGACACATGGAACCAGTTTTCAGTCTATTATTTATAGATGATTAATGGTCATAGCTTATTTAGTACAACATGATCGTTTATTTAGTGACTATAATTGTGTGAAACTGATTTGAGGCTTGGCATATATATAAATATTGTGGCGAAATTGTCGAGATATATGGAGATATTTATTTATGGTGGGTCACCCTACAAGTGAGACTGAAGTCCCTCGCCTCAATCATAAAATAAATACGAGACTCCGTAATTATTTGCACATTTGTCTAACTCTGAAAGCATACACAAAGGTGTGTCAAACGATCAGGCCGAAGTCCACAGCTTTCTCTGAACAGTGGAAGTCATAGTGGCTCAGTGAGTAAGGCACCAGCTCGCTAACCAGGAGGTCCCGCTCAGCGTCTAGTCGTTCAGATGCTACGAAAAACTAAAATCCTGTGTAAACATTGACAGTCAGAATTCGAAATTATGAGTAGGCTGTAGTGCCACTGTCTGGGCAAAATTTCTCTCCTGGTCATTAACCTGTTGGAGCAGAAATGCAGGATGTTAAATCCTATTTCATATCATTTCTCCGAATGTGGGCATTAAATTCCAGTAATAATAGACAAAGGTTTACTGTAAATATTGATGTTTTATTCCATGATCAGATAACTAACTGTTGGGCTATTTTAATGCTGATAAGGTGAGTTTTACACAGTACATGCGAGGGGGAAACAAACTGTATGACAATAAAATAAAGTTACACATACTCAAAATATTCTATTCTATATTGCTTTGTTAATTCCAGAAGTTTTCTTCTAATATTTAATTAATTACTATATACAGATAATGTCTTGATATTTTAAACTATAATTTATCCAATCCAGTGATAAACGGTCACATGTAATAACAATCCTATATAACACACCCATAAATATACTATTTACAATTAATAGTGTTACAATTATCACAGATATTCATATAGCAATATATTTAAATTTAGTTGGGTTTGTTTTAAAAATGTCGAAATATTTTACAAAATTAAGAAAAAATTAAATCCTATCCTGACCATAAAAAACCCAAATTCATCACAAGAAGAAAATCCCTGATTTCAATAAATAAAATACATGTGTTATATAATCTTTCTGATGTCAGGTCTTACTTTTCAAAATATGGAAACGGTACCAAAATTGAAGGCGGTTGATTCTGATGATAAATTACTGCACGATTCCAAGACACAGGAGGATATATTGTCTAGTTAAAATATTTATGCCTTCTCTAAAAACTAATGTTTTGATGGTTTAAGATTGACGTTTTTAAAATTTAAACACTGGGAAACCCAAAAAATCAGGTTTTTAACATTTAAAACTGTGTTTGTATAAGATACTATTGGGGGATTTACCACACAAAACCAATTCTTTTCTTCGTTGTTCCCTTTCCTTCTATTGTTAGTTTGACCTCATCAGTAGTAGCTCCCTGAAAGTTGGGTAACTGATTTCCCGATCGATCCGCAGCCATATAGCTTGGTCGAATTCCTCCTTTACCAGCGAAAATTGGACCACATCCCCCACCAGCACCCTCCTGTGCCGCCTTTTTCAGGGGATAAACATTTCTACCACCTTCTTTACAATGTTTTATGACTGCTTGAGCATATTCTTGAAATTGTTTCTCCTCCAATCCAAGAAGTTCTACGTTGGCTTTATCTAGTGCCAGTTGTTCCTGACGTAATAATTCTTCAACTGTCTTGTTTTGTTCCTAAAAGATACAATGAAATGAAATGAAATGAAATGGGGTTTTATGTGCTACAAGGGAATTTAGGCTTGACAGCTGGGGGATTTCTGCCTACTTTTCATCAAAATCCAACTGCTAAGGCTTCTTTCACGGGCCTGCCAAAATGTACACATGAACTCAGGATATTTTTGGTCGATTTCCAATGACTTGGCAGATATTGTCCAAAAGCTGTATTATTTACTTTTCCAAAAGATCTCTGATCTCACCTTTCCAAATATCTGCACAAATCAACAGACCTATCCCATTATAACATTTCTGAAATTTCTCGCTGACATGTGGTATTGTTTGGGACTTAACTTTCAACAGGAAAATTATAACAAAAATTCTAGGATGCAGCCCTTAAAATGACCATTGAAAAAAAACACATGCAAAAAACAAAACTTACCACTTGTTTTGTGTGGTAAGCTTTTAATTTCTCATCCTCAGCTTTCCTCAGTAAACTTTTTTCATATTCATTTTTTTTGAATATTTCATCTGCTGCTTTGCGTAATTGAATCAATTCAAGTTCCTCTCTTTTTTTAGCTTTTCTTTCCTGTTCCTTCTTCAATGTCTGAAAACAATAAATGATATTTAATAAATAGTGAATCCCTCAACCTTTCAAGGCAAAACCTAGATGAATCCAAAATTTTCATGTCATTCGAATCGAAGTATTTTCATTATCAGGCAGATATTGGTGATTTTTCCAACCATTTTCATAGGAGATGCTCGATAAATTGTCAGTCCGTAATGTTCCAAATTGTCAGAATTATTTGAGTGTTCCATGCAGAATTCAGTCCTGTCACAGTTCTGACAGACCCAACAACTAAGGTGGCATGAGTAGAATCGTAACGTAATTTAAACACAATGAATATGTTTCAATTGTCATCGTTGATAGAGATATTATTTTCTATGCAGTCGGCGGGGATCACGTGGCTAAGTGGGTAAGACGCTGGCTCGCTAGCCTGGAGGTCAGGTGTTCGATTCCTGCATTGGCCGAGAAAGTTCATCCAGATTTTCAAGCTTGATTTCCCCTTGTCAGTGATGCAGGACAGAGGGCCTGACAAGGACAGCTGTCTAGTCGTTCGGATGGGATGAAAAACCGAGGTCCCGTGTACACATTGGCGTGCACGTAAAAGATCCCTTGGCAGTTGGAATTCGATATAAGAGTAGGCTGTAGTGCCGCTGCCCGGGCAAAATTACCCTCATTGCACTGTATGGCGTATGCTCGTCTTCATTAGCCCAGTTTAGGAGCAGAACAGTAGGACGTTAAACCCCATTTCATTTCATTTCATTTCTATGCAGTCGGTGCATGCGTTATAGCCCGAAATTCCCATTTTTACTTGATTGTCACTATTTTTGTGATTGATAGAATGTTCAATTGAGTATCCTCATAGATAAGGAAGGTGGTGTAATCCTTTTGGAAGACCCTGGGGGGTTGGATGGCCGAATGGTCAGCGTGTGCAAGCTGTATCATAAGGTCTGTCTTTCAGTCAACTGGCGTGGTTTCGATTCCCCGGTTTTATGTGACAAGGAGTATGGTCGTCTGTCCAACCTTGTGGGTTTTCTCCGGGTCGTCGGGTTTCCTCCCACTGATTAAGACCCCCTACACGCAGGGGAATTATTGAAATAAAATTGAACCATATGTTAATCCCAAAATGACCTAGTTGTGCCAAGTGGATGTTGACCCCAGGTGCAGCCACAGATGTTAAATAGACCCTATGAATAATTTGTAAATACTTACAGATTCATGTCTGTGATCTGTTGATTCCTGAATCATTTTTTTTACTTTTTCAGCTCGTGCTTGGTCTTCTTTAAGTTTCTTTTCTTCTATTTCTTGTTCAGCTCGTAAAATTCTTTCATCCTCATTATCAACTTTATCTTTCATCTGAGCTCGAAGTTTATCTCGAATCTGTTCCAAATGACGCTGTTTTTCACTGTAATCAAATTAATATAGTTTACCTTATTTTAAAAATAAACAATAAAATTCTGAAAAAACAAATTTGTCTCGCACTAAATGATTTTATGCCAGACCTCCAATAAGCCTAGATTCACAAGTCTAATTACATGCATAAAGTCCCAGAATTTCATGAATCTAAAGATAAACAATTTCATAACTGCCTAGTTATTCGAACTGGAGGAAAAACCAATGCACTGTTGTACAATTTATGCTTCTAAAAGATCCTCAGTGTTGCATATGCAAACACAGAAATATTTTATTGCATGTTAGTCTCAAAATGTTTAAAGTGTTGCGTTTCATACATAACTCATGAATTTAGAGATAAATAATTTATTCGAACTGGAAGAAAAACCAAGGTGCACCGTTGTACACTTTATGCACCTAAACGTTCCCTAGTGTTGCACATGCAATCACAAATTTTTTATTGCATGTTAGTCTCCAAATGTTTAAAATATTGCATTCCATACTTAACTCTGTACATTAATAAATCACAAAATGGCTAAATATATTTTGCTGACGAGATGAACACCTTTCATAAATCATTAAAGTAAATACTTACTGATGTATTTGGTTTTCTTTTTCTGCCCGCATTTTCATCATTTTACGTTTAGCAGCAGCAAACATTCTACATTCATCATCCTCTTCCTGAAATTGAAAACAAAATAATTAAAATGTTTTCGGCTTTTTATGTCCGAAATTAAAAAAAATGGATTGAAGATCAGAGGTTTACTGAATGTAATTAATTGGTCAATGTTTTATAAGGTTTGGTTGTTGATCTAGAGAAGCAGCCTATTTGTAAAAATTTCTTTTGTCCACTTGTCCTATGACAGCTAGTACACCGAGGCGAAGTGGATCTGATGTACCAGATGTAGAGAACTTTAAATGTCTATCTACCACCTACCTTTAGGGAGGGGGTACAGTAGGTAAGATCAACCCTAATGAAAGAATAATGGGAAAATTTCTATGAGATAAATAATGGGACAACTGTGTCTCTGATCGTCATTGAGGGATTGAGGAATCCCTTGTAAACTATAATATTGTGAAAGTTAAATATCTAAAAGAAATATCAGTCCAAATATGGTTTGTTTCTGTTCAGTTTTTAAAAATATATGATGAATTGAAAATCTGTCAACACTGGGTATTCTCTGCAAACACTATATACAGGATATGGCCAAAATCCATGGGACTCTTTTATAATAGGACTGAATCCAAGCTGGGAGATTATATACTACTGTTGACATTTTTGAATTAAAATTATTAATTTGACTACATTTTAGCATGGATCAGGCAGCAGAAGGGTAGATATTTTCTGAATAGTGTAAACGACAAACAGAGTCTTTAAGGCCACATCTTTTTTCAAATTTTTATCCTTTATGTCTAACGCTGCCTAATGTTGACTATAAGCAGTAACGTTATGTTGTGCAGAATAACTTATGAGGTTAGAAAGGTGACTCTACTCCTCGCTTGGGATCGAAACCATGTCATCTGAATCCATGACAGACCTAATGATCTAAAGCACCTGCATTAGACCACCCGCCTACCCAAACAATAACCCACAAAGAACATACCTCTTCCTGTCTAGCCTGTAAACTACTGAGCATCTTTGTATCCTCAATTTGTTGAACGTTATCAAACATTAATTGTTGTCTATCTTGACGCTGGATTTTTTCTAATTGTTCTTTCTCTTCCTGGAATTGTATTCCTAGTTTCTTCAATTCTTCACCCTCCACTATATCTTCAGCCTTCTGTAACTCATTCATCCTCATATGTTCTGCCACTCTAAAATTCATACATAAATAATCAGTTATTAAATGACCCTTTACATAAATAACTCTTTCATATTATGTATGTATAATACATTAAATTAAACATTTTCAAGCATAGCATATTTACAATTATGATGTCATAATGGCATTCCTTGTAATATCATAAACACATTTATTGTGATGTAATTTAGAGCAAAGCTCTAAAGCACCGCTCGAAGCGTGGTGCTTGAGCAAAGCTCTTTTCCGGTAACACAGGAGCGTAATTGAAAAAGTCACCCACAGACTGTTGATTTAAAAAAAATTCAGACAGGAACCGGATACACTGGGCAAAACAGGCAATGCGCATGTCAACTTACCAAATCTCGCCCAAGCGAGATCAAGTAACTAACAAAAATAATTCTACACACCAAATCTAGCCCAAGCGAGATTACGCGCCTCATCGAACTATTTCTATGACGCGTCTAATCGATGACGTCATATATTTTTTACGTCAATGAAAATAATACTCACACCTCTTTGTTCTTTTTTTAAAAACAAAATTAATGTATAAAATTTAGATCTAAATAAAAATCACTTGAGAAAATTAATTTTGAAGGTTTTATATTTGACAATAATCAACTTGTCAGGCAATGCCTGTTACATATTAATTGTGTTTTTGGTGATGTCATAATGGCATTTATTGTGATGTCATAATGGTGTTTCTGGTGATGTCATAATGGTGTTTATGCTGATGTCATAATGGTGTTTATGTTGATGTCATAATGGTGTTTATGCTGATGTTATAATGACATTTTTTGTGATGTCTTAACAACATTTCTTATGATGTTATAATGGTGTTTCTGGTGATGTCATAAAAGTATCTGTATTGTCCTAACATTTAACATTCTGTTTTTTAAGATTGGTCAGGTATGTTTTGCTGATCAGTTTTAGATTGGTCAGGTATGTTTTTTAGATTGGTTAGGTATGTTTTGCTGATCAGTATTCTCGTCTGAATAAATTTAATATATATTTCAAGAATGTTGATATTCTTCTTTAAGAATTCAACCTCCTATGATATATTTATTTTATGCATATTTATATTTTTAATATGAAGAAATTACATGCAAGGGTTGAATTTAAAATAAATCCAGAATTGGAGAGAGAGAGAAATGGCAATTTAATGTCCACTTGATACAAACTAGGTCTTTTCGGGACTAGCATGTGGTTCTGTTTTATTTCCATAATTCACTCGCCCATTTAGCAGTGGGGGGAAACCGCAGGACCCTGAGAACCCCCCCCCCCCCCATTAAGAATTGGTACAAACACACCCTTAAACTATTTCAGCATGTGACCCCTAAAAATAATTCCAGAATATAATCTTACTGTAATTTCTGGAAATCACAGGTTTCTGCTGCTGCATTAAGTCGCACCTGTGCCTTCGCTTGTTCTCGCTGTATACCCTCTTCATATTCTCTTCGTACCCTTTCCAACCATTCTTTATCCTTTCCATCATTAGCCCTGTCTTTCATTTTTTTCAGATCTAATTGGGCTTCTCTCTCTTTTAATACTTCAGTAAGTAACAAAGCTCCCTACAAAAATATCAAAAACAAGATTTAAAGGATACATGATGGTTCTGACTTTACTACCCGAATGACATTTACAACAGTTCTCCACTTGGAATTTTCTAAAAGTTGTTTTGTTGATATCTTTGAATAACATGACCTGCTGAATATGATGAAAAGTGTTGATTTCATTCAGTTTGACATGTTCATTTCTCTCTCCACTATCTATTTATATTATCCTAAATCATCACATCCAGATTAAACAAATTTTAACAGATTTCACTGTAACCTTGGTATCATTTAATCTTGGGTATTTAGCACTAATTTCTTACACAGTCATTCAATATCAATTTTTTATTTAAAAATTTGTAAAAAAACGTTTGAAATCACTAAAAATCATGTAATTTGTACTTGTGTCCTGTTTAAAGCTGACCATTCAGTTTTGATAATGAGTGTCCAATTTACATGTAAGCGTGAAAGAAATTGGTGCTAGATACACAAAATTAAATGATACCCGGGTAACAGTGTTTTGAGTTGAGAGATTTCATAACATCTGGGACTATAATGTCCACTCAACATAGCTAGGTTATTTTGAGACTAACATGTATCTTTATTTCATGCACAAGCCTGGAAATAAGACACCTGTCCCATAGTCAGGCTTTGTCTGGCACATTTTCTCAGGTACCAGTCATGTTGTCTTTTTTCATAGATTTTTTATTGATGTTATATTATTATAAATGTCAGGCACCAAGATAAAATTTCTGGCACAAAGATAAAATATCTGGCACAAAACTAAAATATCAGACACAACTAAAATTATTATTTCCTGGCATATTTATGATGTTAGTAGACATTAAATTAAATATTAAAAACTAACATGGAAGTTTTTAACTCTGTCTGTTTGGTAATATTGTTGTGTTTTAGCTTTATCTATTGCTTCTTTACGTTGTGCAGCCTGATATTTAGCTTCTTCAATATCAATCAACACTCTCTCCTCTTCTTCTTTCTGCTCACGTATCCTTCTTGCTTGTAATTTCTTTTGTCTCTGACCCTGTTAAAGTTATCAATAAGATAAATACTAATACCATGCAATACAGAAATCATTGAAATTATTACTAAATAAGCTTAATTAGCATTTATGGCATTTTTAAAATTATAGAACCAGTGGTCTTTATTAAATTATCCTAATTTCTATTTTAATTTCACAAATTCAAATTTTTGGGTTTGAATCTCATTATTTCATCAAACATGTGATAAAATTAATCTTATTGCCTGGAGAATGCTGGAAGAGATATGAAATGAAGACGGGCATACAGCATACAGAAATTTTGCCCGGACAAATACGGCCTACTCTTTTATTGAATTCAAATTAATTATGAGACATGAAATTATTGCCACTGTCATTTTATGTAGTCTTAGTTGTCAAGTAGTGTTACAATGGTAACCTTACAAAAAAAATGAAAGATATCGCGCCAGTTCACAAACACGATTCTAGTGGTACAAGTTTAATCAGCATATCACATCTGATGCATGTAGCCTAATCATTGGATCAGATCAGTTGAAGTACTTTCAACTGGCAATAGTATTTGTTGACTTTGATTTTAATGTTATATTTACAAATAGTCACTGATGTTAAGTAGTCTAACAATATTACTTACAGCTATTGTGTTTCCCCAATTTTTTACAATTTCTTTTGATTTTTGTCTTTGAGCTTCTTTTTCTGCCTTTATTCTTTGTACCCTTTCCTCCTCGATATTCCGTCTGTTTAATTCATCGTGAATTCTTGACCAATCAGCTTTACTTAAAACTGTCACCTGACGTAAATCTGTACCATCTGGCAGGTGCATACTTGGTGCTGGAGGCTCAAGTTGTGTAGGGGTAGCTGAAAGAAATAAATAGCAAAATCAAAAAAAATAAGATATGACAATTTGTTTTTTAGGAATATCCACCAATGACAACTTAAGTGATCCAGATTGAATGTGTCGAGGATATTTACAATTTATGAGCTAGTCTAAGATGTATTCACTTCCACTAAAATGAATATTATTATTATTCTGCACAAATGGCCATTCAATTTACGCTAAAATCATCACGACTATTCACTATAGACAACAAATCTATATCTTATAGCTACAAAAAATATTGCTTCTTCTCACTCTTTAGTATTATTATAATATACTAATATAGGATTATAAATAATAATACATTTATGATTTTTACCCCTATTCCCTTCCTTTAACAATTTTTCTCCATAAAGGAGCAAAACAACAATTTTTCTCCATAAAGGAGCAAAACCTCTAAATCAATAAAATCCATAGAAATAAGCATTCGAAATTAAAAACACAAATTATAATTCATTGGTCCATTTCAATTATTATTGATGTTTTTATCTTACCGTGAAGATATGGGATCCTGAATAAAATCCAATATTTAACTTATTAAGCTTATTAATTAGGCCTAATAGCCACAATAAACATTTAAAATTAGTAGCCTACTACTGACGCCTGTAGCCCCATAATATGATAATCATATAGGGCCTACTATAGTATATAGGCGTACAACAGTGGCTACACAACGTCATGTACTCGTTGGACATACTGATTTCGAGCACCATTTGTGATGAACAAAGAAAGACATTCCGGTTGGTAGAAGAAAATTTGCCCAGAAGGTCTATCCATAGGTACTAATACCGTGGGCCGTAGCGTATATTATACTTTATTACAGTTTATTATACTAGGCCTATCTAATAATATCTATTAAAGAACCCTTCTCGGCCTTTTCTTCTAATCTATGGATTTATCTCTTACCTCTTGTAGTACCCCTACGCCGGCCATGCATAACAGTAGTCATGTTTATAAACTTTAGTTGTTGTTATTTTCGAAAATATCGAGAGTAAACTACATGAAGAAAGTAAATTAAAAGCCTTGATTGTCCGCAAATCCCAACATAAATCTTGTTGTCAGGTAAACAACCATGTATCGAAGACGTCACTTCCTTTGCATTAGACCTTGACCTGTCAAGAGAGATAACTCTCATGTCAAAATGAAAGCAGAATAGAAATTCAGAAGAAAATAAAAAAAGATGCTTCCTTGAAAGTTGCATTAAATTATATGACACTGTTACTAGTTTATAGGTCGGTTTAAATACGGATAGAGAACGTGAGCATGCATTGTTGGATGATACATATAATTAGTAGTTGACAAAGTTGTGTAACAACACTAACAACAGCACATATTCTCAAAATTTCGTTAGGCTGTCTACTTACTTTATACGCTCTAAGATTTAATAGAGGGTGAATGGTGATTTGTTATAAACAGAAGTTTTGCCATGATTTTTGTTTGATTATATTACTTCAATTTTACATTTATTATTCTCTTTTTACAAATTAAAAAGATAAAAAATAAAAACAAACCTATTGCTGATTTTTTTTTTCAAATCATAGTCATGTCAATGTTCATCAACATTATTAGTGACAGTACTGACAGTTTTATGACAGGTTTTTACAGGATTTTTATTTTATATGTTTTATTATATGTATTTCAGATTTTAATATGGCAACTGATAAGATTCTCTTGGCGTTTGATTTTGACCACACTATTATAGATGATAATAGTGATATCCATGTGATAAAATTGGCACCAAATGGCAAGCTACCACAATCTATACAGGACCAATATGATGATAATGGTTGGACTGAATATATGGGAACAATCTTTAAATATCTGTTTGAAAATGGCATCAACCAAGAGGATATCAGGACTTGCATGCATGAAATTCGGTTAACAGATGGAATGGAGGAATTATTTGAACAAGCTAAGAGTGATCGCTTTGAATCAATAATCATATCAGACTCAAATTCAATTTTTATACAATTCATATTGGAGAAATTGAACTTGTGTGAAATCTTTTCAGAAGTATTCACGAATCCAGCTGTATTTGATGAAGATGGTTGTTTGACTATTAAGCATTATCACACTCAGGATTATTGTCAGTTAAGCACAATTAATTTATGTAAGGGAAGAATTCTACAGGATTTTATTGAAATGCGAAAAAAGGAAGGGATCGTCTATTCACATGTTGTCTATGTAGGTGATGGTTCAAATGATCTCTGTCCTGGACTAAAGCTGGAAAATCAAGATTTTCTTTGTCCTCGCAAAGGTTTCAGTCTTTGGAAAAAACTAAACAAAAAGAAAAATGTTCAGCCAGAGATTAAAACAATGAAAGCTGGTGTGGTCGATTGGGATAATGGCAGGGACATTAAAAAATTATTAGAAAGGTTGTAATTATTCTCTTCTCTGTACAATATCTCTCATAGTTGAAGACCTCTAATGCGAGTAAGAACTAAATGCATTAAATGTATAATTATGTAATATTTAAACTAGTGTATTAATGCTCTGATCGGGATATTGTGAGTAGTGTTTATTTCAATCATCAATCAAGCCTGGAAATAATCCCCTTGTTAGACATGATCAGGCACAAATTGAGGCTTTGTCAGATACAATTTTTATTCGCCCACATTGAAATGTTGTCGGTCTGTCGGTCCGTCCGGCGTCCACAAGCAATTGCGGACGCTCTATAGGCTAAATTTAATATCCGATTGACTTCAAATTTATACACAGTGTTTAAGGTCATGTGACGATGAAGCCTATTGATTTTCAGCGATTTTCGATAATTACTGCCAGAGTTATGGCCCTTGATCACTTCAAGGAATCTTGTGGACGCTCTAGAGGTCAAAGTTAATATCCGATTGACTTTAAATTTATACACAGTGTTTAAGGTCATGAGACGAAGAGGCCTATTGATTTTCACCGATTTCCGATAATTACTGTCAGAGTTATGGCCCTTGATCACTTTAAAAAATCTTGTGGACACTCTATAGGCTAAAGTTAATATCCGATTGACTTTAAATTTATACACAGTGTTTAAGGTCATGAGACAAAGAAGCCTATTGATTTTCAGCGACTTCCGATAATTACTGCCAGAGTTATGGCCCTTGATCACTTTGAAAAATCTTGTGGACGCTCTAGAGGCTAAAGTTAATATCCGATTGACTTTAAATTAATACACAGTGTTTGAGGCCATGAGATGAAGAATCATATTGATTTTCAACGAGTTTGGATAATTACTGCCAAAGTTATAGCCCTTGATCACTTTGAAAAATCTTGTGATGCTCTAGAGGCTAAAGTTATCATCCGATTGACTTCATATTGATACACAGAGTTTATGGTCTTGAGACAAACAAGTTTATTGATTTTCAATGAATCTTTATGACTTGAACAGCTAAATTAAAAGTTTCGTATACTAGACATTAGCATGGGGCAGAACTTTATAAAAAACAAACAAAATCTAATAGTTTTCTGATAATTACTTAATGAGTTGTTACTCTTAATCAGATTTTAATGTATTATAAATGTTTCATTACCGAAAATAGTAAAAATATGCGACAACTCTTGTTGACTGCCCGGACTATATAGCTCCGTATGTTTCGTTGCCTGGCAACCTATCTTTCTAATAGCTGTCATTTTGTCTGGAACTGATTTGTCTTTTTTTAATGTCTTAAAATATGCCTGTTGGCACAATATTCAAGATGTCTACCATTTTGTCTGGTAGAACTAAAATCACTATTTCCATGCACATTGATGTTGACTGTCTTCAGGTTGAATTAATTACAAGATGCATTGATTTCTTATCGTACATGTACATATAAAGGGTCAATTGACAAATTTAATTAAAATTACCTAATTGTTATCAAATAATAAATGGCAAATAAAGACTTAATTATATAATATATATTTGTTGTGTTTGAAAAAAATATTGGTCCTAAGCTTGCCTGTAGAAACCAAAGAAGTTGGATCTATATATTTAATGATATTACTATGTTCATGTACATTAATTGATACATGTATGTGATATATATATTCTATTTAAATAGTTCATTGGACTCAAACCTAATAGAATAATATTTTGGCAGTTGACTTTGCTAGAGACGCAGGGCTTTTCATATGGCAAGGAAAAAATAAATCAAATACTTAAATTGATACAAAATATGTCACTGAGAACCTGGGCATAAATTTCTATATTTTGGTGAATATATTAGGATTTTTATAATTTGCATACAATTATGATCATAAATAAACTTCTACCTGGCAAATAAATGCCAATAGCGGTTTACAAGTACCCGAGTGATGCTAATTAAATTATTTTATTTAAATTAAATAATGATATACATGTAATTAACATACTCTGTAAATCTAAATTGTTTTTTTTACTATTCCTTCATTGTGAACTTTTAATGAATTTGTATTTTCATTAAATCAGGGTGGTGATTTGTTGAAATTAAATTTATGTGTTTTTTTACAGTGTCTTTTAGAATCATTTGAAAAAAAATAAGTTTGTAATGTATATTTAACATTTTTTTAAAATTTATTGTAATGTTTTTAATTGTGATAATAAATCTGTTTTATCACCTAATCTTCAAAATTTAATTAAGTTTTGTAACACATGCTAATTAACCACACTGTTAAACATACATTATGCAAGAGCTAAATCTGCCTATTGCAGGTCTTTCTTTGGGTCTGAAATGTTCTATAAACTATCAATTAGACACTTATTAACATGAAAAGACCTTAATCAACTCTCGATGGCATCTTATGTGTCAGATTTTCACTGGATTTTAATCTGATTTGCTGCTCAACAGTCATTGATGATTTAATAAAAAAATCGTACCGACTTTAGTAATGATGATCGAGGCTAGGCCTAAAATTCAAACACTAATATCTCAGTTCAGAGTGGATTATTTGACTGAAATTTTCAGCATATTCCCTTTACATTATCTAGTTTTTAACTATTATAGTGAGAACTGCCAGCTCTTTATTTAATCTTCCATAATGCCCCTTTAAATTTTGATGTCCCATCATTTCATTCCAAAATTTGTTTCTGTAATTGGCTAGTATGGTGCAAGGTTAATGTACAAAGATATGGATGTGACAGAGATCTGACTGTTGAAGGAAGAAAAGATCATATCTTGTCTGTGCACCAAGACTGGTGTAGTAAAATGTGAATCACAGGGTGACAAGAAGGAGATGTTATCTTTTAGTTTTATAAGCACACATTATTTCAATCACAGTAATGTTTTCTATATCAAATCTTTAATCTGTTCCTGTCATTTAAAATGGGTCTTTGGCAAACTTAAAGGAGCTAAATCGCTAATATTTTGGACCTAGAAATTGGCACAAATGAGTCGCAACACACATAATAATGTAATATGAATTTATATAAACTGATTTACATTTAATTGTGTCCGTTTTACTGTGAATTGTCATCAGTTATGTCGGCGAAATATGCCAGAAGTCTCAACCGCAAGTCAGTTTCTAGCGTCTGGTTATTCCAGTCAACACCGATATTATTTATTGCGCATGCTCTCCAAATAAGAATATGACATCACCGTTTGACATGACTTGTGGAATATGTCTAACCTCATTCTTTGAGCCCCTTGTTACAAATGGCGCTGAAACGCATTATGGTACACGATTCGTGTACCAATGGTAAAATGTTTATTTTGTCTTAAATATTGGATATCAGAAGCCCATCTTTTCCAGGTAAGATCACAACACCAATGCTGATTTAAAGATACATTATTGGAGATTTTTATATAGAGAGTTGGCCATTCTTGCTATAACAGTTCAAAAGTAGATGATGAAAGAAGAATATATTGAAAAATTCAGTCAAATTACTTCATTCTGAACATAGTTATCATCGTTGTAATATTTGCCTAGAAATGGTAGCGAAATGTGTCTTCACCTTTGCTGATCGTTTGATTGACAGGCGTTAACTCCACCTACATATCTCGATTATCAAGTAAAGTTTTCAATGGCATACGGAAACGCTTTACAGCGGCCTCGCTAAGTACACTCTATCATTTAGCCTCGATCTAACTGACGTTTTTTCATCAGGTTACCCCTTATCTGATTTAATCAATTAGTGAAATCCTATTTAAATCCGAGCTGTAGCCGAGCCATCCGTGGGTCTACAGAGTTGATTTTGGTCTTGTTGTTTAAATAAAGATCTAATTTATAATTTCTATAACATCTGAAGCCTAAATTAAGACTTGCAATAATCAGATTTAGCTCTTGCATAATGCATGTTTAAATTGCAAAAACAATTGTGTTTTCAATGTTGAAGATTTTGGATGATATTGAGTTATGGACTTGGCTACTTTAAGTTCATCAGTTGAGAAAAGGAAATTTTCTTATGTATACCGGTAGTATGTAATAAAGCCTTCATTATTTCAATATTATTCAACTTTGTATGGTATGGTCTTAAATATCTTGGATGAAAAAAAGACACTAACTAACATTTAAAATAAAGTTAAAATAATCATACAATTTGGAGAAAAATATTTTCACAAAATTTCAATTGTACCTAACATGTTACAGAAAGTAATTATGGAATTTTAAAATTTACTAGATAAAAAGTGAATTGAATTAAAGTGTTAAGTTGTTTATAATTGGTCATTTAGCTTGAATTTGTGAGCAGACTTGCTACTATATAGGCAATCTGGATTTTAAAGGACTGAATAGTTTTGGCAATTAAATCAATTAGAGTAGCTTTAAAAGCATGCATCGACAATAAAACCGAATGGACATAAAAATTAACGTTGATCTTAATTAGAGCCACCCTCTGTGAGTATTGCTCTGGATCACCAATCAGGAGGTCCTGAGTTCAAGCACAGTGTTGACCGCAAAAGTTCCTCTGGATTTTTCAGCATGGTTTCCCCTTTGCTGAATGGTGAGTCTGGCAAGGAACAACATCTAGTTGTTCAGCTAGGATGAAAAACCAAGGTCCAGTGTATATCACTGGAGCACTTAAAAGATCTCCTGACAAATGTAAATCGAAATATGAGTTTATAGCCTATCTTCGTATGCCCGGTCGGTGCTGAAAAGTAAGACGTACCATAAACCCCCATAAGGTCAGAGGTACACCATATTGCTTAATCGAGTTTGAAATGAACAAATGAAATGGGGTTTAACCTGCTACTGATCTGCACTTACCAGGATAATGAAGCAAGCTTGATTGAGAGGGGTACGTATACCTTAAAAAAAAAAAAAAAAAATCACCTGAAATTGATTTAACTTCTATTTAGATAAGAAAATTAATTGGGTTATAGTGGAAAAAAAGTATGAGTATTGGACATATCTAACTGAACCTCCATCAATATTTCCCTGTACATTTATTGTTGTTCGACAACCAATGTTTTGACAACACGGCCAATCTACTTTCACTTTGTTTCTCAATCATTCAGTCTCTTTTTATAAATTCCCTTCCTAATGACGGTCAGACTGGCTGTTCGAGAGCTAAGGGTTGAAAGTTCAATATCAAGAACGGGTCGGCTTGAGTTCAATATTGTTTTGACCATTGACGTGCAGTCTGGATCGAAAGGGGTCAATAAACATTGCAAGCTCTTTTTTTAAATATTTCCGGTTTCGGTAAGTATTTTCAATTTTCTATTAGGCCTATTTGTAAATTACCAGCAGTTAGCCGAGACGTAATTTTCTATTTTGTAATGATTTGGTACCGTACTGGTAATGAAATAAATAAACTATTTATAATATTAAACAGAAAATACAGACGAAATGCCAATATAACACTGTTTGTTATTGTAACAGTGCATTGTGTTTTGTGGAGCTAAGGTTAATTTGCTCATGTTTATCTGGAAACTGATCTTGATTATATTAAATTGCCACCATCGCTTGGAACAGCTTGAATAAGGTACAAGAATGAACAGGTTCTTCTTCCTATAATATAAAATGGTAAAAGACCAGTGAGAATCCCAGTCTTCTTAACTTTTGCCTTAACAATTATTAGGAAATTAAAAATACTTTTGGTATTTTTCAAACTCTTTTAAAAAATAACATAGGCCTACGGTTAGACTATCATTTCATTTGTCACATGTGCAATACTAGAGAAGAGAAATATTGTCCAGACTTGCATGTCTGCACTTCATCCAATTCCAACGGAAGCTGTGAACATCGACAAGGTGGACCTCATTTTTTGTACCATTCGAATGACTAGGTAGTTATAAAGTTGTTAATTGTTAGATTAAATTTGGAGGCTTGGTATAGAAAAGTGAGCCACATACTGGTACTTTTAAAATTGTCAGCCCCACAGCCACTATCCTGAGCAGCCACTACTATCCTGAACGGACAAAGTGCTCTGACATTCCAATTGACAAGTAATATGAAAATAATGCTTTACCCCTGGGGATCTCTAGCCTACCAGAGAACTAGAAAGATTCTGAAATTTTAGATCAGCAATGTAGATCTTATTAAATATCAATCTGATTATAACATGAAGATCCTATTTCGTTTCATTTTTTATAGTTCAAAATTTCATTTTCCTTGTCTTCACAACCCTAGGATCTGGAAGACTTGTTATATAACAGGCGTTCTAGTTGATGTGAAGAATTAGCCAATGAAACGTTCTGTTATGGCAAGTTCTCTGCACGGAACTGTGGGTAAACCCCAAGAAACATCAACGCTGATTGATTAATCAATATCTGGCATCATAGGGTCAAAAGCCACTCATACAACCCCTGACACAACCTCCCATTACAACTGGTCAGATCTTCATGTAGTGTAGGCCATCGAAAGTATAAAAAAACGAAACGAAATATAGATCTGTATTTTAATCAGATTGTATTAAATATTTTAGTGAAAAGGTAAAAAATATATAGGCTACATATATTTTGTACTATATTTAAATTATCAGAAAGTAGATATGTTTCTAATCTTATTATGCAAAAAAAAACCCAAACCTTTATTGAAAGGATAAAGATAAATAGATACAGGATAACATATATATTTACTTAAGCTATCATTGTTCTATTGGCCGTTATACACTGAATGAGTGTCCCATCTATTGACATTGAATTTGGACCAGATTCTGTATCACACAGTCTATACTACATGGACATTTTATATGAAATTAAATGGGGATTAACTGTAGCATATAAAACAGAATTATTACTAAAGAAATCTTTATGTCACTGACATTTCAAGTGGGAAATCCTATAATTTGTTCTCAAGGTTATGAAAAAGACGACTGCAAATAGAAGTCATGCCTAGCGAAGCAAATCCAAACAATGTATGGGATCTTTTTTACTGAATGCATAAGAGTCCTATCTATTGACATTTAATCTGTGCTAGATTCTATTGATGTCACATGGATGAATTTTACAGGATGCTAGGGTCCAAAAAACAAATGAATTATATATAACTAATCAGATAACTGATATTAGTTAATAGTTTTGTGAATCGATGGTGATACCAGGTGTGATCCAATCTTAACAGTTTCTGTCTACAGTATATAGGTATTAATTATTTCTTTATATGAATAATTATGTAAGAAATGTTAGTTTCGTTGACATTTTGAATGGGGAGCTACGTTGGCTAATTGAGTAAGACCCTGGCTCGCTAGACTGGAGGAAGCAGGTCCACTCCCTGTGTTGGCAGAGAAAGTTCAACAGTGGTTTACCCTTGTCAGTGCTGCAGGACGGAGGGCCTGACGGACAAAAAACCAAGGTCCCGTGTAAACATTGGCATGCACGTGAAAGATCCTGTGGCAGTTGGATTTCAATATAAGAGTAGACCGTAGCACTGCCGTTTGGACAAAACTTCCCTCATAGCACACTGTATGGCGTATGCTCGTCTTCATTAGCCAAGTCAGAGCAGAGTAGGGTGATAAATCTCATTTCATTTTCGTTACTAGAGTAACTAATTTCATTTCATTTTCATTTTGAATGGTATTATTTATAATTGAAGAACGAATCTCTATACTTTATTTTTTTTTTTTTTTTTAAAAAGGAGAGGAATGGACTGGAGCTTTTCTGCCTACACATGGGTTCTTTTACATGCAACCAAAAGTGTGACTAGACAATTTTTCTTGGGATTCCAACCAGGGAGATTCTAACCACGAGTGCAGGCTACTGCAACACCCTCTTATTTAGAAAATGTTTATTGATTACAAAGATAATTATTTTATAGATCAGCACCCAACCTCTGGAAACAGCTTTTCAAAAAGATTTTGAAATCTTTTTGTAGACTGCTGTTATTATTTATAATTGATGTTATATTATTGATATTTTCAGCTGTTGATAAGAAATGATGGCAGAATCGGAACGAGTTCCTCTCCTCGGAGACAGTAGAGACAACCAACCTACCCATAACAACTACACAAGTACAGATTTGATTCATACAGATTTAAATCATACAACTACAAGAGACTCTTACGATAAATTTGACGATCAAAGAATTTTTTCTAATAGTATGAGTGATCAAATAAAACCTATTAATTTATCATGGCAGAATGTAAACTGTAGTGTTGAAGTACCAGTGGGAAAGGGGTGTTGTCGTAAGGACAGTGGGGCCACAGAAACAAAATATGTTTTAAGAGATGGTGAGTAATGGGCTAACACTAGTCTAATTTTAGTCACTAATTAACCTATCTACAATATGTGTTAACTTTTAAGTTACTGACTCAAATAATAGGGGTTATTGTTTTTTTACTAGCTTTAAATATAAACCAAATTTAGGTTATTAACCAAATTTTGATTGCTAACCATTAAATGGGTTAGATTTTAACTACTGGCTTAAAATATGAGACAAATTTTGGTTACTATCCAATGTGTTCAATTTTAATTACTAGCTTAAAATATGAGCCTAGTAGTACATTTTACTTATTTGCCTAGAGTGGATGTCAAATTTATGGTCAAACTTCAATCATTAGCCTGGAATATGGGCCTAATTTCGAGTTTGGCCTTGAGTATGGGTCAAATGTTAAGTTTGGCCTTGGGTATGGTTCAAATTTTAGATTTGGCCTCGAGTATGGTCAAATTTTAGGTTTGGCCTTGAGTATGGGTCAAATTCCAGGTTTGGCCTAGAGTGGGCCTATGGGTCAAATTATAGATTTGGATTTCATTTCTCATTTTCTTCAACTACAAATCAGGTGATCTGAATTTATCAAAAATAAAATGGACACCCACCTGTTAATTCTAAGATGAACCCTGTTAAATATTTTGTTATCGAATAAATTTTCAAAGATTTATTAAGTTTTGAAAATCCTACAAATAACAATCTAAATCTTAGAATAAGTCAACTGAATTAAGACGTAGGAGACTGGAAGAAAATTCCACTTATCCTAATCCTTCCCTGCAATTGTCAAGGTTGCTGTTTTACTTCATATCCTGTGTTTCCACTTCCCTGTGAATGTGTATCAAGTGGTTGGTCAGAATTAAAAACTTGGTGCATTGAGAACCAATCTAATTGAAATAAGGTTTTGGGTTGGTGGCAGTAGAGAGGAATTCGTTGAGCCTCGTTGATTACTGGTAAATTTTGTAACAATCTGATTAAAATACAGATTTATATTTCGTTTCTTTTTTTTTACACTTTCGATGACCTACACTACATGAAGATGTGACTGTTTGTAGTTGAAGGTCGCGTAGGACGTCATACGAGCGGCTTTTGACCTTTTGACTTAGACATTTTGGTTAACCAATCAATTTGATGTTTCTTGTTGGTTACCTACAGTTCCGTGCACCTCAAGCCAAGAACTCGCCGTAACAGACCATTTCATTGGCTAATCCCTCACATCATCAAGAACACGGGTTATATAACAACTCTTCCAGATCCTAGTGTAGTAAAGACAAGTAAAATAAAATTTTGAACTATAAAAAATGATACCAAATAGGATCTGTGTTTTAATCAGATTGATTGAGAACAAACTGTGTTTATTATTGCAGTAAATGGTTTGGTTAAACCTGGTACGTTATTAGCCATCATGGGAGCTAGGTAAGTCGGTCTTCATTTCTTCAAATCATTAAAAATTAGAACTATGTGCATTAGCCATAATCAGGAGTATGAAGGTATAGTAGTTATGAAACAAGGTTCTTAATGTATTTTAAAACAATTTCTATGTCAGTATTGATTTATGTATTTATTTGGCAAACATAATAAATGACATATTGATTCATTGTAAAACAAAATAATTTAGAACTAATTTGGGGGCCCTTGGCTGCAGCTCAGCCAGTCCCTCTTTTAATAATACGGCTCTCACATCATTTCATTTCAAACATTTTTGTTTATTTCAGTGGGGCTGGTAAATCTACTCTAATGAATGTTCTAACATGTAGAAATGTTAACCAGTATAAATTAGGTGGTCAGATCAAAGTAAATGGTCTGGTGGTAGGTCGAGGAATCAGGAATATTTCTGCATATTGTCAACAGGATGAATTATTTATACATACACTAACAGTCCGAGAACATTTACAATTTAGGGTAAGTTTTACACCAATTCTAGACTGCCCTTGTAGCTTATTGGAGTGTGTGAATCCCCCACCCCACCCCCATGTATCTATAAATACAGGGCACTAACATTCTTCTGAGCTTAAAGCTGAACTCCGGTTACAATAATAGCGAAATAATTAAATTAAAAAAAGTTAACGCCCCCAAGCCGCCATACTTGTTTCCAATTTGTGAAATAAATATGGCGGACATGGAGGCTTATGACCTGGAAAGGTTAGCCACTCTCACTTCCAGTTTGTTTCTTGTCAGCCAGCTGTACACATCCGGTCTTATTCTCTACACACGCTTCACTGATTGCTCTATTATTTCCCAACAGTATACCAAATTATTGAAGATTGCAAAATGTCTGATCCGTTAAGCCTGTAAATAATTATATGAACTGCGTCTACTACTATATAGCCTAAGCTTTACTCTAAAACAAAAGATGCAAAAAGGTGGCTTACCCCAACCTGAAATTTCAACCAAAACAATAATCAGCTGTCAATGAAGTGAAATAAAGTGTTGCCGGGCAACAAATATACACCCACCAAGTGACAAGGACAGTAACTTTGTGAAAAGTATTTGTCTAACTGTGAATTTCAATAGAATTCCTCCTTAGGACTAGCAGAACAATTCCAGCTAGTTTTGTTTTTTTTAAAAATGTCAAAAACCTTGACTTGTAGAGTGTTTATAAAGTTTTTAGTATAGAAAAATATTTGCGCAAATCTGAATTTCAATAGGATTCCTTCTTACGACCAGCAGAAAAATTCCAGCCTATTTGGAAGAAAAATTTTTGACTTGTAGAGAATTTACAAGGTTTCTGGAACAGTAACTCTGTAGAAACATCTTTGTGGAAATCTGAAATCTGATATGGTTGCTCTTAGGGCCACTGGAAGTTTGTAACATTTTACACATTTGGCTATTTTGATTCTTCTAACAAAAAATGCCTTCTGGAATCAATTTCCACAACAGCACAAAGCGCCTTATGTCACTTCCATTTCATGCGTGGAATAAATATCTACATTTACAGGTTGTATTTTGATACTTTCAGGCGTTATTAAGAATGGATAAAAGTATATCTAAAGAAGGTAGACTACAACGAGTTGAGGAGGTCATAAGAGAGGTTAGTTATCACCGTGTATACCTAGCAATATACATATTATAGTAATTTGTGTGCCTTCGCTGAATCAGGTGTTAGCAGTAAACAGCCAGTGAAAACATAGCTCTTCTCATAATGCCACGACATCGTTCACTGATCTATTCTGAATACATGTTAAATCTTTTGTAATGTAAAAATTCAACACCAGAAAATCAAAACAAAATAAAAAAATTTGAACTTGCCGTTAGAGATAATATTCATGATCTGAGGCATTTAAAACAACTTTCAACTATCCTTTGTTCTAATAACATATTTTATATTGTATATATTATGTTTATTAGTTAGGTTTATCTTCATGTGCTGATACTCAGATTGGAGGACCAAGGACTAGAGGTATTTCTGGTGGAGAAATGAAAAGATTATCATTTGCATCAGAGGTAAGGTGATAATTATTTGAATTTTAATGGCCAGGCTGAAGGAAGTGCTTGTCTTTCATGTTCATATTGGTCATTACTATTTCAAATGTAAGGATCTGATATGACACCTTGATGTTCCATATAGGTCTTTTTAATTTAATGACTACTGCATTCCCACCTAAATATTTACTTAGAAGTGCAGTTTTAGGACATGATTTTGAAAGCTACATCTTTCAATCACATTCCAGAATGGAATACAATAGAAAATAGGGTGAACAACCTGCTATATTTGGGGAATTGACAGTTAACGATATCAGCTTTTGTCTCTCTAGTAAATTACATAGTTAAATACAAATATATCTGTATCCCTTTAATACAGTGAAGTGGTATAAAGTGTTCTAGAATAAGTACCGATACACAACGTTGTCTTATTTCCTTTTTTTATTTCAGGTATTAACCAATCCTCCGTTAGTATTTTGTGATGAACCTACGTCAGGTTTAGATACGTTCATGGCACAGAATGTTGTTCAGACATTAAAATTAATGGCTTCTAAAGGTCGTACAATACTCTGTACAATTCATCAACCTTCATCAGAAGTATATGCTATGTTTGATCAGTAAGTATTAAATCAGGCTTCATCAGAAGTTTACACAGTGTTTGATTATAATTAGTAAGTGTTAAATCAGGCTTCATCAGAAGTTTATAGCCTACTATGATTGATTAGTAAGTATTAAATCAGGCTTCATCAGAAGTTTATAGCCTACTATGTTTGATTAGTAAGTATTAAATCAGGCTTCATCAGAAGTTTATAGCCTACTATGTTTGATTAGTAAGTATTAAATCAGGCTTCATCAGAAGTTTATAGCCTACTATGTTTGATTAGTAAGTATTAAATCAGACTTCATACTCTATGCTATGTTTCGTTAGTAAGTATTGAATCAGACTTCATCAGAAGTTTATGTTTGATTAGTAAGTATTGAATCAGACTTCATCAGAAGTTTATGTTTGATTAGTAAGTATTACATCAGAAAAATTCTCTAGTAATTCCCTATTAGCTGGTAAATTCCCAGATGAAAAATATCAATAGTCAGATGAGTGAATTCTTGCAATTAAATAATAAAGTTTATATTTTGATACTGTGTAATCAAAAACACCATAACTTTATATGGTTAAATTATATTTCACATTTTCTTACAAACAAGGAGAGACGACATGCTCGATGGACATACTATGTAAAGGGATGTCGGGTGGCCTTGGAAAGTGCCTAAGCCTTGTGACCCAATGTATCATCATTCTCTAGATCCGAGTGAGTTTGGCAACCCGAGTCAGTCAGCATCTTCTTGCCATAATCCACCCTAGCAGTACTGATTGGGTTTTTATTTTATTGCTTCTTCCCAGGAGCCACACATTTGGAATGGAGTAAGACTGGTTCTGAATAGTCCCATTAGATGCCTTAAACCCAGTGAATGGAGGCGACGGAAATTTCTTTTGTCACACTTACAATCCCACCACACTTTGAACTAGCCCCTCGACTGGTTACTCTAGCTAGTTTCCCAGGAAACATTTGTCTGAGACATAATTTTCTTTGGAAGCAGACGTTAACTCCCCTGAACGAACAGACTATTAATGAGCATAGTATTAGGTATCATACTGTAGTGATACCACTGGAAGATGCTACCTCAACTACATGTATATTTTTGTCCCCCACCTTTCAAGGAAAGTAGGGAACTATTAGAATGTGTTCGTCCGTCTGTCTGTCTGTCCGTCACACTTTTTGGGACACAATAACTCTCCTTCTAATTGAGCTAGAATGTTCAAACTTGGTGTAGGTGTTTATTAGGGGAATGCCTTAATGGAAGTCGAAGATGAAAATTTTCTGCTTAGGGTAAGCAGAGTTAAGCAATTTGATTGGTTGATGCTTTGGGACACGATAACTTTAGTTCTAATTTAGTGAGAGTGATGAAACTCTGAGTATAGATTCATTATATCATTACCTTGACTAAGTTCGATGATGAAAATTTTCTGCTTAGGGTAAGCAGAGATAAGCAATTTGATTGGTCAAAACTTTGAAACATAACAACTCTGCTTTTAATTGAGGTAGAATGTTTAAACTTGATGTAGATGTTCATTAGGTGAATGTCTTGACTGAGTTCAATGATTAACATTTTGAGCTAAAGGTAAGCAGAATTAAGCAATTTCATTGGTCAATGCTTTAGGACAAAAGAACTTTGATTCTATCTGATAGAGAGTGATGAAACTTAGTGTATAGTTGATAATCAGTTTGATTGCTTGATACTTTTGAAAAAAATAAATTAAAATGTGTCATCTATTTATTTTGGGATTTCGGCGGAGGACATCAGCCTCACTGTTGGCTTGTATTTTCAGAGTATTGTTATTAGCTAAAGGTAGAACAGCTTTCTTAGGCTCGGCTCAAGATTCCTATGATTTTTTTAAAGGGTAAGTTTGTCTTCTATATTACTACTATACACAATAATATATTTATAAATACATATTGCTTTTGTGTCTGGAGGCACAGTGAGTAGTGACTTGCTAACTAACCTCGAAGTCCAGAGCTATAACACGGTTTGGCCTGGGAAGTTCATCAGGACTTTCTAACCTGGTTTCCCTCTGTCAGTAGTGCAGGACGGAGGGTCTGGCTACGAAAAGGCATCTAGTCATTTGGATAGTATGAAAAACCCTGAAATCCACCCATGTACATGTTGGTGTGCCAGTCAGACAACCCTTCAGAAATTAAATGCGCTGAAAACGCTGGTCCAGGCAAGATTTCTCTCATAATAGCCGGCATGATGACTGACTATCCAAACTAAAAATATATATCTCAGTAATTTTACTTCTGCTAACAATATACTTCTACTAACAATATATCTCAATACTTCTATTAACAATATATCAGGGTACTTATACTAACAATATACAATACATCAGTAATTCAGATATATTTTTATTCCAGATTAAATTATCCATGTCCAGTAAATTTTAATCCTGCTGATTTTTATGTTTTAACTTTGGCCATTGTTCCTGGTAAAGAAGAAGCCTGCAGTTCTAAAGTCGAAGTTAGTTTCATATCCATTATATTAACAATCAAAATATGCTGAATTCCTCCTTAGTTCGAAATGAACAATCCCATTATGTTTTGATAAATACCTCTCCTGAAACAATCCCTTCAAATTTGATGAAAAAAAAAATCCTTCAAGAAATCTGACTTCTGTAGGCCACAAATTCAACATATTAATTTTGACCGTTCATCATTTTACACATTCTATTTTTCTGTTTCTGTAAACAGGCAATATGTGATGCATTTCAACAAAGTGAACATACCAAAAAGATGGTTGAAGAAACCGACAAAATCAACGGTCAAAATCCAGGGGAAGAAAACTATTCATTGGTAGGTAAAAACTTTTAAAAGTCAATGATCTTGATCTTGCAGATGTCGGGCGTTATTTAAAGGGCCATTCCCAATAACATTTCGGAGACTAAAACTGCTTAATTTTGTGTTAAAATCCTTTGAAATCCTCTACCTTAGGGCTGAGCAACTGACCCAATACGCGTGATTCGATTTCAAACAACTTAAACCCGTCAGTCTTCATCTGGAAAAAAACAGACTTTTTTTTATAAAAATAATGTGTAGGCGAAATTTACCTTTCGTTATCAAGTACAGCACATGGGTCATTAACTGTATTGACCTCTAAAGGAACGGGAATCGATTATCAGGTCGCCCAACGAAAAAAATGACCCGAAATCTTAAAAAGGTTACGTGTCCAGATAAGCAGTTTTGACGTTCACGTCCAAACGACTCAATATTTTGCTCTGAAAATTTAAGACGGGGTAAATACACCATTCCTCTATATTGTGGCGCTTAAATTTCATACTACTCGGACTTTTATTTTTGAGACTCTGTTCAAATCGGGATAGTCCCTTTAATATATCAACAGCAGATAATCTCCCAGCATGGACAAAATAGAGTCCCATCAAAAGAATTTACCCAAAATATATATATGCCACTGGCTTGTTTATATATCATCTACAGAGAAGCCAAATATTGCGAAATTTTGAATTCATCGTGTATTTGTAAATATGAAGAGAATAGAACCCGTGTTGGACTAATATTCCTTTTAGAGATTCAACTTCCACAATATTGTGGTTTACAAGGTATATGTGGATGGTTATGATTAAATACTATTACTGTGGTTTTAACAAGACTGCCCAGTAAAGTTTATTAGCTGCAGTGTATGTAATTATCTTTATGTGTTATAGGTGCAAGATGCATTTAGTGATGAATCTAGGTAAATAAATTCATACTATATTTTTGCTTGTAAATAATGTTTTAGTTGAATTTGGCCCTTAATTGCACATTGTTACTTGCTGCCGCCAAAGTCTCGCTCTCAATTCAACGCCACCACGTTTTCTCATATAGCTTGCAGCTCGCCATGTGCTAGGCCTGCTTAGAACTTTTCTTGCCTTCCCTCCCTCCCAGTAGCATTACTGAGGGTCGGTTCCCTTATTCTAAATCCCTAGTTATTATCTGTTTGGCTATTCTTAGACACATTAAAATACACTTTCTTTTTATGTTATCTATACTAATATTTGTGACTGTCGTTTGTCTGTTTGTTTGTTTGTCTGTCTGTCTGTCTGTCTGTCTGTTCGGGGTTGGCGGCTACACTAGGTCTGCCCCGAGTCTGAAATTTGGGGTATAGGGGTACCTCGAAAGGGGAGTAACATAGGCCACGTGGCATTAGTCTACCACTTCCGGTTTCGGAGTTCTGACCCCCAAGCGAAGCCGGGCATTCTTCTAGTAGTTCATAAATGTAATGGGGACCTAAGGTTTATCACTATTATGTACATTCTAAAGTTCATACTTTATTTTATTAGGGGTTTTTGTTATTATGTTTCATATGTGTTCATTCATTGCTTGGTCGACAGGGCTATTTAAATGTTGTGCCAATTCATAATATTCACCTTGTATTTGGTCTTGTTGCTTAACTAGCATTGGAAAATGTTGGTAAAGACTAGTTTGTCACTATATGAACTATAAACTGGTATTATTGAACCATGTATTTATAGACTAGTTTATTTTTCACTATGTGTGCTATAGACTATCGTGTCGCTATATACACTACACACTGATCAGCAGTGAATATTCACTAGGCCGCGAATAGAGGTTTAAAGTATTTGTAGGTAAAAATTATTTCCTATTTTAGTGTAAATGGGTATTAAAATGAGTAAAAGGCGCAATTCTGCTTGAATCAGTAATGTCTTATGTAAACAATGCACGCACCATTGAGACGATGATTGACGCCGCATGATATGACGTCATGTGTAGAAGGTAGTCATCTTTTACTAATATTAGAAGATTTTCGTAATACCCTGTGAAATCGATTGTATACACTATAGACCAGATGTCATTAAATAGTGTATTATTAGCGCTAATTTTTTTGCTCTCTATTCAATCGCTAAGAAATTCAGAGAAAGAATCTTGTTTGTACAACTATCCAATAGCTCGATTGGTGCAGAAAAGTAGGATGTTTTACTGTAACTTAAAAACTTGTTTCATTTTATTTTGATTTCAATATTTGATTGTTATAAGATGAGATGAAATATATCCTGTGTCTTTCCCATTCATAGATATACAGCTAGTTGGCTTCAACAGTTTCGAACTGTGTTTTGGAGAAGTTGGGTTGGTTTGTTACGTGACGTTGTATTGTTCCGTGTTAGAGTTTTCCAGACATCGGTATGTAAATTTGTCACAAGCAATAGTTATTTTTCAAATTGCTTCAAATACTAATTACATTTTAATTGTCCAAACGATCAGTCCATGTCCCAAGTCTTTTTAGAATCTTACTTACAATCCTAGAACCAGAAAAAAAAGAGAAATAAATCTCACTGTTCCGACTGTCACGAATAGTTTGGGAAAGTATAGAACCATAATGGTGAGGACAATATAATGATAATATTGTAAACAGTGTTAATCCCATGATGGTCATCCGTCCTTGGTTAATCCAGAGAGGTGTTCCTGTTGTAGTGACAACATATCCAAAAATGCTACCACCTACAGTATACCAAAACCTGCATTACAGTGATTCAAAATATAAAATTTTGAGGTCTATAGGCGTTTGATGCAGTTTGGGTTGTTTTCAAATTTACGGCAATCATATATTCAGTATTAGTGTGGTTTAACCAGATGCCTCAAATCTGATTAATTGAATGTTGCTATTGTAAAATACCTACAATCTTGTAAATCTGTCTGGCCAGGGTTGAGTATATAGCTTTGTTTGTATTTATTTATAGGTTGTTGCATTGATATTAGGTTTAATTTATCTACAACAAGAGAATGACCAGACGGCTGTCATGAATATTAATGGCTGTTTGTTTTTACTTATCATTAATATGTCTTTTACCAGTATGTTTGCTGTAGTTAATGTAAGTATGAGTCGTTGATGATTTAGGTTATTCATACATGCACATGTCATGTCTATGGTTTATGTTATTCAGACATGCACATATCATGTCTATGGTTCATGTTATTCGTACATTTAATCATGATGTCTATGGTTTATGTTATTCGTACATGCACACATGATGTCTATGGTTTATGTTATTCATACATGCACATGTCATGTCTATGGTTTATGTTATTCGAGCATGTACACATCATGTCTATGATTTATGTTATTCATACATTCACACATCATGTCTATGGTTTATGTTATTCATACATGCACACATCATGTCTATGGTTTATGTTATTCATACATGCACACATCATGTCTATGGTTTATGTTATTAATACATTCACACATCATGTCTATGGTTTATGTTATTCATACATGCACACATCATGTCTATGGTTTATGTTATTCATGCATGCACACATCATGTCTATGGTTTATGTTATTCATACATGCACATATCATGTCTATGGTTCATGTTATTCGTACATTTAATCATGATGTCTATGGTTTATGTTATTCATACATGCACATGTCATGTCTATGGTTTATGTTATTCATACATGTACACATCATGTCTATGATTTATGTTATTCATACATGCACACATCATGTCTATGGTTTATGTTATTAATACATTCACACATCATGTCTATGGTTTATGTTATTCATACATGCACACATCATGTCTATGGTTTATGTTATTCATACATGCACACATCATGTCTATGGTTTATGTTATTCATACATTCACACATCATGTCTATGGTTTATGTTATTCATACATTCACACATCATGTCTATGGTTTATGTTATTCATACATTCACACATCATGTCTATGGTTTATGTTATTCATACATTCACACATCATGTCTATGGTTTATGTTATTCATACATGCACACATCATGTCTATGGTTTATGTTATTCATACATTCACACATCATGTCTATGGTTTATGTTATTCATACATTCACACATCATGTCTATGGTTTATGTTATTCATACATTCACACATCATGTCTATGGTTTATGTTATTCATACATTCACACATCATGTCTATGGTTTATGTTATTCATACATGCACACATCATGTCTATGGTTTATGTTATTCATACATGCACACATCATGTCTATGGTTTATGTTATTCATACATGCACACATCATGTCTATGATTTATGTTATTCATACATTCACACATCATGTCTATGGTTTATGTTATTCATACATGCACACATCATGTCTATGGTTTATGTTATTCATACATGCACACATCATGTCTATGGTTTATGTTATTAATACATTCACACATCATGTCTATGGTTTATGTTATTCATACATGCACACATCATGTCTATGGTTTATGTTATTCATGCATGCACACATCATGTCTATGGTTTATGTTATTCATACATGCACATATCATGTCTATGGTTCATGTTATTCGTACATTTAATCATGATGTCTATGGTTTATGTTATTCATACATGCACATGTCATGTCTATGGTTTATGTTATTCATACATGTACACATCATGTCTATGATTTATGTTATTCATACATGCACACATCATGTCTATGGTTTATGTTATTAATACATTCACACATCATGTCTATGGTTTATGTTATTCATACATGCACACATCATGTCTATGGTTTATGTTATTCATACATGCACACATCATGTCTATGGTTTATGTTATTCATACATTCACACATCATGTCTATGGTTTATGTTATTCATACATTCACACATCATGTCTATGGTTTATGTTATTCATACATTCACACATCATGTCTATGGTTTATGTTATTCATACATTCACACATCATGTCTATGGTTTATGTTATTCATACATGCACACATCATGTCTATGGTTTATGTTATTCATACATTCACACATCATGTCTATGGTTTATGTTATTCATACATTCACACATCATGTCTATGGTTTATGTTATTCATACATTCACACATCATGTCTATGGTTTATGTTATTCATACATGCACACATCATGTCTATGGTTTATGTTATTCATACATTCACACATCATGTCTATGGTTTATGTTATTCATACATTCACACATCATGTCTATGGTTTATGTTATTCATACATGCACACATCATGTCTATGGTTTATGTTATTAATACATTCACACATCATGTCTATGGTTTATGTTATTCATACATGCACACATCATGTCTATGGTTTATGTTATTAATACATTCACACATCATGTCTATGGTTTATGTTATTAATACATGAACACATCATGTCTATGATTTGTTATTCATACATGCACATGTCATGTCTATGGTTTATGTATTCGTACATGCACATGTCATGTCTATGGTTTATGTATTCGTACATGCACATGTCATGTCTATGGTTTATGTATTCGTACATGCACATGTCATGTCTATGGTTTATGATATTTGTACATGCACACATGATGTATATGGTTAATGTTATTCGTACATGTAATCATGATGTGTATGATGTATGTTATTCGTACATGCTCACAACATGTCTATAATTTATACTATTCATACATGTACATGCACACATGTACTCTATACGACAAAATCCCCTTAAGCCTAGTGCACTTTGTAAGCAATTTTATAATTGCCACCATATTATGATGTTTGATCTATGGCTAAATATCATCTGTGCATTTTGCAGGATTTTCGTCCAATCAGTTGATGTATAGATATTGCGTAGAAACAGGCGTTCTGGCATTGGTCTGGTACATTTTTGTATACAGAAAAAGTAACCAGGGTACACTTTGTACTCTAATTGACAAAACCACTTTCAGCAACTTACTATAAACTTCTATTAGAGATATGACAGTCAAGAATTATTTTTCATAGTGACAGGGCATTCTCAGTCTGTGTTCCTGTCCTCCCGAATAAAATACCAAAGCGATTCTAAGAAGCAAACCCTGTGTCATTATTTAAATATTCTTATTCATTCATGACTTGTAATATCTGGTTTGACAGAGCAACACTTCACCAATGAATTTTGTAATTGTATTTCAGTCGTTTCCTATTGAAGTGAATATATTTTTACGTGAATATGGTAGTGGTTTATATCGTGTGGATGTTTATTATCTGAGTAAATCCTTAGCTGAGGTTTGTTGTTTTATAATCTGAGTAAATCCTTATTTTGTTGTTTTTTGTCCATTGAAATATATGGGCACAAGGTACAATTTTATGTATACGTAATTACCGGTACTGAGTTTAATACTAAGCGACGTTTCGACGAGGATACTCTCGCCTTTATCAAGCAAATGACACAGATATGTGAATAGTAGACAAATATATACAGAATATGAAAAAAAAATAACAATCAAATACAATTAAAACCTTTGATTAGAGGGCACTTTACAATTAAACCAACACAGAGAAAACTCTTATAAGCAAATCCTATAGATTTATGAGGATCAATGTAATTAAAACACTAGGGAAATCAAGTAACCTAACCCCTACCCCCCCCCACCCCCTACACACATTCTCTTTTAATTATTGTTTATCTATGACACAGGAATTGTGTATCCATAAAATTGAACCTTGTGTTAAAGGACAATATTGGTGCCAGTCATTATCACATATGTGATAGAACTGGTTAAACACGTTCCAAATATTATTTTTTCAAAGAGATCATTGCTACGATAGATGAGTAATCAATGTTTCAACAATAGGAAGTGACGAACGCAAAAGGAAAACACGAGTTATCCCTCTATAAAACTGGCTGAAGTGACGGGTGATAACAGATACATGGGCGAATTTCTGCTCACTAATAATTCCTTCGTAGATCAAAAGTTGTTATATGAGACTGTAAGAGTAATTGAATGTTCTATCACATATGTGATAATGACTGGCATCAATATTGTCCTTTAATATTTATGGACAACAATCACTATATAATATCCACACGACATTTGGACAAGATTTCACTAGTCATTATCAAGTATACAAAATTACAATAGTGAAATCTTGTTGAAACATTTGGTGGATATTGTATAGTGATTGTTATCCGTAAAAGGGGGGTTTGAATGGCCGAATGGTTAGCACGTGTGCACTGTATCATAAGGTCTGTGATTGAGTCAACTGGCGTGGTTTCGATTCCCCGGTTGTACGTAACAAGAAGTAGGGTCACCTGTCCAACCTCATAGGTTTTCTCTGGGTCCTCCGGTTTCCTCCCACTGCTAAAGACCCCCACGCGCATAAGCTGGTCACTAAAGATAAAAAAAGATTTGCTAGACTTAAGTGATGTTTGTTTTTTTCAGTTGCCAAGTTTTATTCTTATTCCTTTTATATTTATATCTGTGGTATATTGGATGGTAGGTGAGTTCTTTATTTCTGTTCCATTCCTATTAAAGCTACGAAAGGCCACATCATCCACATTTATCAAAAATATGTAATCAATAGAAATCAATGTAAACTTTAAAAGTTAGAATTGATCGATTTTTAATGATTTTTGGACCAAAATGTTTTTTTTTATAAAAAATACCTTTAAGACACATAATGATGGCAATGTGAAATCAATATCAACTTTATATGACTATGAGTTGAATTGATTAATTCGAATACATGTAATTGTTGGACCACAATGTTTTTTTGGGGTTTTTTTTTTTAAGAAATTGTTTTTGACCATTATGTATGGACTTTCAATATTATCCCTTTAGCCTATTGGGGAATTAATTTGTTAGACATGAATTTACTAAGTTTAAAAATAGGAGTTATATTTGTTATACATTACAACTTTTTGGTAATTTCAGGATTATATGCAAGTGCTGAGGGCTTTTTAATATGTGCTGGTTTGGTTGTACTTGTAGCTAATATTGCCATGTCCTTCGGTAAGTTGAAATTTCTACTTAAATTGCTGAAAATAATTTTAATCTTCAGCCTGAAGAAAACACCAAATGAATATGATACCATAAGTCTATAAAATGATAGAGGTCATACGAGCTGCTTTTGACCCTATGATGTCAAAGATTTGATTGGTTTACCCACAGTTCTGTGCACCTCACTCCCAAAAATTGCCGTAACAGACCGTTTCATTGGTTAATCCCGAGTTATAAAACAACTCTTCCAGATCCTAGTGTAGTAAAGACAAGTAAAACAAAATTTTGAACTACAGTAGAAGCTGAATGAGCAGCCACTCCTATTCAGCAACATCTCCTTGTAAGCGGTCACGATAAATTCCCCCCGTAAAAATTCTATTGTTTCATCTTTTTATTCAACGGTCACTCCTCTAACGCGGCCAGCGGTCATTATTTTATTAATAAATTTAACAAAACATCACCCATTCAACAGCCATTGTTGAATGATACCATCTTGTCGTTCTTCGTAACACCTCTGCTAATCCCGTGAGTAGTAGTTAATTAACTGGACCCCCACTGATCAGCGATGTTTTTTTGTCCATGTGCTTTTTGATAAAATAAAATTAATTTATCGATTTTCTTCACAAATATTGATAAATATTATCAAATGCATCACAATGGTAGACAGTAGTATCGAAGGTTGGTACAAAATGACAAGTTTACAGAAGTTACGTCCGAGATTTGAGTACAGAATTTTCGTTCGGTGCAAGATTCAGCGACGATCAAATTTACCGATGCAAGTATTGATGTTTGCTTCCAATGCATCCAAGCGTAATATTTAATTGATGTCAGCACAAAAAGCACTGAGATTTTATTAAGAGGCCACTCCCGTTAAGCCGTCAGTCGTGAAAATTCCCTTGGGTGGCTGCTTAATGCAGATTCTACTGTATAAAAAATGAAACGAAATAGGATCTGTGTTTTAATCGGATTGATTTTATTTCCTTGCATACACATGCACTGAAAGATCTACTTTTCAACATTTTGTGTGCCAGTCAGTGATCAGTCATAATGGTCCAAATAAGAGGCGTTGTGGTACTTTTACGCTATTTTGCCTTTTCAATGGATGAGAATGATAAGTACAGATTTAGGCATTTTAAAGTTTTTGTTATTATTGTCATGTATTTACAGGTTATTTAATATCTACATTAACAAGATCTGTTGACATCGCCCTAGCTATAGCCCCACCTGTACTTATACCATTCATGCTGTTTGGTGGTTTCTTCCTTAACTCAGGGTACGTCTCTATTAAGTTTATTATGACCTGTTTCAATTTTATATATATTATGTCTCTGTGTTTTTCTGAAGAAGTTCAACTTTTGCAGATTCTTTATATCTTATTCATTATCAGAACGGGAGGTACAACCCGCCTTTGATTAACAAAGTGAGACCCTTGCAATGATGCCATCGGGGTAACTGTTTATAAACAACACTGTGTGCTTGTATTAGAACAGTTACTCTGTAAACACGTGGTTGTAGGCAATCTACCAATGAAAGGCGTTGGTGGCTATGTTTGTTTACAGTGAATAACAGTTAACCTTATAACATCACAGCTGGCATGTTATTATAATTACAGAGGCATTATGGGAGATTACATAAAGAGTTGACTGTTCTCTTTATAATAGTTAAAAAATAGATAGTGTAAATATAATATGTTGCACATTTCAGTCAAATTGCTCCACTCTGAACCGAGATATTAGCTTTTGAATTTTAAGCCTAGCCCGATCATCATCACAAACGTTAGTACGATAAATAACATAGTCTCGATAATCTATTATTGGATTTAATCATCAGTGAGCATTGAGCAGCAGATCGGATTCAAATCCAGTGAAAATCCGACACATAAAGGAAGACCTGCAATAGGCAGATTTAGCTCTTGCATAATGTATGTTTAATATTATTTTACAGGACAACTCCAGTTTATTTTATATGGTTAGAATATATTTCATGGTTTAAATATGCTAATGAATTGATGTCTATTAACCAATGGAAACATGTTACACATATAGGTATGTAACCTTTTATAACCTATTGTCATTCTTTAAAGGAGCTAAATCACTATTCTTTGGCAACTAGAAATGGACACAAATGGGTCGCAGTGCATATAATAATGTACTATGAATGTATATAAACTGATTTACGTTCAATTGTTTCTGTTTTTACTATACGTTCTAATCAGTTATGTTCGGTGAAATATCCAAAGAGTCCAAATTGAATGTGGTGTCTGATTATTCCAGTCTACACTGCAATAGGCAGATTTAGCTCTTACATAATGCATCTTTAAATGTTTGAATTTAAATAGTTTGAATTGGTATTTTGTTGTATTTTGTCCTTACTTATATTTGATGTTTTATATTGTAAACAGATTGTAAAATAAATGGTACAATTATACCAGGTAATGTGACAATACCAGGAGTGCCTTGCTTTCAAAATGGCTACGATGTTCTTAGTTCTCTCGACTTTGATGAGGTAAGCTGATTATTTGTTTCTTATTTTTGTTCATGTAATAAGCTTCACTAAAGTATTAGCAATCTCAGCTAAAAAAATAAATGTAATTAATTTAGACATTAGTGTAGGCTCTTGGGCAAAATTTTTGTTCATGTAATAAGCTTCACTAAAGTATTAGCCGTCTCAGTTAGAAAATAAATGTAATTAATTTAGACTTTAGTGTAGGCTCTTGGGCAATATCTCTGCATATGCCCATCTCCATTAGGCTGATTGATACAAAAAAAAGAAAGCGTTCTCTTACTACTTACTATTAGCAACCATGCTGACACTGTAGTGATGTTCCAAGCATATTTATCGATTTCAATATTTTGAAGTGAAGTTTTGTGGTTTGATTACTTTCTTTTGTTTTTTTCTTTGAATGATTTGAAAATGTTATGATTTTGAAATATTTACAAATTATATTTTCTTTGATTCAATGGAACAAATGGAATTATGTTGCTGAACAAATTCAGATAATATTTGAACAGTTTAATCTGTTCATTGAATAATTTTTCAATTTTTGTTTCATTTCAGGACAATTTTGTTTTGGATATATCCATGTTATTTGGTCTTTTAGTGGGTTTCAGACTTATAGCTTTTATATTACTGTTGATCAGGGCAAAACGATCCTCCGCATAAATATAGAGACATTTTACTTTTATTTTATAATTGTACTTTTTAGCCAAAAATATTTTGAAAATACATGTATATATTGTTGTTAAACCAAAGTTTTCACACAATGGCAATTTGAATGTACTCAGTTTATCATTTATTTAACTTTAAAATCATTTCTTAGCCAAAATTTTTACTTTGCAGAAATTTTTAATATTTTTATTTCATTTACTAAGTCATTACTCATATGTCACACAGTAATTCAGATTAATCTATTCATCTTAATATGTAAAATTAAGATCCTTAGGTTTCTTGTTTCTCTTATGTTGATATCAGTATTGTTTACTGAAAAAATTGATAAACTTGTCATTGTTGTCATTGATAGACGGATATCTTATTGAATGGCTGATAAGTATTTTTCAATAGCTGTTCAATTTTATTCATTGACTGTTCAATATTATTCATTGATTGTTTAATATTATTCATGACTGTTCAATATGATTCATCGACTGTTCAGTATTATTAATTTATTTATAGACTATTTAATATTGTTTATTGACTGTTTAATAACTGCTCAATTTTGCTTACCAATTGGCCAATATCAGTTACTAAACAGTCAATATTCGTTATTAGTTTATGGTCAGAAACATTTATTGATTGCTCAATTGATTACTCAGTGGCATTTATTGTTTGGTTAATATTAACTATTGAATGGTCATTATCATTTACTGAGTGTAATAAATGTAATTTATATCATATATCGATTGCTCAATATAATTTGGCTGAATAATAATTACCAGTATTATTAATTAAACTGATATTAATTGAAGCAGAGCTTATTTGATGCAATACCTCATAGATAAATTTTAGTAATTATTTTCTTATATTGAATGTTTACACTATACTGAAGCATATCTTAATTTACTTTGATGACGGCACCCATTGATTATTGTATAGCTAGCTAGTAGAACTCACTACACCATTCAGCTAACTTCCTGTATAGTTGTCGAGTAGAACTCACTAAACCGTTCAATTAAGTTTAGTTGTCCAATATGACCATATTTGTATTACGGGTGTGCGATAAATTAATTAAAATATACTCATATTATTTGTTCAAGACACAGACAGTGGTTGAGGACTGTATAATGGAGAGACCAATTTTATTATTCAATTTGATTCTTCTGTTCAATCAAGTTCAATGTATAAATAATGTATGTGATAAATTATATTACTATCAAAAAAAGAAAGGTTATAGGCTGTGACAATAGCAATTTTTACAATATCTTTTTGTTCCCCGCCTTTCGAAGAAAGCAGGGGACTATTAAAATGGGTTCGTCTGTCTGTCTGTCTGTCCGTCCGTCACACTTTTTGGGACACAATAACTCTCCTTCTAATTGACCTAGAATGTTCAATCTTGGTGTAGGTGTTTATTAGGTCAATGCCTTGATGGAGTGTGAAGATAAGCATTTTCTGCTTAGGATAAGCAAAGATAAGCAATTTGATTGGTTGATGCTTTGGGACACGATAACTTTAGTTCCAATTAAGTGACAGTGATGAAACTTGGTGTATAGTTTCATTACATCAATACCTTGACTAAGTTCGATGATGAGCATTTTTTGCTTAGGGTAAGCAGAGCGATAAGCAATTTGCTTGGCCGAGACTTTGGAACACAATAACCCTCCTTTTAATTGAGCTAGAATGTTCAAACTTGGTGTAGGTGTTTATTAGGTCAATGCCTTGATGGAGTGTGAAGATAAGCATTTTCTGCTTAGGGTAAGCAAAGATATGCAATTTGATTGGTTGATGCTTTGGGACACGATAACTTTAGTTCCAATTAAGTGAGAGTGATGAAACTTGGTGTATAGTTTCATTACATCAATACCTTGACTAAGTTCGATGATGAGCATTTTCTGCTCAGGGTAAGCAGAGCGATAAGCAATTTGATTGGCCGAGACTTTGGAACACAATAACCCTCCTTCTAATTGACCTAGATTGTTCAAACTTGGTGTAGGCGTTTATGAGGTCATTGCCTTGATGGAGTGCGAAGATCAGCATTTTCTGCTTAGGGTAAGCAGAGATAAGCAATTTGATTGGTTGATGCTTTGGAACACGATAACTTTAGTTCTAATTAAGTGAGAGTGATGAAACTTGGTGTATAGTTTCATTACATCAATACCTTGACTAAGTTCGATGATGAGAATTTTCTGCTTAGGCTAACGAGCAATAAGCATTTTGATTGGTCAAACTCTTCTTCTAATTGAGGTAGAATGTTTAAACTTGATGTAGATGTTCGTCTTGACTGAGTTCAACAACTCTTCTTCTAATTGAGGTAGGATGTTTAAACTTGATGTAGGGGGGTTGGATGGCTGAATGGTTAGCGTGCGCGCGCTGTATCATAAACTCTGTCATTGAGTCGACTGGCGTGGTTTTGAATCCCGGGTTGTACGTGGCAAGGAATAGGGTCGCCTGTCCAACCTCGTGGGTTTTCTCCGGGTCCTCCGGTTTCCTCCCACTGCTAAAGACCCCTAAGCGCAAGCGAATTATGTAAATAAAATTAAACCATATGTTAGTCCCGAAATGACCTAGTTTGTGTCGAGTGAACGTTAAACCCCATTTCTCTCTCTCTCTCTTTAAACTTGATGTAGATGTTCGTCTTGACTGAGTTCAATGATTAACATATCGAGCTAAAGCTAAGCAGAGATAAGCAATTTCCTGCTTTGGGACAAGATAACTTTGATTCTATCTGATAGAGAGTGATGAAACTTAGTGTATAGTTGATAATCAGTTTGATTGCTTGATACTTTGGAAAAAAATAGATGTGCGATTAATTAATATGTGTCATCTATTTATTTGGGGATTTCGGCGGGGACATCAGCCTCACTGTTGGCTTGTTATTCTTTAAAACTATCAGTGTGTGATAATAATGATTTTATTGTGTGTCAATATTTAACATATTTATTAATTTAAGGAACACAATCATTTGACAATATTTATATTTTACTTTCATGTTGCGTGCTAAATATTTAAGTTTTATGTAATAACTTAAAAGTGTCTCAATCTAGTATTTGTCTCGTTTTATTCATTTGTAAATACCACATTGAATGTTGATTGTTGATGTATATTTTTATAAACTCCATCAATCAATCCTCAAGAAGCCTTTTCAAAAGTAAGCTTAAGAGTTATCTCCATCTTAATGTTCCAACTTATATTTCTTTGTGAATGTCATTTAGGGTAGAGTTATAAATTTTAAGTAATTGAATATAAGCACTGTGGAAGGGGATATGGGTTCTGCCTCTGCGTCAATTGTAAAAAATTGGATTTGAATCGGCGATGTTTAAATGAAATTGTATGCAAATTTTTAAGAGCTGTAGCGAATCATGTTGAGTTGAGTCAATATACCCTGTGTTGTATTCAAATAATTTTTGAAATAGACTAAGATGATTTATAGAGTTAATCCCAGGATTAATCACAAGTTAACAATCCAAGTATAAAATGGAAAAAAAAGTGTTGGTATAAGTTTAGGTAGAATAGCTTCAATCTTGAAAATTTAATTTTATCTGAAAGAGGCTAAAACCTTTTTATGGTCAAAATCAAACATTTCAATTAACAAGAAGTCAGTTTGTGAAATTCTGTTCCAAATTAAAGTGGTCGTATATTTTGAATATAAAACAAGTAGAGATTAATATTTTAATTTTTATTGTATTAACTGTATTGTAAAATGTATCTTTTTTTACAAATAAACAAACTATTATGGCTGTTATTGAATTTATTATTATTGTGGGTGATGTTGACAGTTGAAACAAGTGGAACTTGTTTTACTTTCTGCATCAATTCAGTTATCATACAGATAAGTATGAAGAAAAATCACCTGTTCCCTGAAAAAAAGTTTGTCTTCTCGATTAGCAATCTGATTAAAACAAAGATACTATTTCGTTTCGTTTTTTATAGTTCCAAATTTTGTTTTATTTGTCTGTACTACACTAAGATCTGGAAGAGTTGTTATATAATCTGCATTCTGGATGATGGGAGAGATTAGCCAATGAAACCATCTGTTACAGCGACCTCTTGGCATGCGATGCACAGAACTGTGGGTGAACCACTAGAAACATGGATGCTGATTGATTTAGCAATGTCCAACGTCATAGGGTCAAAAGCCGTTTGTACGACCCCTGACACGACCTTAGAGTACAACCGGTCAGATCTTCATGTAGTATAGGCCATCAAAAATATAAAGAAAGGTAACGAAATCTAGATCTGTATTTTAATAATCAGATTGGTAGATTAGTTTCTGAATTAGAGGGTCAAGGGGGATTGGTGAGTACCGGTGGGGAAATGACTCACTAACCCTGAGGTCTGGGGTCCGATCTCAGTGTTGGTAGAGAAAGTTCACCAAATATTTTCTAGCATGGTTTCCCACTGTCAGTGGTGCACGATGTAGGGGCCTGTAAGGAACAGTATCTAGTCACTCGATTTCGACATGTGAAACAGATGGGCTAACCTTTCCTCACAAAGAACATCATGGCGGATGCTAATCTTTATTAACCCGGTTGGTTCAGAAAAGTAGGATGTTAAACTTCATTTCGTTTCATTATTCAGACTTCCTTATTTATACCGGGACTTTTAGACCAGAATATCACAGGTTCTGATCCTTGCTGAGAACCGTTGGGATTTTTCAAGTCATTTTCTCACTTGTCAGGCTGACAAGGAAAGTTTGCCAGTCTTCAGATGGGGTAATATATTGAATGTAATGAGTATTATGACCTATCCACAGAAAGTAAGGCACTTTCTGCCAAAGAACTTTTGCGTTGTATGAAGAAGGATCTATTTATCTGTTCAAATAAGTAGCCACCATGTTTAATAAATACAGGGGCGGATCCCCGCTCAGCTACATAATTTTCTTTTATAAATCAACACTTTTTATGAGAAAAAGTTTCTCGGCCGTGTACTTTATCCTTTATCGTCAGATGTGGGACAGGATGGGCACTCAAAGCACGAGATAATGATATAGACATCATGTGATATCACAATTAATGCTTTGCATCCATGAAATTGAATCACATTGTCGTATTAATTCATAATAAAAATTGACGTCAACGAGGTGTTGAATTTCTCTGTTTTAAAAGCTCAATGTGTGTATATACCCCAAAATGACGATAGAGGCAATGTCTCGGGAACCTGGCAAACCCCCTCCTGCAAAAATTCCTGGAAACGCCCCTGAAATATGGACTTAAGCTGCATCTTTAAACATTATCTAAAAATCATAACAATGAGAAAATAGTCATAGAGTAAAGTTTTACAAAATTTATTTATCTACAGAAAAATATAGATATGTAAATATATATAACATACAATCAAAACACAAAAATTATTTATCATTTGTTATTTTTTGATAAAAAGTAAAATCAACATAAAATTGAAAGCAAAACATAACAACTATGCTTAATATACATAAATATCATAAATTAGCAAAGAAAAGAACAATCTTGCATGATCTGAACAGTCACAATGGTTGGACAACTTTCTCAGTGCTGTGTTACTGTCACATGATGTTAATGCCTAGTAACAAGGTATTTAAACCCATACTTATCGGTATATATTTATCAATATTTTATGACAACTGTCTTATTGTTTAATACAGAATAACAGTTCTGTATTTTGTTTTTAAATAATTGATTCCAAAATGTTGATATTTGGCTCAGTGCTGGTTAAACTCCTATATGTCTAAAAAAATAGTTGTACAACTGTACCATCATGTGCCAAGCAAATACATCATGAGAGTTACCTCCCATATATATATAAATTTCATTAATCACGAAATTGAACGCTCAACTGAATAAAATAAGAAAGAACGATGAATTATCAATTGAGAACAGAAATTTCGAGACCAGTTCCTCTGGCCAATAAAGATACAAATTATCTGAAATTGGGATCTACATGTGTTTGTGATCATAAGTCAGTAGGATGTTAAACCCCATTTCATTTCATTTCATTTATTTTCAGTCTGGAAATAGCAATTACAATTATGATATTGAATGAATATATTCATCCAAACTATAGATAAAAGCAGCTGTCATGTACGGGGCAAACTATTCTCTCTTTCTAGAACACCTGATAGCCGATACCACTTTTCTTTTCAGAAGTCCACACAGTTACCTGACATTTTTGTTTTGTATTTTATCATTGGAAATACCAAACAGAATGAAGAAGTACACAATAAAGCACTTAAAACATGTAAATCTAACCTTGAAAAATATTTGATCTTGTTGACAGATAGGACACAACCAGATTTGGGTGAACAATGAAACAGGTGTCAATTTAATTATCTCCCTTCAAACAATTTATGTCTTTGCAATGTTGTGAAAATTCTGACTTTGGCAGCACATCAAGCAAAAACACAATATCAAAAAAACAGCAAGATTTTTAATCATATTGATCTAGCCTTGTCTAAATAAAAAAAGTTCTATTTTGACAGAAATTGAAAGTGGCCACCTTTGATAAGAGGAAAATTCATCAATTAAATTAAAATCAGATGTTATTGTCATTATGTTATTTGGTTTGTTACTCAACTTACATCTAAAAGACATGTTAAAGAAAAGTCTCGTTCGTTTCTGGAGTTTCACGTCCACTTCCACCAAGGGTGTTATCATAGACAAGTGTTTCCTAAGAAACATTCTAGAGTAAGCCACAAAATAAGCTTGATCCAGCAAGAAAAGCCTGTGATGAAAGCATAATTGTACATCTGAGCTTGATTGGACCGTCAATCAAATGTCCATAAAGATTAAGTGGAATAACCATCCGAAAAATAAAACAGAACAAAATCAAGCATTAATTCCAATTAGACCAAAACTTTCTATGATACATAATAAATTTGTAGATATAAAAATACAACACTACGGCCAAATCAATTTCATTTTTACTTCTTCAGGACCTGGATAAATAATCAGTCACTCGAGTCACATGAATGACGTTTTGTTTGGAATTTCAAAACTGAAAAATTTGACCTAAAAGCCTTTGAGTAGAGCAACTAAGTATTTTTTACTTTTAAATTATTTTTCCTCACCAAGAAATAGTAAGTAAAATGTTAACAGGCATTTCCAAAGAACAAAAATTCAAACTGATGTGGGCTTAAGTGTTATTAATAAAGAATATACATATCTTCTACTAACAAAAATATACAATCAATGGCACAAACAACAGAAAGACAAAAACAAGTTACAATAGATAGATACCAGATATCATTCTGTGACCAAGTTTTTTTTTACATAGTGCATATAAATGTATATATAGTCAAGATATTAGATATGATTACTATTTCCAGTAGGAAAAATAAAAAAATTTAATTATAAATTATTTCAATGTGCAAGTGTGGAATGAGTAAATTTGTTTAAAATGAATGTATATAGTTAACTATTGGCATAAACTATAAACCACTCATCACTTGGACCGTTTAAAAACAATAAGAAATCTACTTTCATACTGTATCAAGACATTGTATTATTTAATTCCTTAAAATAGACCTGTTGACAAATGTGTAAAGTGAGGGTCTTATATACCTCAATCATCTAACTTCTTTAAACTGATTAATTTTATAACGAGTAATTATGAATACATAACCAGAAATATAGAGAAATGTATTATTTTTACTAAATATATAGAAGCACCAATTTCTAACAACCTTCAAGTGAAATTTTTATATAAATATTTTAAAATAGACTTTGATATTTTCTTAAATATATAATTCAGATTATGTTAATAAACCAAAATGCACCAATAATTATGAGAAGCCTATTTATTAGTAATATTTAAAAATATATATCAACCTATCATAAAGCTTATATACAAAATTATCCGGTTACACATATTGATCCATTTGATCGCAACACAAACCTCTGAAAGCACTCGCTAGAAAAATATTCATTTTCTACTCACTGAAAAACTCCATGAAAATATTTCAATCATCATTTCAAACAATCATATTAGACGAATGTTTATAAATGTAAACATTTGAGCGTTGATGTAGAATTTTAAAAAATATTTTTTAAATCAACTATTGAGATACAAACTACCCTATTTAAAATATGTAATTTGATTATCAATACATAATGTCATTACTTTTTTGTAATGCTTTAAAGGAGAAATCCCAGATTATGCAGGGTATCTGTTGATGAAAGTATGTGAATGAAACACCCTGAAGTAAAGAAACAGTCCAATTACCTTGCCTGAAAGTTTCAAATCCAAATGTTTAGCCTTTTGGAGTTAAGTAATTTATACAATTTTATTGTTTAATTCTATCAAAGACTAGTAATTTTACCATGACTTCGGCATGTTATAGGCAAGGTTATCAAGGTACTTACATATGGTGGCATTTCATGAAAAGTACCACAAAGCTTCGAATAACTGCGCAATACAAGAATATAGGTTTTTAAGAGACTTTCATGCAGATTTATATTAAGTTATATACATATGAGACTGGTCCTTTCAGCTTACTTATTTTAGTTTATATAAACTATCTTGGTACTTGTAACACGAGTAGACAAGTGATAAATATAACTCTTCTTGAACCAAGATTTATTATGAGTAGTACATACACACAATAGATTCTGGGTATTAATCAAACAATTTTAAAGTTTTATACTATCTAATTAAAACAAGATTACAATTACTTTTTCGTTTATCTGATGTTTATACTACACAGTGATATAATCTAATTTTTATCACCATGATATATTATAAGTACACACAGTAGATTCTGGGGTATTGATCATAATAATACCAATTTACAGTTTCATACAATGTAATTAAATGAGATTACGATTTTGTTTCGTTTATTCTTTATCTGATTTTTACACTACATTTTAATATAATCTATTTTCATATATTACCATGATGTTCTGGCAACATGACGAATATTTATTATCATACTCTAACCCTAAAAACAACACCATCATTTGTATGATAGTGTTTAAAAATTCCCATAATTCACTGTATAACGCAGTACTGTAATTTAATTGGAGAGTAAGTTCATTTGATCAGAACACCATCTACAAAGAAAATATTTCACATGTCAGTGTAGTATATCCAGAATAAATGGATACATAGTTAAAAGTCTGATTTCAAACAATATGAAGTTTTATACTACATCAATAACTTAATTCAAGTCCTCTTTAGTATTGGTATATAAGGCACTCTATTTTGTTCTGAACTTGTATTTATATGATAACATAAATAACTACAAATATCCAGGGCACCATCATTTTAATGTCCCAAGGTCAAAAGTCAGATTCTAAAAGGGAACAAATATTTTCCATCCAAATGATATTTATGTCTTTTTTTGTTTGGCTCATCTTTTGAAAGAGTGGGGATAAGACCTTAAAACAGTTAGGACCAATCAATTAAATGTGACCCTGTAACTCCTTTTTTTTAAAATTCTGAATTCTGCCAACTTTTTAAATCTTTATTCAGTTTCATGAACAGTGTGCAATGTGAAGGGGTGGCGATGAAAATGTATTAATTATAAAATTTGTAAGTTCGGCTCGGTGAAATCTTCATTTAGGCATCAAATCTTTCGTAGGCATTGTCTTCTTTAACCAGACCTTAAAAATAAAAGGCAAATAATTTTGTTATAAATTTTGTACAAATTTTGGTAGAAATTGAAAAGCATTGAAAAAAATACTATAATAGCTCAAATAGAACGGGGTTTAATTAATGTATCATCATCCCAAACAAAGAAGTCCAGTTTTACTAAAAATTTCAGTCTCTTGTTGCAAGTATTTTCTAAACAAAAGACAGTTATAATAATCCTTAAGTTCAGTAACTGTAAGAAATGTCATTGCATATGAAATCAACTGGGGGTTGGGGACGTCACTGTTTAAAACAAATTGGTGGTGAATAGGGTCTTCAAGAATCAAATTGAAAATATAAAAAGTGGTGTTCTTTCCCCTCTCCAAATCCCACAGAGAATTTTTTAATGAAAGAAGATGCACAAGGCATAAAGATACAAAGCTCAAGAGGTGTTTGACAATTTTCAAGAGGATTTGGTACCTGGCATATTCTTAAATACGATGTTCGAACGCTGAATCATTTACCTTTCCAAAGAAGTATCTTAGACCCTCCTATGACATATTGGAACCCTTGGTGGAACAGTGAATAAAGCGCTGGCTCGCTAAAGAGGTCTTGGGTTTGCCCTCGGTGTTTCCCATCAGTGGTACAGAACCAAAGAACCGTGCCTAGTCATTTCGGATGAGACAAAAAACCTTAGGTCCAGTGTTCACACTGACATGGGACGTAAAAGAACCCTTAACAATTGGAATTTGAAATCAGAGTAGGTTGTAGCACCACTGCATGGCCTATGCCCATCTTCATTAGCCCATGTTAAACCCCATTCATTTCATTTCTATTACATATCTATTCGAGAAATGTATAAATATTTAAAAATTCTTAATGACATGTTAAATCAATAGGTTGTATTGTTTTAAATACAACATACTGCTTGTAGGAAATTCTCAGATACATCTTTGGAAAAGTAAAATAAATATTAACCCAACATGCCAGAAAACTGTTTAAATAAAGACCATACATTCAAAAATACTTGTTTTAAAAATGCATTGTAATTGATCAATTCAAGCAACTCAACATTGGTTGCTATTGCTTTCACACAACCATCGTCATGTGTCTTTGCCAATAATTTTATTTTTTATTCAAGCCAGCTAAGATATTTCATGAAGATTTTTTTAATACCCAGGTGTGCTCAATAACATGTACACAATAACAACAATCTTCACTTTAAAATAGCACATTACTTTTCTATTTAGATACATTCGTGAACGATATGTCTTGTTGTGCCTTTAGGATAGATCAAATTTAAGATCGGGCCATAAAATATATATATTTAAATCATATATTTAAATTATTTAAGAATAGAAAAAGGATCAAATAAACACATATTTGGTGAGCGCTGTGAATTCTGTGATATGCCAAGACAGTGAAGTTAATATGAATTCATCCATATTTATAACATTGTGTAGTTTTAGATTCAAAGAGTTTGTGATGAGACCACTCTAAGTAAAATTAGACCATACTTTTTTTTTCTCTTCTTATTTAAAGTTGTTTACATTTATACATTAGTACAGCTTTCATGCCACAACATCTTTTAAATGATGATGTTCAATTGACACGACCATCACCGTTTACCAGACAATTTGCTTTGTAACGTGTTTTCTTGAGTCAAAATGAAGCATGGTATGGCTTCCAATGCTAGAATACTTTACTAAGTTTGGTTCACAATGACAAATGGTTGTTCTACTGATGTTAGCCAATCAGAGAAGCTTACCTTAAATTACTGGGGTTTATTTGCGATGACAAACAGTAGCTAATGTAACGTTACAGTCACTTCTACTGATTTTAACCCATGACAGAGATTTTAAGCCAGACTATGATAAACAGAACGTGGAATTGTAGAGGTGAAAAGAAAAATGACAACCACAAAGAAATAAAGATCTAATTTCAGTTAGATTGTGACAGGACATGCAGGAAGTGTTTAATTCTGAGTATTTATTTAATCAATGAATGGTGTTGAGACTAACATACGGTTATTTTTTTTCAATGGTCACATGTGCAATGCAAGGGAGGAGAAATTTTGGCATGGCAGCAGCATTTTAGTCTACTCTTCATTAAATTCCAACTGCCAAGGGTTCTTTTATGTGCAATCCAATGTATACTTGAAGGGACCTCAGATTTTTGTCCTATCTTAACTACTAGACACCTATTTAATTATTTAATTAGTTTAATAAACTGTCTTAGATTCTGCACATTTATTGTGAAGAATACATTCTGACATTGATGGTAAGTTGGTAAGCACAGTCAGATACTACATCTCCCATCCTTAAACTACTAATTTATACTTGCCGTGCTCGATCTGACCAATATCAAAGATGCATTATTTTAGGATTTAGATAAAGAGCTGACCATCTATAGAGTTGATTATAGCCTTGTCATGTTAATAAATGTTTAAATAATAATTTATATAACATTTGAAACTAAAAGAAAGACCTGCAATAGGCAGATTTAGTTCTTACATAATGCATTATGCAAGAGCTAAATCTGCATATTGCATGTCTTTCTTTACGCCTGAAATGTTATCTAAACTATTAAATAGACATTTATTAACAAAACAAGACCATAATCAACTCTCAATGGCATCAGATACTTGAGATTTTAATTACATATGTAGATTAGAACGGTTGGCCATTTAAAAATCTTGTCAAAACTAGAAACAGTAATAACTTGGCTCAGAATGAAGTAATTTGAATGAAATTTTCAATATTTTCATTTTACATTATCTATTTTTGAATTATAATAGCAAGAATGGTCAGCTCTTTATCTAAATCTTACATAATGTATCTTTAAATAAATACACTATTTGTGTCCTATGTGTATTCAGCATGCTTCCCCGTCACAGAACGATTATCATATTACGGTATAATCACAACCCACAGCAACATTACTATTCCTTGACGTCCAACAAGCACATATTCCACATATCAACCCAATTCTGATTCCACATGCAAGGGGACATAATGTAATATACTATGAGAAACCTTCATAGAATATGGAAATAAATACTGTACCAAAAATATCATTCTTATCAACTTTTCAAACTAAAAAATGTTATTAACTGAGATGACATATACATTATGTATTTTGTATAGTTCCTTAATTAAAAGAACAATATTTAATTCAAAACGAAAACAAAATATATAAATTAAAAACTAAAAGAAAAAAACTTAATCTTATCATGTTTTTAGTTCTATTTGAGATGAGGGACTGTAAGGGACCATAGAATATAATACACACACCCACCAGCAGCATAGTATTCCAAACCTCATTCATCACTATTAACCCTTTCAGTGCCAGGTATGTTTTGAAGTCATAATTATAACAACTATTTTGACATCTCCCCCACCTTCCACCCTGACCCCTCAGTGTCTAAGTTTCTAATATGTCTATTTTGAGAGTGTAAAGTAAGAAGACTCTTATGTTATGTTACAGAAATGTTTGTTGTACACAGAATTCAATTTATTTACATACTTTAATTTCTATTCTAATACATCATTTTGACTGAGAATGACAACAACTTTTCTAAAATGGAAGAAAAACATGTTTAAACCCTACATCTACCTTTAATAAACTACAGAAGGAGAGGAGTGGGTTACTGATTTTGATGTCTAAAACTGTAGGGATAAATCTTTAAGTCAAAAAATTTCTGACACATGGCACCAAAGGGTTAAACAAATTTATACCAAAGAGAATACACAAGCACTATAAAACAATATAAGGAGAGACAGCCAAGAATGACAAATATATCCACTAAAGGCAAAAATATGTGAATTGAATGAATAGCCAACAATTGTAACATGGGAAGCATGAAACCGATGGCGATGAATACTGAACAAAACCAATGGTGTGACAACTAAAGATACAGTAACGAAGAAATGGATCTCCAATCAAAACATAGATTTTCTTTTTCTTTTCTTTTTTTAATATTTCTTAAATATATTTTTTTTAAAATCTCATTTTATCCAATCATCTATTTCAAATGCCAACTTATTCTTTTGCCAGTGTTTAATAACTAATTACAATAAAATCGAAATTCAGTACAAAAATCTATATTTCGATTAAATTGGTCAGATCACCAAATTTTAAATTCTTTAAACCCAGAAGAAATCTACCTTTATCATCCTCCGTGATCATAACTTTGACTAGTTAAGGTGAAAACATATACACTTAATTAATTAATTAATCAAAATTAAACTACAATAGTCAATGTATTCGTACTGTGGTGTAAGGGGAGATAATATGATATTAGGGTCACTTTGAAGAGTTACCTCCCCTCAATTATTTTATGATACCTCAAACCTGGGGAGCTCTAGAAATTGATTTATTCTTAATCTAGTAACCCAAATTGAAGCGTTTTAGTGTATAGATAATATGGTAATTGCATACACTTGCAAGCAAATGTTTTTTGGGTTGGACAGATTAGCTTATGGGGATAAAATTAAAAATATTACTCTAATTTTTTTCATGCATTGTCATTGTTCTGGCTCTGAAGCTCAAGTCCTGTAACAAGTCATTAAAATTCTTATTTGACTTTTCAAAAAAGATTGTTGGACTTTGGGCCAAACATTTTGGTACTTGGAATATTTGGTACTTGGAATATGTTTAATAAAATTTGACTTTGCACAAACTGATGGGTTCAAACAGATTTAAAATGGCTAATACTGAGAATAAAAAAAACTTGTTGATGTGACTTAGATTAGGAAACATATCGGAAAAATTTGTAAGAACAGGTCGTCTCAACATTGTACTAGTTATTATGGTCATACCGGGGGTTTTTTAGCCACGGAATGACAAATTAATTGAATAGAATTGTTTATTCATATGACAACAATCAAATTCATCTTTTTTATTTTCACATAAATTCTGATCAAAATATAAAATTACCATATTTCCTTCTGATTTCATCTAATCTATCTTTTCTTTCCATTTTTCTTTCTTCAGCTTTTTCTTTTCTGTCTTTCTTCTGTCGTTCCCATTTTGCATCTTCCTTGTCATATCTGCAAATACATTTAACTCAATAAAAAAGGAATCTTTTCATTTTTCAGAGATGGGCCAAAAAAGCAGCATACAGGTTGATAGAACACAAATTTTATAGGAAACAATCACTGGTTTTATTCTAACAACATGATGATAATGTCATTGTGCTTGATAACAATAAGAGTATACTTTTGAGCCGTCATGTTGTTTGAAAAAAACAATGATTGTTCCCATGAAAATTTTGTCCTGTTAATGTGTATTTCAATCGCTAAATGTCACTTAAAGTAGCTAAGTCTCTAACTCAATATCATCCAAAGGCTTTGACATTGAAAACACAAATCATTTGTCAATTTAAATCAACATTGATGGAGTCATCTTACCAGGAAAAGATTGTTCTGATATCCAATATTTAAGACAAAATAAACATTTTTTACCATTGGTACAAGAATCGTGTACCATAATGCGTTTCAGCGCCATTTGTAACAAGGGACTCGAAGAACAAAATTAGACATACTCCACAAGTCATGTCAAACAGCGACGCCATATTCTTATCTGGAGAACATTCCCAATAAATACTATCGGTGTAGATTGGAATAACCAAACGCTAGAGACCATTGGATTGAGACATCTGGCACATTTCGCCAAACATAACTTATTTGAAATTAGAGTAAAAACAGAAACAACTGAATGTCAATCAGTTCATATACATTCATATTACATTATTATATGTGTTGCGACCCATTTGTGTCAATTTCTAGGTCCAAAATATTAGCGATTTAGCACCTTTAAAGATTACAGGTGATTGGTGATTAATTCTCACCATAATGGAATCAAGTTAATGTAACTCTACAGTTTGGTTTATTTTGGCCTTTTGGATTTCCTGTACTGAAGTAATGTACCATTACTGTTTGTTCCATGTTTGTGAAAGATTTAGGGCTGTGTTGTCTAATGACAATTTGGAAAGATCTGTATCCTGTTCAGTTATCTCGAGTTTGCTGCAGTTTACCGATGGATGTTCATCTATTATTTGCTTTCCCTGTTTCATGTGGTATAACAACGAGAATATTTGTGTATGGCTTGGTATTGTTGAAACTTACCTTTTTTTGTTTCCACCTCGACAACAGCAACAATAAACACAACAACATGTGATAGTCAACAGTATTATACCACCCAGAACTCCAACAGATATCAACATCGCTTCAAAATTTACTACAATACAAAAATACATCAATTGTGAGACATGTGAGATTACTAAATAGACAAAGAGCTGGTACTGGATAATGGATATTCCACTGAATGTGAAAGAACATCCAGCATCACCTACAGGTCACGGCTACTGGTAGTTTAATTTGCAGTCTATCTGATTAAAACACAGATCATATTTCGTTTCCTTTTTAAAGTTCAAAATTTCTTTTTACTTCTCTTTACTACACTAGGATCTGGAAGAGTTGTTATATAACACACATTCCCAATGATGTGATGGATTAGCCAATGAAATGATCTGTTCTGGCGAGTTTTTGGCGTGAGGTACACAGAACTATGAATAACCCACTAGAAACATCAATGCTGATTGCAATAATTTTTAATTGAATTCTGCAACTTTCAAACCTAAAAAAGTCTTTTTTTCTATTTCCCAACAGCAGAAACTTACTCTTTGAATTGATTGCTAGAAAGAGCAAATAACTTGATCAAATAATGAAATAGAAGTCACTAATCATTTGGAAAAGAACATGGTGTCAAGTTTGAAAGACAAGCAAATAAAGACAAGAGAGTATAGATAAATTGGGATTATTATGATCTCCTTGTAAAAAGATATTACAATAGGTCTAATAATTTATGGGTTGTCATAACTATTAGGATATACATGATCTTTTTGTCTTCTGATACTTACACCAGCACACTGTCCATCTAGCTTTAGATAAAGGACAGACAGAAGAACTTGGTATTACATCTTTAAATGGATATGGTTTACACACTTCATCAGCATTACAATACAAACACTGAAAATAGAAAAATTGATAACATCTGACCTGTGGTGCAGTACTAAATCATCTGGCACCAAATACTAAATCATCAGAGGAGAAGCACCAAAAGATACAGATCCATTTCCTACATTATCTTGTACTGGGGTCAACAGATCTAGGTAAAAGCAGGTAATTAAGGGCCAAAGTAACACCACCAAAGAATCTGGTTCCCAGATGCCCGTGACAAGAACAAAAGACCTAGTGACCAGCAGTACACGGTCTGTACTAAATCATTAGTCAAAGACAATTACTATAGCTATAAACCTGATATTGCAAGTACCAATGGTACAGGGTTTGTCAACAGTACTGAATCATCTGTCAGCCATAAACCTAACATTGTGAGCACAAGGAGTGTAATCTGATGTAACTTGCTTTTTCAGCAAGCGTAATCCCTTAAATCTTTCCAACAACCAAATAGGTTGCCTCTTCTGCTACCTTATCAGATTGCAGAGACTAACATATAGTTTATAGTTTAATGTTATTCCAATAATTCAAATTGGCGTAGTGAACCAGACAAGGCGACCCTACTCTTTGTCACATACAAGATGGGAATCGAAATCACACCACTTGACACATTGACAAACCTCACAGTCTAACGTCCAGGTATTAAACCATATAGCCAACCAAGTCTCCAGATTGCAGTGAAGTGTAGGACTAATTGTGGTTGCACTATATCTACATACTTCAGACAGGTGACTCGTCTTTAATATATGATAACAAAACATGGAGGACTTTAAGTTTACAGCTTATTTTCAAACAAATTAAAAAAATTATTGTTAAAACTGTCACCGTCACAATTTGTCTTAGAATAGTTAGAGGCATAAAATCAATTAATAAGTAAATAATAATAATTTTTTGTACCCTCGCTTTTGGTGCTCCAACACAATCGGAACAGGATCCATTGTACTGTGCACATTCTGAAAATACACAAATTATACAAATCTTAGTTACACATTTATAGTAGAACAAAGCGGTCAGTACTCAAATTTATGACCAAAGGTTTAATATGGTATTTAACACCACAAAAACAATATTTTGAGAATAACTAGACATTTTCAATGTTATTGCACACTTTTCCTGGTTTACGCTAGTCTTAGTAGAAATCATGTAGAGAAGTGGGGTGGATTTTCTGTGCAATAACAACGAGCATGTTGAGCAGGTGTCAATGTTACATGTCATTTATAGCATGCTTCATTCATTAACAGGTTGAAAACATCAACCTACAGCTTCTGTGGTTAAACATGTTAACTCATGAAAGCTGTGCTATCAATACAACATGTATACAATTTAACCATACATGAAAGCTGTGCTATAAATACAACATGTATACAATTTAACCATACATGAAAGCTGTGCTATAAATACAACATGTATACAATTTAACCATACATGAAAGCTGTGCTATAAATACAACATGTATACAATTTAACCATACATGAAAGCTGTGCTATAAATACAACATGTATACAATTTAACCATACATGCATATTAATACTATCATTTCTTTTTTTAAAGTAGTGTGACTGATATGCTTATACATGTATTTGTGATTTTAAACCCATGTAACATAAGAATGCAATTGAATGAGCTAAAAATCCATTTATAAATAAAGTCATGATAAATATTACAGAGTTTATGTGACACTCTCTATTGTTAAATATCAACTATTTTTTAACTATTTCCATTGAGTAAATTTACATTCAGTTTGCACTTATTCACATTACATATATCAAAATAGACATATATATCTTATCCTGATGTTACTTGAAGCGGAGTTATATAATAAACTACAACGTGACATATTTATTATTAATTGCTGAATACAAGTTAAACACACAGTTTAAAACCATATACACTTAAAGATACATTATGTAAAAGGCTAAATCTGCCCTACTGCAGTTCTTTATTTTCACTAATGTTATTTAAACTATTATTTAGACATTTAGTCACATGACAAGTCTACTATCTAGAACATCAGATGGCTGAGATTTAAATAGATTAGAGCTATAAAATGGATAGTCAAGCCTTAGTTGCTCTGATAATAAAAAAATCTAGGCTACATCGTAAAACATTCAAAACTTTACTCACTCAGAGTAAAGCAATTTGAATGAAATTTTCAATTATGTAAGAGAAATCTGTCTATTGCAGGTCTTTCTTTGGACCTTGAATATAAATTATCAATTAGTAGATAGACATTTATTAACATGGCAAGACCATAATCAAATCTCGATGCCATCGGATGGCTCCGATTTTATGTAGATTAGAACGGTTCGGACATTTAATGATTTAATTTAAAAATTGAGAAGCAAAATAAAGTAATTTGAATGAAATTTTCAATATATACATTTTGCATTATCTATTTTTGAACTATCATAGCACAAATGGCTAGCTCTTTATCTAAATCTTACATAATGTATCTTTAATTTTCCATTATCTAGTTATGAACTATGAACTCTTATAGTAAGAACGACCAGCTCTTTATCTAAATCTTACCAAATGTCATTGTGTCTTTAAAAGTAGTTATTCATCCCAATTCAAGACTTTGGATGTGATTTTAGCACCCTGCTAACTACAATAGTGTTATATTTGAATCTCTAATAGGAATATCAGTCCAAAAATAGATCAATTCTGTTCAGTTTTTTTTTATATTTGTACAAGCCTGCCCATTGTTTATGAAAAATCTATATACTTAAATGTATTTAATTACTAATCATAACAGCATGATTGAACAGATTGGTGTTTGATGTCTTGTCAACAAAATACTTCATTTGAGACAAATATACATCATGTATGGTATTTTTTTATTTCTATGGCTTTATGTGCTATGTGGGTTGTGAGAATTTTGTCTATACGGCAACATTTCTGCATATCCTTCTTCAACTTTCAACTCTTAAGGGCACTTTTACGTACATAACAACATATGTGTATATCACTATATGGGTGGACCTCTGTGAAGATCTGGCTACACTTTTTAATAGATTTTGTTCAAATTTGGTATGAGAGAATGAACTCTATTGATTTTCATACTTGGTGTGAAGCATTGGGATAGGATAAACCGTCTTGATTTTCTGCATTCTCAAACTTTCTGTTCCAGAGATATATTATTATGTGTCTGGAAAAGCTTTGTTGAAAGCATAAAAAGGATTCTCATCAAATCTGGTCAACATGAGATGTAGTTGCTTTGTGGGCCCATTTCCACGACTTACTTGGCTATTTATAGTGGTATAATTGAAGTATTCTGTCAGTTTATCACAATAGAGGAGAGGTACATATGAGTAAATAATTCTGCTCATCTTGAACCATGGCAACCATGACAGCGATACAAATCCTATTTACTAAGTATTTGTAAAGGAAAATTACATTCTAATAAAATAAAGCAGAGTAGCATGTATTTATAAGTATGACAAGATATATCTGCAATATTGTAGCGGCCTTTCAGTCTTATTCCCATAGGCTTTGCGCAAGTAAACATAGCTTCAAATGCAGAATTCTTAACACAAAGCCTTACAGTTGAATTGAAATAAGTAATTCTATCACAAATGGTGAAGAGTGGGTCACTAAAATAGTTACTGTACAGTTTTTTTGTATGGCAATGCAATTTATACTACATTTTCTAAGCAATGTTTCAAATGATGAAGGCGTACAGGCCACCATGACAACACCGAGGTGAGTTCATGCCAGACATCCTGTGCACGCTAATTCTTGTTAGGCCATCTGATTTGATCAATTAATCACATAATTATGTGGTAGGGTATCATCTTTATTTCAATGGAAATTGGTTTATTATATATTAAGCTAAGTACACAACAGGGCAGTTTAAAGGGATATTATGGGAGATTAGATAAAGAGTTGGCAGTTCTCGCTATAATAGTTAAAGGAGATAAGTCGCTAATATTTGGGACCAAGAAATTGACACAAATGGGTCGCAACGCATACAATAATGTAATATGAATGTATATAAATTGATTTACATTCAATCGTTTCTGTTTTTACTGTAATTTCTAATCAGTTAGGTTCGGCGAAATACGCCAGTATTCTCAATGAATTTCAATTTCTAGCGTCTGGTTATTCCAGTCTACGCCAATATTATTTATTGGGCTTGCTCTCCAGATAAGAATATAGCGTCACCGTTTGATATGACTTGTGAGATATATCCCTAGCCTCGTTTTTCGAGTCCCTTATTACAAATAGCGCTGAAACGCATTATGGTACACGAATCGTGTACCAATTGTAAAATGTTTATTTTGTCTTAAAGGACCTAAGTCCGTAACTCAAAATCCTCCAAAATCTTCAACATCGAAAACACGAATTATTGGTCAATTTAAATCAACATTGATGATGTAAACTTACCGGGAAAAGATGAGCTTCTGATATCCGATATTTAAGATAAAATAATTTTTTTAACATTGGTACACGAATCGTGTACCATAATGCGCTTCAGCCCCAGTTGTATTGAGAGACTCGGGGGACGAGGCTAGACACATTGCACCAAATCAAATGGAGTTATGTAGACTAGAATAACTAGACGCTAGAAATTTGCACTCGATTGAGATTGCTGAACATACGCCGATATTATTTATTGGGCTTGCTCTCCAGATAAGAATATAGCGTCACCGTTTGACATGACTTATGGAATATATCCCTAGCCTCGTTTTTCGAGTCCCTTATTACAAATAGCGCTGAAACGCATTATGGTACACGATTCGTGTACCAATTGTAAAATGTTTATTTTGTCTTAAATATTGGATATCAGAAGGCCATCTTTTCCCAGTAAGATCACAACATCAATGTTGATTTAAACCAACAAATAAATCTTGTTTTCAATGTCGAAGATTTTGGATGATATTGAGTCAGAGACTTAGCTACTTTAAAGAATAGATAACGTAAATAGAATATGCTAAAATTTTCAGTAAAGTTGCTTCACTCTGAGCCGCGATATTAGCACTTGAATTGTAGGCCTAGCCTCGATCATCATTAGTAAAGTTGATACGATAAACAACAAAGTCTTGTATCCATTTTTAATTATTTTTTTAAAAAATGTATTGCAATCCACTAAATATCGCAGGCTAACGATGGCATCGAGAGTTGATTATGCCTATATGGTCTGGATAAGTTCATTAATGTTTCATTAATAATTTAGATAAAATTTCTGGCTAAAAGAAAGACCAGCAATAGGCAGATTTAGCTCTTGCATTATGTAGAAATTAAGGGAGTTACACACCTATAACTTTTTAGTTATTAAATGATTACAAAACTTGCACACAGGAAGTCCTTAAAACCATCATCCACTACTGTGACTGGAGGCATTTAAGACAGAAGACATCAGTAGTGGAATCACTTCGAGACAGTTTTATTAACTACCAGTACCAGTATTGATAATTATTACATTATACTGCTTAAAGGAGCTAAATCGCGAATATTTAGGACCTAGAAAATGGGTTGCAACGCGTATAATAATGTACCATGAATGTATGTAAACTGATTTACATTCAATCATTTCTGTTTTTACTGTAAGTTCTAATCAGTTATGTTTGGCGAAATATGCCAAAGGTCTCAATCGAATAGCAATCTCTATGTCTGGTTATTCCAGTCTACATCATAGTATTTATTGCGTATGCTCTCCAGATGAGAATATGGCGTCACTGTTTAACACGGCTTGCGGAATATGTTTAGTTCAAGTCCCTTGTTACAAATGCCGCTGAAACGCATTATGGTACACCAATGTTAAAATGTTAAAATGTTTATTTTGTCTCAAATATTGGATATCACTCTCAGAAGCCCATCTTTTCCCGGTAAAGCGGTGGACACACTAGCCGAATGATTCGGCCGAATCAATCGACGTCGAAATTCACCTAGTGTGTCCACTGTCATTTGGCAGAATTTCTATTCGGCCGAATGATTCGCCCGAATCAAACAGGTTTGATATATTCGCCTGGTGTATCCACTTCGCCGAAGCATTCGGTCGAATGTAGAATTCATTAGCCAATCACCACTCATATCGAGAAGTCACGTGATAGTTTGAAGACATAGACGCCGCCATGTTTAATCATGTGACATGAAAGGTGATGCAATCGACTGTTGAATCGGGCGAAGCATTCGGCTAGTGTGTCCACCCATTCGGCCGAATAAAATTTGGCGCCGATTGATTCGGCCGAATGATTCGGCTAATGTGTCCACTGCTTAAGATCACAACATCAACGTTGATTTAAATTGACACATTATTTGTGTTTTCAATGTCGATGATATTGAGTCAGAGACTTGGCTACTTCAAATTATGATTTTGATTAGTTTGAAAGTTTATCATAGACTGAAAATAAAACCCCATAAAAAAGGCCAATGATAATGACAATACGTTACGTCAGGTCATTGACCAAGGCCCACACAAGTACGCGCCAAAGGCATGTTACGAGCGCGTCCGAAGGGGGTCTGGGTGGGTTCTCCCCCCAGAAAAATTTTGAAAATTGACAACCGCAAACCCATTTTCCAAGCATTTCAAACCAAAGCAGAAGGCAAATGCTTGATTTCCTGATACAATTAGATATCAGAATTTGAGAATTCTAGAACACTTATTTTTTTGTGTTGTTTGTCAGTCATTTCTTTCCTATCTTTTCTTTCTCCTGCCCTGTGTCCTGTCCTCTCCTTCCTTCTTTCTTTCCCCCCCCCCTCTCCTTTCTTTCTCTTTTCTTTTTTTCTTTTTTCTTTCTCTTTTTTCTTTTTTTCTTTATAGGCTTAGGCCTACCTTTTTTTTTAATGAGCTTAGGCCCACTTTTTTTAATGAGCTTTTAATGGACAGGTGGACACAGTCCGGCACTGGTTGTAGGCTATCTGTTCAACTTCAACTTTCAACTTTTTTATTTGCATATTATGTCCATTAAGAACAGTATACAAAACATCAATATACATGTATACAAAAATACATTTTACACGGAATAATATATTGGAATGAAAATATAATGAGATATATGTACAATTGGGATGATCTGAAAATCTGTTTGAGCATTTCAGATCAAATCCAAGAGGTTTCTGAATTCTCTTGGTCTGAATTAGTGACTCATTATTTTACATAAAATCACAATAACTACCATTAGGAAATCTTTATCTGTTAAGTTTCCATACGTACCTTCTTCGGGCGTCAGTGATGTTGTCGGAATAACTGGAGTTGTTGGTGAAGGGTTCGGTGGAGAGGTCGCACTCGGAACAGGAGTAGTACTACTAGTAGATGCTGGTTTTGAAGAAGTTGGAGTATCTTGAGGCGTGGTACTGGCAGAATACACAGCACTGGCGCCTAGTAAACTTACCAACAATAGTTTTGATATAACTGTGAACGCCATTTTAGAAAGAAATCACACACAAAATATTGATATCACTTCCGTCATGAGAAGTTGACGTCTATATCAAAAATAAACCACGTCACGTGATAGATGTCATCCACCCACTTTAAATGGAGTTGCTGCCCTTCAATCGTCTACCTTTGGCGTCTTAAAATTATTCAGCATCGTTGTACCACCGGAGTGGCTAAATTTTATATTTCAGCATATTTTGTCTTTCTACAAAAAGAACAAAATTGGCACAGTTTTCAATCTAACTTTTTGTTTTCGAAAAACACGTGTTTGTGCAAAATTATCTCCCTTACCATAACAATGTTTTTAGTCTTGGACTTGTGGACTGAATTATTTTGTTGCGTTTATTTGTTTTTGTTTGTTTCCTGACAAATAAATAGTGAACCGTACCGATTGCATGTAAATATTGACTTTCAATTTAAATTACGAAGCATACGGTTCCCAGAGAACAGGTATTTCAAATGCCATTTATTTCCTGAAGATGAAATTTACCAGATAAGCATGACTACCCAACCGCGCCATTTATTGTTCTATTTTTAGAATTTCAATTGTCACGTGGTAATGTCAACTATGGATTCTATTAGATTGTGGTGCAATAAATTGCGTGGCTTTTGTCACGAAGTAGGTAAGTTAGCACAGTTATTAAAAAATGATTTACAAATTGAATGTTGCATAAGTGTGTTTTCGCTTGTTTTAACTTTAAAAAGTAGTATTAGACTTTACTGGCGTTTCTTAAATAATACATGGGGTGGTAGATTATATGATCTTCGACAAAAACGTGGCTTATTTATCTTACGACTTTAAGTGATCTACACGTACATTGTACAAGCTGCATAACTTCGAATTCTGGGAAAACCCATTGCATTGAATGTATAATTTGGACATGACTGGTTTCAGCCAGTTTTTTTTTGGGTTTTTTTGTTGGTTTTTTTTTGAGAATATATTTCTCAGTTATATTTGAAATCCATTTGAACTATATGAGTTTATTTACTGATTCTGTTTGGACCAGGAAGTGATGAGTTTAATGAAGTCTTTCCTCAGACGATGTCTGGTTATTGGTGATTCATGTCATGACATGAAGCTATTTGTATAGCATTATTCGTGGTAGTTAATGTGGTCAGATCACCATCTGTTACTCTAGGGGCAGTTTCCCATGCTAAACTTTCAGAGATATCAACACTTTCATGTTATTGGTGTTTCTAAGCTGTAATCTGCTGTCATCTAACAGAAAGAAAATATTAACCTTTGAAAAGATTTAGATTGATTAAGGAACTTTTTCTAACTCTGGCACAAAAGAAGAAATTTGATTAAAGGCACAAATATATCAATACCGGTAGTACGTTAGTGTTAATAGTGATAGTTTCTGACAAACAGAAAGTTCTTTAGAGGTTAACCCTCTGGTGGTTGGAACTGTTTTGTTTTGATTTATGCATTCTGTGTGTGATTTCTCCAAATACAAAATTTCTCTAGCATCAACATTGCAAATGGTTAATGGTAAAAAGAACCCTGAGGCAATGTTTTTTTGGGGAAATAGGACATCTTGGTAATGTATATTTAGTTGTAAAGAGCAGTGTGAAACTTGGTCAACAGGATTAGGTGTATCTAAAGTAGTTTGCTGTAGCCACATCCTGTGTTAACTCAGAGATAAAAGTTTGTACTTTGTTATGTACACTCAAATTGATAAATCACATTGTCTTATTTCTGTTTTTATCTATTTCCAGGTGCAGCTAACCATGTGTGAAGAAGTCAAATTACCTTGGAAGTTTTATAGCAGATATTTATAACATGCGTCACATTTAGACTACCAGTTAAAGAAAAAAAGGCCAAAAAATGGATGACAATGCCATTTCATCAAACCCAATTCCTGTTAGTCAACAAAATGATCCCCTTACAAAGAACATTTTCGATTCCATGCAGGAAATGTTGGTGAAACCAGAAGATAATCAGCCCAATGTAAAAGGAGCAGGAAAAATGCAAAAATTATTTAACAACAGCAACAAACCAGTTCAATGGAACAATATGTTCAGCAGACTAAGTCAAAACAAGGAACTTCATAAATTTTGCAAAACCGCTACATCAAACAAAGAAAATAAAGTTACGAACACGAGTTCATTTGAGACAGTTCATTGTAATGAGGAAAATTTAAATAATACAAAATCCAGTGAGATTGTGCCCAGTGAAACTGACAATTCTGTTGGATCGGTGAATAAGGGCAGCAAAGAAAATAATACTGTGACATTCAAGGAAACAAAATTGATGTTTTCTGACGATCACGAAAATCAAGAGAGATTCAAATCTGTGACTCCTATCAGTAATTCAACAGATAATGTTAGTATTAGTGAATGTACTCAACATTCTATAGAAGATATTTCTTGTAATTCTGTGCCTAATCCTGATTCTTCAGAGAACCATAACACTTCAGATGAAGGAAAATCATGTACAGAAACTCGTGACGAGATTGTATTGAATAGTGAATTTACTGAAAAAGAAAATGTCAACGATTTGAAAAAGAGTGTTATCGATAATGATTGTGAATCCAATGATTTGAAAAGGAGCATTATCAATAGCGATTATCAACGCAACGATTTAAAAAGGAGCATTATCGATAGTGATTGTGAACCCAAAGATTTGAAAAGGACCATTATTGATAGTGAATGTGAACCCAATGATTTGAAAAGGAGCGTTATCAAAAGTGATTGTGAATCCAACGATTTGAAAAGGAGCATTATTGATAGTGATTGTGAACCAAGCGATTCGAAAAGAAGCATTATCGATAGTGATTGTGAATCCGTATCTGATGACATGCCAGATAGTTGGGTAGTTAAGGATGAAATTGGGGCAAGTCATCCTGCAGACATGTCAAAGGACTGGATTGGACCTAATTCTGAATGGGAACAGGAGAATGAAGGCAACAACGACTCTGACGTTAACCAAATGAGTATGAACGATTTAGTTGTCTTGGATGAAACTTCTTCCTCTGATGATGGAATGAATAATATTTCTCCCCAGAGATCAAAGACGTCATTTAATGAAAGTCCCCCAAAAAGTGAGCAGAAATTAAATTTTTCTCAGCAAAATATCAAAAGCCCTCTTGAATTAAATGCAATATGTTCTAATAAAGGACTAGACAGTTATGACCCTGTAGATAATGAAACATTATTAACAAAATCATCATTACCCGTACCAAATAGCCGAAGCATAACTGCGGAAAAATCTTCCACTAGTAAAATTGATCTTGAATCTAAAAATGTTTCTAATGTATCATCAGCTAACCTGAACAGCTCTACTGAATCATCTCTGATGATAACATTTTCACCCATAAAGGACAATCTAGAGAACTTTTCTGAACTCAACAACTCAAAGAAAATTTGTCCAGATTCTGAAAAATCTATAATAAATTCGGAGACCTTGAAATCATCCTCGACAAGATCGTCCTCGAAGGGGACTTTTCAAGATGTAAGGACATCATCGCCCATTAATATGTCCATTTATTCAGATGTAAGTGATGGAGAGCCAGAAGAACATACTAAGGTTAAGGATGATGATGCATTGTCTCTGATTTCATCTGATGAATCTTTCTACTCAGAAGGTGTTGATATTGTTGGTGATTTCTTTGAAGTAGATCAATATGAAAATGCTTCACCTGTACAAACAAGATCCCCGGAAACATCCAATGCAAAGCCTTCACCAATGTCATCCCCAGAAAGTATCTTTTCAAAGACTTCTCATCACTCAAGTTCAGAACAACTTGAAGCTGTGGATTCAAAGGTGGAATTTATTGAAGAATGTGGAAAATCAATATTAGACAATAATGCAGAGGTACTCAATATGGAGGTATCCATGGATTTTAGAAACAAAGACAGAAGATCATCTCTTGATAGTCTACATACCATTGACAGCCTTCATACTGTTTCAGATTGTTCAGATAATGAAAAAGATGTCTATGATCGTCCTGTGGGATCATCTTCTGTACCGGAAAATGTATTATCATCATCTGAATCCCCATCTAGGGCCTTAAAGGTTACTACTGCTGATACTGTATCACCCACAACTTCTAAGATAGACATTAATTCTGATTTATCAAACAGTGGACCAAAATTAACAAAAAGTGGAGTGATTGCTGGTTTTACAACAGACAATGTAATACCCAATAATTGCAAAACTAAAAACCTTAGACCCCCTACTCCTCTGTTAGACGAAGAAATTGAAGGGGATTTTGGTGCTCCATCAGTAAATGAATTAATGTCTGGGAGGGGGCACGAGGATTTAGTGACTTCTAGTTCATTGGACCAAAATGTAACAGTCAGGTCTTCCACACCACTGCTTGATGAAATAAATGAGTCTGAAAGAACAATTAATCAATCCACAAAACAGGGTTCTATGCTTTATTCTACAGCTCAATCCACTAAACAAATGGACAACATTGTAGTAACACATAACCCATTTCCAATCGAAACAAATGCAACAGGTAGATCTTCCACCCCAGTTCTGGATGAAAAAAATGAACTTAATATTACAAATGGCGAAACTAATGAATTAATATCCCCACAAAATCCTGCCTCACTTACTGTTGATACCGAAAAGAATAAGGACAAAGAATACAGTCCCGAACTTCAGTCAGTTGATCCATCCATTTTATCCCAATCATCAAATGTAGAAATCAACATCAAAACATGTGAATGTGATATTGGGATTAATAATGATGAAAAGGAAGCCAGTGATCAGAAATTTATGTCACAAAGTGGTGCCCCTGATGAATATGTTACACAGTTTAAAAACTCTACTAAAGACCAAAATCAAGTTACCCAAAGGAACCCTTCAAGAACAAATTTAGAACATGTCAGTTTACCCCATATTAGTCATATATCATCTGAAGTAAAAGAAAATGACAGTAGTTGTTCCCTGGATGTAATTGGACCAGAAAAAAATATTGCAGCGAGTAAGAGGTGCCGCCCCATTGTCATAGACTTCCAAAATGCTATGGTCAAAATCAAAAGCTCTTCACAATTTAATCATGAAGGCTTGCACCAAACAAGCGATCTTGCAGCAACGTCTTCTAGCATTCAAGAAAAAGGCCTGTCAGTGTCTCAAATATCATATCCTGGGTTGGATTTGCAGGATTTTCCTATAGGGAATTCATTTTCAAACTTTTCTGAATCTGCTTCAAAAAGTCTGCTTCGAGACGATAGTCAACAGGACCCAAATCAATTTAACGATCAAGATGATTCCCTACCTCCACTGCAAATAGATGAATCTAAAAATGAGTATTTGGCCACTTCTCAGAAAAGTGATGATATTATTATGGGGTTTTATCCTAATTTATTTGGTAATAGTCGAAATACATGTATTGGCAGAAACTCAGAAATTCAAGAACCAAATAAATTGTTGGAAAATAAGCAAGAGACTACATCATCCCCCAAATCATGTAGGAAAATCAGTGGAACATTGCCCAAAAATAAGAATGAAAAAAATACTTTACCGAATTCAAAAAAGAAGACTTCACCAAATTCAAAAAAGAAGACTTCACTAAAGATTAAGCCTGGGAGAATAGAAAAATGTCCTGGATATTCAGTTTCTCATGCTAATTATGAAAAAGCTATGGAACATTACTATTCTCAGTCTGATCAACCATTATATATAGAAAAATATCAAAGTTATAATAACAATGCTGATGCAAGAAAAATAGATCCCAAATTGCAACCCATATTGAACCATACAGCTCAGGTACCCAGCTTACCTGCTGTAGAAAAGAAAAAAAATTATCAACGAGGATTTATGGTTGGAAGAATGAATGGAGCATTTATTTGTTTAAAATGTAAATGTAAATTTTATGACAGAAAGAACTTCAGATGGCATCTATGGCACCATGTACATCAGAATGCTGATAGATGTCCATCTTGTAATTCAACAGACCCTTTATCACCATGTGAAACCACAGAAGGTCTCCTGAACTTCATTTCAAATATGGAAAATAAAGAGGCCTTCTTTGTTACACCCAAGCAATATCTGAGAGGTGAAGTGAACATAGCAGAAAAGCAGCATTCACCAGGAATCGCTATTGACTCTCATTGTTCAAAACATTTATCTCGGGAGTCAGAAAAGAAGCATACTAATAATGCCAATACTAATGAAAAAGGTCCTCAAGCTGATGACACAGCAGAAAAAGCAGATATTGGACATAGTCTTTTGCCCATAAAAATTCTAAATACATTTTCTATGTCAACAGGAGAGTTTCTTCCAACTGATGATTCCAAGTTGACCAATGATCATAGTACGAACAGACAAGAAGATACATCTACAGCTTATAACAGCAACTCTGCTGGGCACTCTGCACCTACGAATAAACACAATTTGAAGGACTCTTCAACTAAACAGACATCAGGATATTTCTTCAAATGTTCAGTTTGTCATAAATCCTATCTTCATGAAAAAGAATTAGAAGATCATTTATTTTCCACTCATGATTCAACCACTTGCTTTAAATGTGTGTATTGTGGATTTGAAACTTTTGATAAGTTGGACTATGCATCTCACTATGCTATTCACATTAACTCTATAGGATTTGACTGTCTGTATCCTGGTTGTAATGTTAAGTCAGATATTTTGGACCATCATTTGAAACATCTAAGCTGCCACAAGAATTGGAAACCTTCCTGTAGTCGCTGTCAATTAAATTTTGACAAAATTCATTTGTTATCTGAACACTATGAACAGAATATGGTTTCCCTTTTTGCCTGTGCATATTGTGACGCCAAAGCTATAGAGAGGGGCACATTTTTAGAACATGTTACTAAAGATCATGCTCTTGTAGGTTTAAATGTGAGAGTGACAAATCTGTTAGTGTGTAATATTTCTTCAAATGTAAACAAATTAGGACAAAATAATTCTCCTTTAGTGCAACCTTCCACTGTAGGAAATAAAACCAATAAAGATCATCTACACTCAAATAAACCGGCAAATTCAGATCTTAGTTTTTCCACTTTCTTGTGCCAAAAATGTTCTTTTGTGTGCAATGATAAAAAAGTTTTTCTAGTCCATAAGAAGATTCACATTGCTCCACAAGATTTATCTGAAACTATGCCATTTACTTGTCCGTGTTGCCCAACTTCTTTTAGTATACTGACTGAATTGATGTTCCATTTGGAATACCATGACAAGGATCTTCAGTTCTCTCTTTACCAATGTCCAGAAGATGGATTCATCACAAATGATCGACAAAAAGGTAAAATGCATCTTTCACAGATAAACCACACCAACGTGGAGTTATATCAGATTAAAACATACCATCATGAAAGTAAGATTTATTGTTGCTCATTTTGTGGCATTAAAGTCAAGGAAAAGTCCATTTTTATTCAACATCTATCAATTCATGGACGGCCAGGAGAGGAGGAAGCAGAAGTATTAAAAGAAGCAGAAGATGATGAAAATTTTGGTAAAAAATTTGTTAGCAATATACATCAGCTTAATTTCAAAACTCCAGGATCATCGCTTGTTAATGGTGGCTCCTTATCTAAAGAAACCCAAAGTAGCATAGCAACTCCCAAGAAACTTTTCAAAAGCCCAAAAGATTGTGAAATTGAACAGGATATAAATGAAACATTTACCTATGAAAACAATGTTCCATATGTCACAAAGTTGTATAATTTGGTGATAAAGTCTACTCCATCTTACAAAAATTGTTCTCGAGCCTTAGATCAGAAACTGAAAATCCTCTATTCTCATCAGTCAGGATTTTTTGTCTGTGCAATCTGCAATGAAAAATACCGTGTCAAAAATTTATTGTTTAATCACATAATTGAACATTTGGGAATTTTGTATCGATGTTATACATGTGGTATATCTAACAAAACCTATGATAATGCAATTTGTCATGCTTTAAAATTCCATCAAACAGAACGAAATTCTGTAGTTTATTCAGAGAGTTTAGCTGAAAAAGTCCACAAATTAGCCGACTCTTTTCCATCAACAATTGTTCTTAATACTGCAAGAACAGAGGTTTCTAATCATGTAACTCATCAGACACAAGAAAAATCCTTCACTGCCAACAGAAATAAAACAAAAGTTTTTACAAGGCTTAAGGTGATGGAATCCAAACACCCCAACTCTGAAATAACCACCAACTGTACATCTGATTTGGAAACCACACCACCAACTCATCCACCTGCAGAAATAAGTGATGAGGAATTACGTTTCCTTGCTGAAGAAGATACCGTTAAAGCTTTCAGCTGTTTAATCAGGAGAGGAATTGAATGTTCTTGGTGTAAAATGTGTGGCAAGGCATTTTCACAGACTTTGCCAGGAAAAACTCAACTATACCATCACTTGCTGACAAAGCATCTAAAGTACAAGCCCCATAGTTGCTTCCATTGTCCCTTTTCTGCTTATTCTGCGAAAGTTCTAACGAACCATATTAAAACTATGCATGTTGGAATAAACATCATATCCTTCACTGTTCGGAATATTGTTGAAGATGTCATTGATTTAATCAAGGAATCAGGACTTGACATCGATTTCTCTGAACTCCTTGAACATTGCGACTCTGATAGTGTCCCCGGCAGCAGTGTTGATACGTCTTCCACAATTTCTGCCTCTTATAGCTGTGAAATGTGCTCAGCAACTTTTGATTGTCCCTTTAAGATATTACGACACAAGAAAACAGCACATTCAGAGGTAGTTAAAAATACAGCAAGAAAGTCTACTGCTCCAAGCTCTAGCACTGTAAGAAATTTACTGCATCACAAATCTGCACAGATCAGACTGCCAGGTTACACTGCTCGCAAGTCTACGTCTGCACGACCATTGGGAAATACAGCTCGTAAGTCGACAATTCAAAATAGAAGACAAATAACCCCTGGAAACACACCAGATCCAGAGAAGAAGTTATTCAAATGTCCTAAATGTGATTATATCACAGAAAAGAGGCACAGAGCTATGCTTTATCATTTCAACAAAAAGCATTCGTTTGAATGTTTTATCCAGTGTTATTATTGCCAAGCAAAGTTCACAAACAAGGACCTCTGGTTGAAACATTCATCATTGATTCACTCAGGTCAAGAAATGCAGTTTAAAACACTTCCCATTGAAGATTATTTTATCCCATGGAGCACTTCTGATAATCATCAGGTAGAACAGTTGACTCAACAGAATAAGCCAGAAGAACGACCTCAATCTGTTGAGTCTAGTAGTCTAAAGTCCTTAGTTCCACATCTTGTTTGTGTCTTTTGTAATTTGAAAGAAATAAAAGAAGAGTATATGAGATATCATCTATACATTCATCTTGATTATAAACCATTTAAGTGCAAACTTTGCAAAAAGTCATATTCTGATCCTTTTCGGCAGAAACAGCACATATGTTTAGAGCATGCTAGCCAGCAAGACAAAGCGTATACAGAAACGATTGAATTATATGAGGACAAAGTAGAAGAGCTTCTAAGTGATTGTAAAAGATCTGTTCAAAATGATTTAGATTATATACCTTGGAACTTGGATGACGTCCTGAATACATTGTCAGATTCTTTTACAGAGTCGAAAGAAGAAGATTCCTCAGATTTTCAAACTAAGGATACACTCTGCTCCAATCAAGATTACCATGATGAAACTCTTCAAAAGCTACAACAGATATCTCCAAGGAAGATATTAGGATCTTATGATAAAGAGGACCAGCCTCAAAATCATGCTGATGATGTACATGGCCAGGAAACAGACAAATCCAAAATTATCAAGTTCTCAAGCAAAAGAAAGACAATATCCTTGTCTGATTACACTTTCCAGAATAGTAATTCTTCTGGTCCACTGTTGAAGAAAATCAAGATGTCTCCTGGTGGAGTTGATTCCCTTAACAGTTCCCTTAACAAGCCAGTAGCAAAATCAAAACCATTAAACAAAACTAAAAGTTCTTCAGCAGTTTCCCTGCAATCCTTAGGAAGCAGTTCATCATCTTCAAGTTTGGGAATTAAGAGATCTCCAGTAGAAGAACCTTCATCTAAAAGTAAATGGAAAAAACACAAATCTTCTAATTCTGGTGAATTTGATAATCATAACATCATGTGCTATTATTGTTCATATTCATCAGAAGCTGTGTCACATGTCATTAGTCACACTCAACAGCAACATGTGGGACGCAATTGGGTAGCACTGTTGTGGATTGACAAGATTACAGGTGGAACTTATGATCATGAAGGAAACATATTTAGCAATGGTTTTGATTCTGATGTTGTAATAGAAGAACGTTTCTTGTGTGGATTGTGCAATTTCAGAGCCAAAGATATGTAAGTGTACATAATAATTCCTTCTTTTGAGTTTTAGTGGTAGGTCATCCCAACAAATGTGTGTTTTAGCTGTTTAATGCTCTGTCTAGAATTTAAATAAATCTTTTTTGAGTCTGTGGTGGTCGGTTTATTTCAGCATGGATATGGAGCCCAGATAACCTTTAGTGTCGTGTGTCATATAATTTTGAAAAAACATTTTTCAGGGTTAAGATTTTAGAGCATGAAGATACTGAACATGAGGATATAGTAGGCTCTTCTCTGGTAGAGTTAAAGACTATTATTGCCTGTAGTGGATCGAGAAGACATCGAACTGCAGCCTCATCAAATTTATCAAAGACTGTAAATAAACCAGATAAACCAAAAAAACCTCACAAACCTCAGCCTATTACAGAATTCAAAAAGTCTCCAGGTGGGTGAAAACGTCTATAATTGATGAATTCATTAGAAAATTGTGTGATAAAAGATTTCTTCAGTACTGAAGCATAAAATGAAAATATAAGACCGAAAATATAAGATCATTATACTGCCGGTAATAATGAATAATAATGTGGCAATATTTATATAACGCATTCGTCACACTCATGCTCAAAGCACCTGCGGTATATATTGTTCCAATATTGTGATGAGCGTACATTACTGTGCATGTAGCATCCAAAAATTAAAGTTGATTTGATATGTATGGAGGTGTAAAAGTTTAGATAATATGATTACCTTTTCGAAACATTACCTTATGAATAATAATAACCAACATTTGATAAGGCATTTGCAAGAAATGATATTTTCTTCTTTGTATGCTTAAACCAGCATATTACAGAAATGGTTACATACAATGTAGGATGACCCATGTACTCACAGAAATACAGTCCACCGCTGATAGTTCGAGACTACCACTGAAGCGTGCACATTCGCCGTGCCGAGACCAACTTACTGACAGTGTGATACTATAAATAGCCATGGCACGTGCAATTCTCTACAAATCTATTAACTATTACAGCCGTAAAAAATTTATTGTTGACGATTTTGAATAGCAGTAAAATTAAGCTTCTTGGTTATTACAGCAGATTTAGAAATTACGTTCGTTTCATTTTTTAAATCGCTTTATCATTAACTGTACCGTTAAGAGCGGCATCTTTTGGTTTAGTACAAATAATATCTCTGAATCACTCGGGTTAGACAGGAACATGATACTAGCAGTAGTTTCATTTAACTTTTACAAGCTTCTTAAAACGATTGTTGAGCTACCTAACGTGCTTATTTCTAAATTCAATTTCTTGTTCTAGCTTTCTGTTATGTTTCGTAAAAAAGTAGTCTTGATTATCCCGACCTGTCAATCAGACGTAGAATGGTCGATAGACTGGTTAAGCGAGACTTATTTCAAAACAAGGGCACGTAACCTATCTTTTACTCAAAAGTGTCTGGATGTTATGGATGACTCTTGGAACCAGTTTTCAGTCTATTATTTATACATGATTAATGGTCATAGCTTATTAAGTACAACATGATCGTTTATTTAGTGACTATAATTGTGTGAAACTGATTTGAGGCTTGGCATATATATACATATTGTGGCGTAATTGTCGAGATATATGGAGATATTTATTTATGGTGGGTCACCCTAACAATTGAATTACATATAACAGAATTGGTTACATATGATTGACTAAAAAGTACTGGTTACATACGATAGACTTACATTACTGGTTACATAAGATTTGACTTCCCTTATTTCAATTTCATGTCAATTTCTCTGAGCTATACTCAGCCAAATTAATAACTTGACACTGATGAATTTCAACAAAAATTTTTTTCTGGTAAGTCAAATAAATTTTAAAGTGTTTCTAATGATAGTAAGTAGTAAGAAGCCTTTAATTTCATAAAATTATAAAGTCACATGGATCACGTGACTTTTGAGCATATAAAGATGAAAAACCTGAAAAACATGTGCAAACACAAACTCGTGAGGTCAATCGATGCAAGTTTGCTTAAACTGAACACGCACACGTAACTTGAACTGGAAAAACAAATTAAAATTGTTATTTTCATCTTTGTTAGAAAATGCCGCGCCTTTCAAATGTAGAACGTCTACGTGCTATAGGTAGGCTCTATGCTGGTCAGTCTGTGGTCACTGTTGCAAGAGCCTTTAATTGTTCACGCCAGACAATAATTAATCTTAGAACGAGAGTGCTTCAAACTGGAACTATTGCCGACCGCCCAAGGGCGGGAGCACCACGTGTGACGTCACTCCAGGAAGATCAAGCAATACGATTACGTCATCTTAGAAACAGATTTGTCACTGCAACCTCCACAAGTAGAGAGATGTTTGGTGGAAGGGTAACTGCACAAACTGTTCGAAATCGCTTGAAGGCTGCTGGTCTTCGAGCTCGGAGGCCCTATAATGGACCAATATTGACTCCTCTTCATCGCCTTAACCGACTTGTGTGGGCCACAAGACACATAAGATTTACTCAAAGACAGTGGAATTCGGTTGTCTTTAGTGATGAATCTCGATTCACTTTGAGATTTGCCGATGGCAGGGTCCGAGTGTACCGCAGACGAGGTGAACGTTACGCTCAAGTATGTGTCAGAGAAGTTGACCGATTTGTTAGCGGCAGCGTCATGGTTTGGTGTTCTTTTTGTGCACATGGACGTTCTCCTCTTGTTGTTGTCCAAGGGAACTTAAATGCTGTCCAGTACAGGGATCAGATTTTGCAACCTGTTCTTCTTCCGTTTATGCAGAGACATGGGCCTGGACTAACGTGGGGGGTTGGATGGCTGAATGGTTAGCGCGCGCGCTGTATCATGAAGTCTGTCATTGAGTCGACTGGCGTGGTTTCGAATCCCCGGTTGTACGTGGCAAGGAGTAGGGTCGCATCTCCAACCTCGTGGGTTTTCTCCGGGGCCTCCGGTTTCCTCCCACTGCTAAAGACCCCTACGCGCAAGCGAATTATTGAAATAAAATTAAACCCTATGTTAGTCCAGAAATGACCTAGTTTGTGTCGAGTGGATGTTAAACCCCATTTCTCTCTCTCTGGACTAACGTTTCAACAAGACAATGCTCGACCCCATACAGCAATTGGTCGGTAGGCAGACGAAGTGACTTATCGTCAATAGGTACGGTATGAAGATAAGTCACTTCGTCTGCCTACCGACGAATTGCTACCCAGAATTTTTTAAGAAATGCTGGTGTCCTGGATTGGCCGTCGCTTAGCCCAGACCTTAATCCTATTGAACACATCTGGGACGAACTAGGTCGACATGTTTGTCAGCAAGTGAATCCACCACTGACGTTGCAGGACCTTCAACATGCTCTTGCTGAGCAGTGGCGAAGTCTTCCTCGGGTAGTGTTTACTAATGTTCTGAGATCCATGAGATGACGTTGTGTGGCAGTACGAGACGCTAGAGGAGGCCACAACCGTTACTAAACACTTTATTCCGATTGTTCTCCAAGTCTGTGAATTTCATTTTGAGGGGTACTGTGACATCACGAACGTTATCAATGTCAAGGACTTTCGGCGAGACGTATTCTTGCTTTCTGTTGATGTCAAGGTCGTCTGTGCACAACATAACACTAAAATAGTTGCCTTAAACCAAATATTAAAAATCTAGTCCCAAAAATCCCGAGTGTCAAGTTTTTAATTTGGCTGAGTATATATGTGGCATGATTTATGGCCTAGGACAAGACATTGTGTGATACATATGTGCATGCATTTCAATGCGTCTAATATATTGAGCGCCATGGAAAATGCATCACTTAGTTTTTCGTATAACAAAATGATCCTGTAAACATATCTTATTTATTTTGCTTCTTATTGTGAACAATATTCAAATGGGAACACATCAATAACAACACATTTGTACACTTATGGATGTTTAATCTGTAATCAAGGGTACAAAGTCAGAGGGGTCAAAACCAAAAGTACTACACAGATGTCAGTAGTGCGTGTGTCCTCCACGGGCCATCATCACGGTAAGCTACAGCATTAACGCGACCCCTGCAAATGTGTAAGGCGGTCCGGTGATGAAATGTGAAGCCTCCCCACACCATTACACTTTCCCCACCCCATCGATTCGTTTTGAAGACGCAGCAGTCTGCAAGACGTTCCCCAAGACGTCTCCACACACGTTGACGGCCATCAGCGTGATAAAGATGAAAGGGACTCTCATCACTGAAGAGCACACTTTGCCAGTCTACTCTTCTCCATGTCTGGTGTCCTTGAGACCATATCAAACGCCGCTGACGGTGATGATCCCTGAGGATAACTCCAACATAACGTCGTCGTGCACGGAGTCCTACTTCTCTTAGACGATGTCTTACGGTGTTGGCACTTACTGGTCCTTGTCTTCCGACGACTGCTGCACCTGTTCGAGTCGCTGGGTGGAATCTGTCACGCAGATGAGTGACCCGGATGTAGCGGTCTTGAGCCTGGGTTGTAACGCGTTGTGGACCAGGACGTTGACGGTCACGTGTTGATCCAGTAACTCGAACACGTTCCACCAACCTTACAATAGTGGACTGATGACAATTGAAGTGTCTGGCAATAGCATGTGTAGACATGCCAGCCCTGGACATTCCCATGGCTTCATTCCGTTGATTTTCAGTAAGTCTCGGCATCTCTTTGCTCGATTCCTTCACACGTCCAACAACAAATTACGACAGATTGACGTTTCACAGTTCATGTACTGCACATTAAGTTGAAAACATGCTTTTAAAGGGCTCACCCACAATGCTGCACGTGAATATTGGGTTTTTCATGTGCATCTCATGCAATTTTTTTTGTGCACACGGGCCGATATTTTTTGCGTTTAGGAGCATTGTGTGAAACAATAGTTCATAGTATTGCATAATATTATACATACAAAACCACCTAGTAATAAAATATTTGGGAAAAAAAAGTGATGCGTTTTCCATGGCGCTCAGTATATTTCATCAAGTTTAATGTAAGATTTAGATATTTGATATAATGGCATGCCAATATCAAAGGATGACGTCACATCTGTATTTTAAATATCTATATTGACTCACAAATTACATAATCAATGTTATATTTTCTAGGCAAATCGAAGCCAGTTTCAAATGGTATGACCTACAATTGCAGTGTGTGTTCAGTTCTCAGTACCAGCGAGTACCAGTTTCGACGTCACTTAGCAACTCACAGTAACTTTTGCTGCCTTGTGCCTGATCTATCCCAAAATCCACAGTTGAAGTGCTGGAACTGTTCTTTTAGAGCTACAAGTATTGAGAACTTTACAAGACACCTGACAAAACAAGTGGCTATTATAAAATATGAATGTGGTCACTGTGGTTATCGAGCTGGTTCACCTCGTGCTGTTAAGATCCACAATCGTAGTAAACATTCAGAGAAAGAGCCAAATATATGGGAGGTCTCAGATGAAACACCGTCTTGTGCTAACAACAAAAACTTATCACTTATTGTTGACCTTGAACCTCATGTTCGTCTGGAAGACTTTCAAAATATGACTCAAACCAGATTTGAATATCTGCTACAGAGGAGACCCCAAAAGATTCTACACTGAATTTTTTTATGATTAAGAAATTCCATTCTATTGATATATGCTCACTCAAATATTGTTATCAGCTGACCTGTTCGTTTTTGGATTTTTTTTTAGAAAAGTTAAACAGTAGTTAAGTTGTATATAGATTTATAAATACATCTTGACTATTGAGCTTGAGATATATTGCAGGACATTGTTTTGGGTGAAAACTGTAAGAAGTTTGTTCATGAAAAAGAGACAGCTTCAATCTTGGGATTACCCCATCTTCATGTTCTACCATTAAACAATATAATGGATTCTGTTACGAATTATATTTTTTAACACGTCAAGGTTGTGGGTAACGTATCTATTGAAATCAATATTTTGTCTAACAGCAGTGCTGCTCATGGTTGTTGAACATGGTTTACTTTAAAGTAATATCTCCATCCACATTTTACTTTTAACAATGATAAAACAAGTGCCATATCTTATTGCCAGTAGTTGTTTTATGCAAAATTAATTTATTTATTAGTAGTATACTGTACTTATTTGGAAGTATGATTTGTTCACAACGAAAGTACAAATGCAGTATTTTGTATTAATTTTAAGTAATTATTTTAAAGAAAAAGGCTCATGAAAGCTTTTTTTATCAATAAGTCTTTATGCCAATATCATGTGTCTTCTTTTTTCTACATGTATGTATAAATACATTCCAAAATGGTGATCATATTTTGTTCACCAAAATTTATGAAATTTATAAATTGTTTCTAGTACTTTATAGAAATTTTTGAATTTGTAAATTTACTGGTACAGGTTTCCCATTCATAGCTTGCGAGATAATGTTTTTAGCAACAAATATATTTTACTTAGTGGTTTGAATATGTTTTCCCATCTTCAATTATATACTTAAGACTCTTGACTGTAATGGAAATATATCTTAAACCAAAAGCCAAAACAGCTTATTTGGATTATCGGTATTAAACAGCTTAAGACCCAACAGATATCCAAACATTCATATAAATGGTTGCTAATTCAAAGGAGTTATATGTTATATTAATCGATTTAAGGTGTAAATATTGCTTTGTATATAGTGCTATTTTATGATTTGTTATAATTCCTTGTTTCGTTAAGTTTTGTATATTATTTAAATCAGGACATATTTCTAAAAATTAACATACAAGATTTTATAAATAAATTCACAGAATGTAAGCATATGTAAAGAATCAAAAATATTAAAAATATCCTAAAATGACTCGACTTTATATTAATGTCCCACATTTTATCTGAATTATATTTTGATGCTATTTGATGTACATGTATCTCATCACATGTTAGACAGAATAATACACCTGACTATTAACTAGAAGCCCACTAGACAAAGAACAAGTGGTTGCCATTCAAAATACACCCACATGTTGCAAGAGATGGACGGAAAATATTGATAGGGCTAAACCTCTTATTGTTTCATTGCCTCAAATTAAATATGAACAAAAAATCGTAGGCTTATAAAAAGAATTATCCAGTCAAATAGCTGCAAGTGCAAGATACAGTACTATTTGATTGATCTGGATATTGGATGGCTCAGAATATAATTTCAATAGTGTGAATGTGAAATGCTCAATCTGTACCGTCATATAGAAGCAAATCAGCAGCATTGTGGTCATCATTCACCGATCTGACTCCAACGCAAATTAAGCTGGTTATATCAGAAAGCTCTTCTAAAACGTGTTATCTCGAACCTATATATACACATCTATTGAAGAAACACATTGATCTATTTGTACCCATTACATCTGAAATTATTAACCGATCTCTTTCACCTGGTCACTTTCCCACGGAACTAGCAAAGGCCATTGTTAAACCATTATTAAAGAAATCGAGCATGGATCCAGATATTCTGTCGAATTACCGTCCTATCAGTAATCTATATCTTACATTTCAAAACTACTAGAAAAGTGTGTTCTAGATCAATTAAATGATCATGTTTATTCCAATAACCTTGGAAATCCATTACAATCTGCCTACAAATAATACCACAGTTCAGAAATTGTTTTACTCAAAATCACCAACGATATCTACCGAGCTATAGATCAACAGAAATGTGTTATCTTGGTACTCTTATATTTCTCAGTCGCATTTGATACGCTCATTACCGAGAAACCCCTTGATGCACTATGGTGTGAAATTGGCTTGCGTGGTTCTGTCTTTAACTGGTTTAAGTCATATCTAACCAATCGCCCCCAAGCTGCCAGAATTATGAGATTCAAAATCCGACGATAATACAATGCTTTGTGGGGTACAGCAAGGTTCTGTACTCGGACCTGTACCTTTTATTAACTTCACAAAGCCTATCACTAAGATTGCTGAAACCATAGGCTAACTATTCATTTGTTTGCAGACGACACCCAACTTTACATTGAATTTGACGCAACGTCTCAACATTCCACGATAAAAAATATAGAACTTTGTCTCAATGAAATTCTTGCGTGGATGACAGAACATTTCTTGAAATTAAATCCAAATAAAACAGAACTGCTAGTAATTAGAACCAAGCAACTCCGAAAATTTGATCAAGCGCTAGTTAATTTTGATAAAGAAATCTAAGGAACCTATAAAGCTAGAAATATTGGTGCTATATTAGACTCGAACCTATTGTTTAAAGATCACATACAAAGTCTTTGCCCCACTGCCTCCTATCATTTACATCGAATTGGAAAGATCCAACGATATCTCAATTATGAAAATAAAGAAAAACTCATTCACGCATTCATCTCAACTAAACTAGATTACCACAATGGTTTACTTTACGACTTACCAGACTATCAGATTAACAAACTACAACATGTTCAAAATTCAGCATCTCGACTCTTCACTAAAACTAGAAAGCATCAACACATCTCCCCGGTATTGCAATCTTTATATTGACTCCGATTTCAGCAAAGAATTAAAACGGCCAAGCTCCATCTTATATAAAAAGTCTTGTTGAACCCTATACTACCAGTCGAAATCTCCGTTCTTAGAAAAAACATATTCTAAATCTTCAGCTATTTACTTAAACTTGGAAAGCGTACCTTTTCTCATTTTCTTATGCTGGTCCTTTTCTATGGAATAGACTACCACATTCAACGAACAAACATTCAACGAACAATCACCGTGTGTGGGCCATTTTAAATCTCAACTCAAAACAATCTTGTTTCATAACTCTGATCTGTATATAATCAGTGAATATAACAACCAACAGCACCTTAGAAACTGTTAGTTTGTGTGGTTTTTTTTTCAGTTTTAACGCGCTTTATAAACAACGATATTATTATTAATAATAATCATCCATGCGTAATTTCTTCCAGGTTGGTCTTCCTGAATTCTTACCAATTTAGTATGATTGCTAATATACAATGGTAGACCACAATACACACTTTGTCCCTCACGCCTTATTGTTATTTTGCCCCAGAGCGTTGCACTTCGTCAATTTGCTTTATAGTAGACATCATTCACTGGCTGTTCTGGAATTGGGTTTGATATCATTCACTGCCGATGGAATAGGGTTAGACACAATTAAATGTCTGCTCTAGAATAGGGTTAGACACCATTAATTGTCTGCTCTAGAATAGGCTTAGAATCCATTAACTGTCTATGGAATAGGGTTAGACCTCATTAACTGTCTGTTTTAGAATAGGATTAGACATCATTAACTGACTGCTCTAGAATAAGGTTAGACATCATTAACTGACTGCTCTAGAATAGGGTTCGGCACAATTGCACAATTTACTGTCATCTCTAATGGTTAGCCACCATTAACTGACTGCTAAAGACAGGGATAGGAAACCCATTTCTTTGTTTCATAGGTTTGATGTTATCAGTTAGCATTAAATTAAGGTAAGACATCATTTATCAGTTAGACATTATTCTGCATGTTTTTATAAGGCCTTTTGAAGGTTTGGTTTAGTGTCCAGATCAATAATAATAAATAATCAACAGCTTTTGTTTTAATTAGGTTGTTATTATTTATACAATACACCAGTTAATCAGTATACCAAGTAACAAGTCTCTCTTAAAGCTAGCAAGCCAACAGTGAGGCTGGTGTCCCCTGCCGAAATCCCAAAATAAACAGATGATACATATTAATTAATTGCACATTTATCTTTTTCAAAATTATAAGTAATCAAACATAAGCATAAAATGTTCACGAACAAACTCAGTCAAGTTTTGAAGTACCTGGTAGTGAAACTATACACTAAGTTTCATCTCTCTCCATTATCAGTTAGACTCAAGGTTATCTTGTTCCAAAGCATCGACCAATGAAATTGCTTATCGCTACTTAACCTAAGTAGAAAATTCACATCATCGAACCTAGTCAATGTATTGATATAGTGAATCTATACTCAGAGTTTCATAGCTCTCATCGAATTAGAACTAAAGTTATCGTGTTCCAAAGTCTCAACCAATCAAATTGCTTATCTCTGCTTGGGCTTAGTGGAAAATGCGCATGATCGAACTCTGTCAAGGCATTCACCTAATAAACACCTACACCAATTTTGAGCATTCTACCTCAATTAGAAGGAGAGTTTTTGTGTCCAAAGTCTCGACCAATCAAATTGTTTATTGATCTGCTTTAGGCACTGGCGTAATGAAACTATACACCAAGTTTCATCACTCTCGCTTAATTAGAACTAAAGTTATCGATTTCCAAAGCATCAACCAATCAAATTGCTTATCTCTGCTTACTCTAAGCAGAAAATGATTATCTTCAAACTCCACCAAGGCATTCACCCTATAAACACCTACACTCTAGCTCAATTAGAAGGAAAGTTATTGTGTCCCAAAAAGTGTGACTGAGAGCCAGAAATACCCATTTTAATAGGATCTTGTTTAAGAGGAATTGGAACCTTCAACAAGAAAATAAAAATAGTTAATTTCATAATATCACATTCAAAATAACCCAAGATTTGATAAATTATCGACAATCCAGGAGCTTGGAAAAGCAGATTTTCTCAAATATTGCATACAATGTAACTTGAACTACCACGTAAGTCAAATCCATTTTAATTTTATTTTATTTTACTGACCAGCAAAAAGTTCTAATGCCCCTTTAAGATCTTTCAAAATTAAAATTCTTTTAGCATATTTTACAAGGAAAACTGATTGAAAAGGTAAGTAACAGATCGATGGTATACATTCTGATACAGAATTTCCATAAAGATTACATAAAAATCACTATTACAATTACACAATCTTTAGATGATTAATTTCTTCTTAAGGCGGGTTATTAGCAAGGGACAATGTATAGTTCTTCAGATGGGACTTAAACTGAGGTCCTGTGTACACAATGGTGTGCCTGTAAAAGAACCCTTTTTAGTTGGTATTCGATATAAGAGTAGGCTGTAGTGCCGCTATCCGGACAAAATTTCACTCATACTATACTGTATGGCGTATGTCCGTCTTCATTAGACTAGTCTGAGCAGAACAGTAGGACATTAAACCCCATTTCATTTCTATTTCTCACAATGGCCAAAATACAATGGAAATAGTATGCCAAATCTTTATCGGATGTCTAAAAAGTAGCTTGGAGAAGGTGAATATTGTAGAGTCCTCTGCTATCCCCAGAAAGAGACTGTCACATTATGCAAGTAACAAAATAAAATTTATAACATTTAAATAAACAGATATGGTCAAATATATTAAAATAAAATAGATACAGTCAGATAGAATAGAAAATTATGATATAAATGTGAGTATGGTCATGCTGAATAATTATTATGAATAATTAAAACTAGGCTTTTAAGCTTAAAAGATAAACAAATTATAGCTTAACGCATATTTATTAAAAAACACTTTATGGCAGTGGCGGACGCAGGTTATTTTGTTAGTGGGTGCTCGCAATCCTCCAAGAAAATTTTGAAAAATCGGGATGTCAATGGTGATTTGTGTCTCTTATCTGGATCCCAGTATAACATTCAATTTCATCAGCAACAACTTCACTAAATTGCAGTATAGCCCCAATTAATGAAATTTACATGTTTCATAGAAGAAGAATACCTAAGTGATTTATTTAATATTGTTATTTAGGGACCCCACCTGGACCCACCACTGCTTTATAGGCCTGTGATGACAGCAAAATAACAATGTTATGATTATAAAAGCCTCAGAAAAGAATTCACAGATATTTCTTCGTCATAGGTTTTTGACGGGTCGGTTGATCTGGAGAAACAGAGAAATGTTTTTAAACCCAGATTAAGTGGAATTAACATCAGAATCATAAAACACTGACATTTTGGTATAAATCTTTATTAGACAGCTATTTCTGCATATTTTCAATATTATGAGTTAACTGTTGATAATGAAAAGGATATAGACCCTTCTGAACGAAACAATGTGGTTATTGGAATGATCAGCTTCCTTGACACAGGGACACTGATGTGGTTGAATACAATAACAAAATTATATATTAAATTCAACAAAATATAAATAACAAAATACTTGCAAGATTTGGGGTTAAACTAAGGATTTATGATTCATAATTATGCTATAGTTTCAGATCAAGCCAAATAAATACTTTATTTTGACTTCAAAGCAACAGTCCTAGATTGCTAAACTTAATAAGTTACACAACTTATTTAATTCTTCAATTTTCTGAGTGTCGTCCTTTAGCACCTATACAGACAAGGGTCAACCCAACAACACATACAAATATCTTACTCAATTTCAACTAGTTTAAAAAACAATGAATCTAGATTCAAGTATTATGATGTGTAGTTTCTAAAGTAAAGTTGTTAGTTTTGATAAAATAATTACCTCCCTTTAATGCCCAACCCTTCATAAAGAGCTGGTCATTCTTTGCTATAATAGTTTAAAAATAGATAAAGAAAAATGAATCTATTGAAAATTTCAGTCAAATTACTAAACCTTAAAGCGGAAATTGCAAATTTTAAGTTATATTTTTAAAATTTATTAAAATAAAGCCTGAAAATAGATGGTATCCATAAACAGTCCTACCTTGTTAAAGAATAATCCTATTAATCCTATAATTCACTATTGCCAGCTGAGAAATTGGCAAAAATATCATTTTCCTCTTCATTTTCAAACGTTTGAAAAAGCTACTCCATGGTGGAGAACAGAAAACAAGGGAGGTAATTGGGAGGTAATTGTGTTATTATTTCCTGTGTAAATGAGTTGTGAGAATGACACCTCTGATCGTATAGTTGTGAGTTGACAACCTATTGAGCAAAAGACATAGAAATAATTATGTTTTGACTTTCTTAGAAAATTTGCAATTTCCGCATTAAGCGAAGTTAATCCTAAAGAGCATAGGAAGTTTGATAAATACGGCCATAGATTACCATCAGTAATTTTTTTCATTACAACATCATTCAATTTATTATGAAAATAATTCTGATATAATCGTAAAAAAACATGTGATATTTATTTTGATAATATAGAAACAAAAAATGAAATAAATATTTGAAGTAAGTACATATAGATGACTAGAATGTTCCAAACAGAAAATTGCTTGTATCAAAAAACAAAATGAAAATGGAATACAGTACATTTTAAACAGTATACTTCAATGCACAACAAGTCAGATTGATCAAATATATATCTCTTAAGTCAAAAATATGAATTATTTTCAGGATTAAGATATAAAGAAAATCGTGTAGATTAAGGAAGTCAAGCAAGGCAGACAAAGGTAGTCAAGCAAGGTAAATTAAGTAGGTAATCAATTGAGGTAGGTGTATTACACCATAAAGGGTTTGATCATTTAATTAATCAATCCTGAAATATTAGTAATAGTTATTACCCTCAGTAAAGTTCAGCATATACAGGCAAAACAGCAACCATGGTATAAACTGTTGTTATTATGTCATTTAGGATATCTGAATACAAAATAACGAAAACAAACATGCAGAATAGACTGGATTGAATTGAAACACCTGCTAAAAATATTAATTATTTGATATATTTTAAGACAAGGGGAATATACACCTCATGACTAACTTTCTCTTCTATTTTGCTAATAAATATTTAGGAATAAAACCCCCACCGACACTTAGTGGACACTTCCACTCTAACACAAGGTAAAAATATGTACTATTAGGTAATAAATCACATCTGAGTAAGCCTATTAATAGGCTAGCTTCTACAAGAAATTACCTTGAAAATGGTGATTTAATATCAACAGATTCCAACGTGTATTGTGTATGGTTTTAATTCTGGCAAGTTGGGGTCTTCAATTGCAGTTTTTTCTTTAAATGATTTATTAAGGGGATACAAGGCGATGTGGGTTTTGTGTTGGTTGCTATATTTTTACAAGTTTTGCAGGCCTTCATTGGCACATAAAGATGAGTACAGAATAATACAAACATCTTTAACTATATTTATGCAGAAAAATATGGCAGCAATTTGTAATGAAATACAGTACATGGCTAAAAACTGTGATAATGTGTATAAAGAATAAATAGAAAAATTTCAATTTTCAATTAAATGCTTGTGTTGATATGATTAAAACTGAAGCCATGCATACCACAAAAATAAACAACTATATACAATATTATGATTTTAAGACTTTTAAAACATCGTAGAATATGTTACGAAAAACTCGTTTAAAATATGGTCCTGGTTTTTCTTTGAGTTTTGTACACACTGGTGTTTTCCCCCTATTCTCTACATCTTCAATATCCCAGATCTCTGGCATCATACAACCAGGCCTAAAGATAAAAACCAAAATATTTTATACATTTATTCAACAAGAATTATTCTAAATACATCAATATTAATGTTCCCATGGATTATTAGATTCTCCCATGTATTAATAGATGCTCCCATGTAACAATAGATGTTCCCATGCATCATTAGATGCCCTAAATTAATAACTTTGCATGTATGGAAATGAAATGGGGTTTAACATCCAATTTTTCTGCACCGGGTGGGCTAATGAAGATGGGCATACGCCATACAGTGTGCTATGAAGGAAAGTTTTCCTGGACAGAGGCACCATGGTCTAATCATATTTCAAATACCAACTGTCAAAGTTCCTTTTACGTGCACGCCAATTTGTACAGGTGACCTTGGTTTTTCATCCCATCAGAATGACTAGACACTGTTTCTTGCCATCCTGCACGACCACAAGGGGAAACAACGACGGAAAATCCTGAGAAACTTTCTTGCCCAACACGTGGAGCGAACTCAAGATTTCCTGGTTAGCGAGTCAGCGTCTTACTAACTGAACCAACAAATGCTTGAATATTTTAAAATCTAAAACATTAAATCAAATTAATTTTTCTTCTACATAAAAAAAAATCTAAATCTTGGATTATAAATTTTATGATGAATCTACAATTGCTATATTATCTGAAAATATCAAATCCTGATCAATCTGAGATAAACAAAAATTCCATCAACTTACTTTGTTTTTCTTACACACCAAGAATTTTCTAAAATCGCGTAATCTACTTGTAAATCGAGGAGATACTGATGGACTAGCTCCTCTGGTTTTCTACTATACATACTGTATACTTTCATTGTTCTTGCTCTAAAAGGTAAAATGAATGTAAAAGGGATTAGTTTAAGTCATTATATAAGCCACCTGTCACAGACAATGTTGGGTACAATTACGGGTTTTGTCAGGGACAATTTTTATGGTGCCTGTCATTTTGTCCTTTTTCTGTATTTTAGTTGATATTGTTACCGATAATTTATTACAATATGTCTGGCACAAAGTCTAAAATCATAATTTCAAGGCCTGTTATGAGACTAATGCTGGGCTTGAATCAGGCTGTATCTACGTTAATTACAAATTTCTGGTGTGAAAATAGTGCTTTAATCACATAACAAGTTTTATTTTCCAATTTAGCCAACAAGAAGTAAAAAGACAACAAAAGCTATTTAGTTGGATCTTGAATCAAAACAGACAATTGTATGTATATTTCTGACTTGTATAGTTTACTCACCTTAAACCAGCATCTTCATAATGTGGATGATTAACAATTGGACGTTTTGTACAAAGCTTCACAGTAGCCATTGTTGGCATGGGACCAGCAAATACAGCATCTAGCAACCAAATTACATTGTTTTAATAACTTTAATCTATATCAACTAATTCAGAATAACAAGTTACAGCTAAAATAATTTTAAATTAATATTTTCCCCCTTTTTGGATGTTGTTCCACAAAGGTGTGTTTTAGGGGGTTTTATATGAACCAAATTGGATCCGTGCCTGGGTTGATCATTTAATCCTAGCAAGTCTTAAAAGATAAGTTCTGTGGATTTCACCATCAGCTATTTTTAATTTGAAGAAGTGCTGCCTAATTCGTAGGGCTAATCAAACATGAATAGGACTGGTTTTGTACATTAGGATTTATCTGTAGGCCAAAAATTCTGTAACCGGCAGGACAAATTTTATTGTTCACATGAAAGAATTTGTTTTACAAATATAAAACTCAAGATTAAAATACACTAGTGTGACTTACTGTGTGGTGTTTGGGTAGTTATCCATTCTATAAGTTCTTCCATGGGTACATTATTAAACTCTCCTAATATGCCCATCTGTTTTTTATAGTTTGCTAAACCTTGATAACTGGAACCAGCTACGAGTAGAGCTAATAATGCAAAATGCCATTCCTTTCTACCAATCCAACTAAATATCTGGAATATAATAATATCTATGTAAATGTTAGCATACATTTATCAAACTTTGATAGCTTGTTACTATTGACACATTTTCACTTCAGTCATTTTGAGTGTAACATGCTATATTTGGCTGGTGAGCTGAAAAGAGCTGTCTCTATCTCATTTGCAAAGTCAACTACAAGATTTAGTGTCTATACAGAGAGAGCGAGAAATGGGGTTTAACGTCCACTTGTCACAAATTAGGTCATTAGTGTCTATACAGTCAGGACTACATGTAAGTAGCATAGTTAGACTTGAAAAAATCTTTAGATTCTTCTTTTAAGTTTGATGTTACAGAAATATTTATTATAAACAACTTACATCTCTACTGGCTAATAAAGAGGTCATTAGACACAGGTGGGGCGTGAAAAATAATTTTAATCTCATTATACAAACAGCCATTGCTGTAAACGCCAACGTTTGAAACACATGGTATACAAGCTGAAAAAATAAAAGTTTTTGATGTGAGTAACATTTCATTTCTAAACAACGTAATCATCTGAACTGATTATATCAATAAAATATATTATATTGGGCAAAGCCCAGCTTAACTGGAGTGGGGCCCTGGGTCTGGCTAGAATAGCGGGGCCCCTAATGTGACGAAAAGATTATTTCATATCCTTTTGAATGGCACACACGTGTGACACACAATTAAACGGTCTGTAATACAAGATTAATTACATAACATCTGATCACTTACGAAATCTATTCAGTTCCGAATGTCATGCAATGCGCGGAAATGACATATAATGGGGGGGGGGGGACTGTTATAACAAGTAAAATCAACGGATTGGGTTGCTACAGAGTTCAGAACAATTTGTGACTTTGTTTACGACTACTGAGCTCATCGATTATCATCTCATCATCCACTGTTGGGAGAATTTCATTTTCAATAGCCAGTAGCGCTAAAGCTTGGAGTTTCTCTTGGGTGAGGGTTGATCTTTTCTCACCTTTCAAATTCGCAAGTACACTGAAAGATCTCTCGTCACAGGTTTCGACCAATCACAGTGTAGGTTGAGGGATTGCAGACTCACCCAGTCTCCGCCCATCACGCCGCTAGAAGCCTAGACCGATCACTGGGTGGAACTTCACAGAGAAGGTTGACGGATAGTTCATTCTCCGCCCTTGCGCCACAAGATCGATTACCGCGAAACTTTCATTTAGGCCCATGCCTAAGCTGGGCTTTGATATTGGGAATTATGTATTTATTTGGACAATATCTAATATTTCCTCAACTGATCATTTAACATTCAAATAAAAGATAGGTTGCCAGGAAATGAAACATGCCCACCGCAGCTAAATCGTCTGAGCAGTCGGCAAGGGTTGTTGCATATTTATTCTGTTGAAGGTAATTGAAGTATTTACAAGATGATATGATAACTTTTTTCATCCAAGCATTTACAAGGTTCAACAGTACATAATCACACATCTTGAATTCAAAAAGATCTGACAAGAGGTCCATCTAAAGATTTTACTTAACACTTATTGAAAATAGAATCAGGCTTATTGTGGGTGCATGGTAGATCTATAGCAAGACATTTCAAGTTAAAGTAAAAAGATATATAGTATCTTTTTTTGAGAAAAATTTAGGGAAATTACCTCTGCATGTTCTTTATGTTTAGATGAACTGTAAATAAAAATGAAAGAAATATTATTCACAATAATCTAGTATGAGGATGATGATAATGATAGAAACACATTTGCCTATTTAAAGTCTCGATGCGCTATTTTAAGCAACCAGAATCACTTGCAAACAACAATATTGTGAAAGGTTAATCTGTAAGAAGAATATCAATGCAAAGAAATGTAGAATTAAAATTTCATCCATCTATGCTGCTCGCTATGCAATAAACCTGTTGTCATTTTGTTGTCCATGAAAATTTAATTATAGGCCAGTTTTAAATCAGATTGAATCCAGGACATTAGCTAGCTTTGGTATTTTGATTTTGTTTTCTTAATTAAATGTTAAATAATCAATCTGAGTACATATTAGCGCGGATTAAGCCGTGAGAAATTTGATATTCTATCAACCAGTGCATCGTTACTTTAAAGAGCTACAAAAGGGGATCTCAGTTCTTGTTTAAGTTGTATTTCAGTAATTGGTCACATCAAATAAATCAGAAACGCTTATGAAATACAGTTACTTAATTTAATTGGAGCAGCATTTCACCAACGATTCTCTCTCGTTATCATGCACACTATGGACACAGTTACGAAATGGTCTTTTATACATATGAACAATAAAAACACTTTATTATAATTTATATACATAGAAGTCCTAACTGTGTCAATTTTGTGCATGATAGCGACAAGAGAATTATTGTTGAAACGCTTCTCTTATCAAACTCAGTAACTGTATTTCATAGAAGTTTTGGCAGGATGATTTACCCAATCCTACCTAATACCACCTAATACTAACTAAATGGGGGATCACGTGGCTAAGTGGGTAAAACCCTGGCTCGCTAGCCTGGAGGTCGGGTGTTCGATCCCTGCATTGGCCGAGAAAGTTCATCCAGATTTTCCGGCGTGGTTCCCCCTTGTCAGTGATGCAGGACAGCTGTCTAGTCGTTCAGATGGAACGAAAAACTGAGGTCCTGTGTACACATTGGCATGCACGTAAAAGATCCCTTGACAGTTAGAATTTGATATAAGAGTAGGTCGTAGTGCCACTGTCTGGGCAAAATTTCTCTCATAGCACACTGTATGGCGTATGCCCGTCTTCATTAGCCCAGTTCAGAGCAGAACAGTAGGACATTAAACCCCATTTCATTTCATTTCACTAACTAAATGCCACCATATACTATCTCATTATTGTGAAAAACTAACAGAACAGTTGAATTATACAATTCTGTCTCAACTTCAGTTTATCCAAAAGGAAAACTTGGATGTTGAGCAAACTGATAAGGATCTAGGATCCTTGAAGATATCTTATTTCTATTGAGTTGACAAACCTTTTCGGACACATAATATATCTCTAGAACAGAAAATTCTAGATTGCTGAAAATGAACAGGGTTCATTCTTTTTGATTCCAATGCTTCACAATAGGCTTACACAGTGTTCCTCTCATGACCCAAATGCTTCTCACCAAATTTGAAAGAAATCTGTTAAAAACTATAGCCTCTATTACATTCACAAGATTTTTGGCAAATGAGGTGGGAGGGTAAATTTAAGTTTTAGAGTTATCTCCCTTTTCCAAAAACATTGCGAACGCAATAGAAGCTGTTGTTTTTAAAAGATGTTTTCAAATTTGGTGGGAAGCATTGTGGTAATTAATTAAGCCTTGTGCGCCTTTCCGTTTTGGGGTCATCAAATTTGCTCAACATCCTGAATGGCGATAATCTGCAAGTTGATAAGGGCAACAATTTGGAAAGATATTTTAAAAGAAAAGCTCTTACCTTTTGTTATCTTTACTAGAAGAATTTTCTATAGAATCTGTATTTTTCCTTTCCTCATATTCTCTTTTCAATAGCTGAATAAACAGTACAATAACATTGCTTGCCATTAAATATATCTATAAAATCATTCTAGTTCTTTTATGCTGTTGTGTAACATGTAAGTACATAATATATGCTACATGTACAACACTAATTACAAAAATATTGGGCTTATTACCAGCCGTGTGCAGTACAATCCAAACAGCCAGGCGCTGTTCCTTCCCAGGTCTTTCGTCCTGCAACACTGACAAAAGGGAACCTCACTGGAAAATCCCAGGGAATTAACACTGAAATTGAACCCTGGATCTCCTGGCTAGAGATCCAGCATCTTACTCACTGATCCATCACGTTTTTCTTGCACACAGGTGTTTAGCAGTGGGGGAAAACCAGACATCTGAACTTACTCCACGTCACATACAAGCACAGGAGCAAAACCATGAACATTTGATATAAAGAATGTGGGGACCCTTTGGGACTAAATTTTATGAAATTGTATAGCCGTTGGTTGCAAAAGTTCTTAAGCGTGAATCCATTTCGATTTAAAACAGCAATTCTTTAGCTGTCTCTCTGTTCACCATTAAACGGTGATACAGCAATGCGCAGGTCCATCCGAGATCCTTTTTGTGCTCCGATCCACACAATTACATGTAAGCCTGATGAGTTCAAAATGAACGAAACTAGTCGCTTAATGAGAGAAATCTGGGACGGCTACTCACCACTCATAGATTTCTAATTTCATAAACATTTGAATCAATGACAGATTCTATACTCTGAAACACACACATTACACAACTTGCCCAAATGTCTCCTAAATCCCCCGAAATTATATAAAAAAGTTGAACTTACCATAAATGTAATGGCTAGTATAGCTATAACTGCTGATGGTATTAACAATGTCTTAATCAGCAAAATAAAAGTCTAGAAAAAAACAAAACATCACATACATAATTTCGTAACTTTATAAATTCCTGGCAGAAGTATAAATATGTAAAGCATTAAGCAAACATAATGCATTTCTGAATAGCCACTCTCAATAAATATAAGGTTATACTCTTAAACTGTTTAAATAGGTTTTTTTTAAAATTTAGTAACATAATAAAACAAGCCAACAGCGATACAGATATCCCATGCCTTAATCTCAAAATAAATAGATGACATTCAATATGCAAATTAATTATAAAGCACCAAGCAATCAAATTACTTATGCTCATTATCAAACTAAATCAAGGTGTTGAAGCCTATCGAACATGTACACCATGTTTGAACATTCTACTTAAATTAGAAACAGAGTTATTATGTACCAAAAGGTGTGACGAACAGACTGGTGAAAGAACTAATTTAAATACTTCCTGCTTTCTTCGAATGGTGGATGACAAAAAAATTATTCTATGGAAGACAATTGCTGAATTTTTTTTTTATCATAGTTATGTTTAAACAATTATATACTTGGAGCGGGACAACTGATGGCAAGACAACCGCAGGTCATATTGTTTTGTTTTTTTTGTATTTGTTTTGCTCTTTTTGTTACCATAATAAATTAAAAATAACCAATAAATACATGAATAATTTATCATATCAATTATCTAATACAGCACTAATCATATTTAGATTCATTTTACCTCACATATTGTCTAACATATTGTCTATATTAGCACTGACACATGAGCAATAGCATGTAAATAGTCCAATGCATGGTGCCTGTCATGTTCCTAATGCTAGATTCCCAGTGTCACAATTAGCGCTACTATTGAAATCGTGGTTTTGATTGTGGAGTAATTGTGGCGATCCTGTATTGCAGTCAGTCGTAGCAATCATGTTGATCGTATCGAAACATATCTGAACGTATCTACACATACCAGATCGTGGACTCATTAGGGACAGTCCTATCGTAAGGCATCTCACAACAGTGGAAACCTAGCATGAAGCAACAACTGTGAGGTTTACAACATCTGGACATTGCTAGATTACTTTGCAATTCCCAAACTTTACTGCAGATATGTGGACAGTAGCATCCAATCAGAAGTTGTAACACTAAGACAATCAAATCAACTATAGCGACCTCCACGGACACCTTGACATTGAACAAACTTTGAAGTTTGCAACTCGATTATCACATGTAGACATTTTAGCAGAAAAGCGCGAGACCTGATTTTCACGATGATCGAGGAATCTGATAGGCTCACAATACCCAAACAAAATTAGTGCCGAAATATGCAGGCCTTGATAAGATGTAGAGAGTTAAAGCAAGATCAAGCCTTCTAATCAACTGAAATACTCTCTTGGAAGATGATTATTAATCTAAACATTCAATGGTAATTTTTTGTAATTGCAATAAAATAAACAGTTGTTATTATGTTTTAATAATGATTACATATACATACAAGATAGGGCTTATTCATCATTTAATAAACAACTAAAATTGCTGGCAGTTGTCTGCTGGCACTTTTACATTAAAGCTACATTTAAACAATTGTATTATCATGTTTTATATTTTAATTAGAGCTACATTTAAACAATCGTATTATCATGTTTTATATTCTAATTAGAGCTACATTTAAACAATTGTATTATCATGTTTTATATTCTAATTAGAGCTACATTTAAACAATTGTATTATCATGTTTTATATTCTAATTAGAGCTACATTTAAACAGTTGTATTATCATGTTTTATATTCTAATTAGAGCAATATTTAAACAATTGTATTTTTATGTTTTAAATTTTAATTAAGTGCTATATCTAAACAATTGTATGATCATGTTTTAATTTTTTCATATTGTATTATTATATTTTGCATTTTAATTAGAGCTATATTTAAACAATTATATTATCATGTTTTATATTTTAATTAGAGCTATATTTAAATAATTATATATTAAAATTATCATGTGTCTTATGTTGCTGAAATTTACAATATCTTAGTTTAATTGTGTCACTAAAATATCCTTCATTCCCATAAGAATTATTACGGTAATGAATGCTGCATACAAAATCCATTGTACTTACTGTTTTATCTATATAGTCAAACTCCGCAGCACAGATATACAACATGGTGTGGAAATTACGGAAATCAGAAAATTTACTGCGAAATATATCACCTATATGTTTCTGAAATAAATCAAACAATTAAACTAGTAAAAAAAAACACCATAGTAAAATATTTTAAAATACAAATTGTTATGATAATTTTCAAAATGATTTAATTTCTCCCCTAATATCATTATTCACGACTAAATACATCAGAAGTATTATCCCAAACTTGTACAGTTGTAATTATCTCCCTTTTGCTAATCAGTAAGGGGGTACTCAATTATATGTTCTAAAATTGAATTCTCTCAATCCCAAAAATAGTGACAATCGAGTGAAAAGGGGTATTTCGGGCTACAACGCATGCATCGACTGAATAAGAAAATATCTCAACCAACCATGCAACCGAAACATATTTATTGTGTTTAATTACGTCATGATGATTCTACTCACACCACCTCCGTTGTCGGGACTGACAGAACTGTGATAGGACTGAATTCCGCGTCACTCGATTGCAATTCTGGACTGGACTGTTAATCAAGCATCCCATTAGGTTCAGAGTTACATTAGATTTAGAATAAATCAAAAACAGTTACATTAACACTTCTTTTGACCTCAGCCAGTGTGGACCCACAGGAAAATAAACAAAAAAATAAGTAAAAAAAAAATCTGTGATAAAATTTCACTTACATCATCTTGTACGTTGAATAATTTAGCTAGTAATAATTTACATCCGACTGTACAACCACATAACAAAACACCTTGACCAATCCAGATTAATATACGTAATCGTAAAATATTTAATACTGGTTCTAAAAATACTATTAGCTGGAAAGACAACAAAAATAAATTTATTATTAAATCAAATAATAATATAAAAACTTGGAGAATTGTTGATAATAGTTGATAGCAGATCTATAAAGACACAACTGAGATTTATGGAAAATAAAAGGATGAGATATAAAGATAATTTCACACAAAAGTATTTATCGGGTGGTTATTTCCAATAAAAGTATGGCAATTTATGTATATATGGAAACTGGAATCATCCAATCTTACTAGAAACATATTGGATTGATTCCCTGAAAAACACCTATGGAGCGCATACAGGCAACCTGATGCTTAGGAATGTCTACTTCAGTGACGTCAAATGTTGCACGCGAAGATTGTCTGATCTTTCAGCGTTAGTGAGCGCTTAATGTATATGTTGATAAACTTCATGGTGAGCTTAAAAAACCCAGAAAAAGACGTAGGTAGTTTATAATAAAGGTATCTTTAACATCTTACAATTATGAATCAAGTGGGCTAAAAAAGACAGGCATGCATCATGCAGTGTGCTATGAGGGAAATTTTGACCTACAGAATCTATAATGGTATACACAGGACATCAGTTTTCTGTCCCATCCAAACTACCATCACTTTGCTGCACCACTAACTAAGGGGAAACTAGATTGGAAAATCATGCAGGACTTTCTCGTCCAGCACCAATTATAAGAGAGCAAAGACAACTTTCTCTACAACTTACCATGACTGTTAACAGGCAAGAGGCATAGAATGATGTGAGTAACATTTCATTTCTAAACAATAGTATATAACTAATTAATAACCCTAACTGAAAATATAAATAAAATATATTATATTATTCCTCATTATTATTTAATATATCATATTTATTCATCATTATTATCTAATATATCATATTTATTCATCATTATTATTATATATATCATATTTATTCATCATTATCTAATATATCTTATTTATTCATCACTATTATCAAATAGATCATATTTATTCATCACTATTATCTAAAATATCATATTATTCATCATTAACTAATATTAATATTGGGGACAATCAGGTAGTTCCAAAAGCCTTAAACTAACTGAATCTCAATTAAGCCACAAATTAAGCAGTTACGCTTTTCTGATAACATTTTTCAGAGTTGCAGACTTAAACATACATTATGCAAGAGCAAAATCGGCCTATTGTAGGTCTTTCTTTAGGCCTGAAATGTTATAAAAACTATTAATTAGACATTAATTAACTTATCCAGACCATAATCAGCACTCGATGTCAAGGCTTGCCTGCGCTATTTGTTGGATTACAGTCCGATTTGCTGCAAAACTTTCCTTCGTGATTAACGATTAAATGGATAATCAAGACTATTAGTTTTGTCTTATCGACTTCAGTAATGATGATCGAGGCTAAGCGGAACTTTCATCCGCTTAGTTCTCGGTTCATAGTGGATCAATTTGACTGAAATTTGCAGCAAGTTGCCTTTACATTATGTAGTTTTTAACTATTATAGTGATAACTGCCAACTCGATATTTAATCTCCCATAATGTAGCTTTAAGCCTGGTCTAAACACTTCTAAATTCAATTGGAAATCATTAATAGAGTTTCCTCCCTTTAACACAGGAATTATAAATGCGGAAAAGTCAATGAGTTTCAGAGAACCAGAATATTATTTTTATTAAGCCTAATGATTGCTTGATGTCACCATTAACAAATTAATGGATTGAGAGAACTGAGAACCTAATAACATCTTAAATTGGATAAATTTTTTATGAGATATACCTACCATTTGTCCGATTAAAATAACTTTTATTTTACGCTTATCTATAAATTGCAAAACATAAACACCAAATACTGATATAGTCTGTGTCAACAATGCAAACTGGGCAAACTGAAATGAAAAAACAAAAAAACAAACTATATTTTCCTACAACCATGAATGAAACTATATAAGGTTTATGACATGTAAAATGAGAGACTGGACAATAATTTATCTGAACACACACCCTCCCCCCACCCCTCCTTCTCCCTATGATAACAGTGAAACCAGTGATAAAAGATGATGATGCAACTCACCTGCCAGAAGAGCATAAAAGGCACACAAGCAGAAGCTATTAGTAAAGAGTATTTCAATAGTCCTGGATCTTTTAATCTGAAATACAAACAGAGAAATAAAATATATTCAGACCCTTTGATCACAGTGTACATGCTACTGGAGGTAGCAAGATCCCAGTGATAGTATGGAGACTTAAACTGTGATCGGTTCTATTAAATAACATATATAGAAACTACTTACACATACAAAATAGTTCTTAATATCAGATTACTTAGGTAAAATAGTGTCATAACTGTTAACAAATAGTTCTTAATATCAGATTATTTAGTCAAAATAGTGTCATAACTGTTAACAAATAATTTGCTTGAATGTTGAAGATATAATTTCCTACACCAACTGACACCACTAATCACTTAAGTGGAAGCAGGCATTAAATAAATCTATTTCATAGGACACCACTACTTAAATCTAAAAATAGTTATCCAAGATATTCGCCACCATCAATTTTACATCCATAAACGAGGATTATGAGTTTCAAATGACTTATGTTACACCTACCTTAAAACATGAGTAATAATCAACATTTCTAACACAAGGAATGGATAACCAAAACTTTCTCTTAATGGTGGAGTCCACTGAACACGTGTTGCCTGAAATACGGAAATATCAAATCAACATATTGTTTTCACAAGAAAACTGTGTCATAAATCAGAAAAACAGAAAGAGCAACATTTAAAAGGGGTAACTACAAAAAAATGAAGCTGTTGTCTGACATTTCCTTGTCTTGTACCTATTCATTGTTTTTTGTTCATATATTTGCATTAACCCCTTTAAAGACAGGTAGGGGAGAATTTGTTAAAAATACATTATTTTCATTCTATATATTTTAACCCATTCACTCAAATAAATATCAGATCAACTAATGCAAGAAGAATTATCAAGTTGCCCAATCAACATTTATGTGGCTATTCCTTTCAAATGGATAATTTTATAATAGGCCTACATAAATATAGTAACTAGAGGCTGCCACGTCAGGTTTGTCAATCTAAACATTTCGGAAATCGTAGCAGCCAGACAATAACTAGATTAGGGTGTTATATTTTCCCCATTAAAGCAACTATCTGAATATAGTTGAAACTACTGGTATTTAAAGGAGCTAAGTCGCTAATATTTGGGACCTAGAAATTGACACAAATGGGTCGCAACGCGTACAATAATGTAATATGAATGTATATAAATTGATTTACATTCAATCGTTTCTGGTTTTACTGTAATTTCTAATCAGTTAGGTGCGGCGAAATACGCCAGTATTCTCAATCGAATTTCAATCTCTACGCCGATAGTATTTATTGGGCATGCTCTCCAGATAAGAATATAGCGCCACCGTTTGACATGACTTGTGGAATATGACTAGCGTCGATTTTCGAGTCCCTTATTACAAATAGCGCCGAAACGTATTATGGTACACGATTCGTGTACCAATTGTAAAATGTTTATTTTTTCTTAAATATTGGATATCAGAAGGCCATCTTTTCCCGGTAAGATCACAACATCAATGTTGATTCAAACCGACAAATAAATCGTAATTTGAATGTCGAAGATTTTGGATGATATTGAGTTAGAGACTTAGCTACTTTAACATATTCACTCTCTGAATAATCTACAAATATAGTCAAAATAAAATATCGTCTGAGATCTAACGATAAAGCCATAAAGTACATTCCATTAAATTTGGAAGAAAACTGAAGTCTCTTATAATGTTCACTAGCTTTTATTGATATATATGTCATGACAAATGTAGACTATTTCATTCACAAGCTAGTATGGTTGGGTAGACTGATGAAGAGTTAGACAGGGGTGACAATAATATACGCACATCCAGGGGCGATAAAAAAGTAAATAAAATTGTCTATAACCTCACCTCACCATGATTATAGATAAAACAAACAACTGTTATAATACCACCAAATAAACTTCCACTGTAAATAAAACATTGAAATATTACTGTAATAAACATAGCACACTATCATATTTACCTATCTTCATTGACTGACAGTGAAGAATTTACTCGTCACATAACATAAAATTGGAATTTCAAAGAATATACCAAATAATCACATACCGATACTTGCCTTATAATCACATACTGACACTTACCTTAGATATGTACCAAATATAAAAAATAATCCCATCATGGCACCATTTAACGTAAAAACTGTTTCTACATAAAAATAGGCTGGATCACCAAGACCTGTTGATAAACATGTGGATTGTTAAACAGATGATTTATATTTTCACATACATATGTGGATAGTATTAAAGGACAATGTTGGTGTCAGCCAATATTACATATATTATAGAACTGGTTAAACACATTCCAGGTTAATATTAACACAGAGATCATTGCTATGGTAGATGCATAAGGAAGAGTTGAAGAAACCGGAAGTGACGAAAGCAAAAGGAAAACTTGCATGTTTCCGCTACTACTTTTCATTGAATTCCAACTTTTACCTGGTACACCCAGTGGAATTCTGTTTTTGGTTCCCACCGAGAAAGGAATGCGATCAATTTAAAATCTAATTGCTGTACTGACCTTCACAACTTGGTACAGGTGAGAGACCTTCACCTCGATTCACAGTCCAACACTGTTTCGTCTGATATCCTAAATGGGCGTTGACTCCTTCATACAGTCGATATAATCCTCCTATAACGACCTGTTAAATTCAAATAGTAATCGGTAAACAGTCAACAACGAGTGTAATAGCTTTTACTGATTTCACACTTTATGATGGTCTTCGAAAGAATCAAGTGGAGATACTTTATCTGGATAAATTATAAAATACTGTATCTATCATATTTAATTATGATTTCACACAGCCTTCCTTATCTTTATGAATTTGTGAACATTTGAAATAGTGCTAAGTGATACATGGATATTTTTGATATTGTAATATTTTGAAACATACACATGTAGGCGGACGCCTGCAAGCCCATCCCCTCCCTCCCTAAAAGAAAATGTTTACAAGCATCAAAGTTGTGCACGCCACTACATGATCATCAGTGAATCCCAAATTTAAGTATCCACAGGGGAATAACCCCCAAAATTTATGATTAAAATATTCTACTTTTTTTAGGAATCCTTAAATGCTCAATACCACTCTCTTTGTAACTGAATAATATGTCCCAATCTTTATTCTGGTCAACAAATTGTACTATTTTACAATATTTTAATTAATTGGTGTTACAAATTTCATCTAAACACACATAATTTAAAAAATTGGAAAAATTCAACTAAATGATTTGAAAAGCCTGACGTAAAGCTTTTCAAATGTCACTTGGATTTAAACATATTTTCGAACCCTCTGGACAAGTAAAATAGGATTTAATGGATAATTTACACAACAGGTAGGACACTAACACATCTAGTACTTAGAATAAGGCTATTATTTATTTTCTGGAGCTGTCAAGCCAGGAAGAGTGTAATTGTCCCTTTAAGCTTCGACATTTGAAAGGGGAACTGAATGACAGCTCATCAAATTTTTCTTTCAAAAATAATTTTCAATCTAATGCACCAATGAAGTATGATTTTCAGGTCATTAATTTTAACTTCAATAAAAGTTTATTGGCAAAAAATTGCCTACATGTATTTCTCAGAACCGTTCTTGAATAAGTGTTCATATTAAAGGCATGGAGGCAGCGTTACTTTGGATTTTTAAAAATAAGACTCCTAAATAGGGCCTAACAAATTTGTTCTTGTAAAATATACACGGTACTTCTTGTTCAATCATGAATTTTATAAATCTACCTGCTGGATAAGATGTTGATCAAATTATTGGTTGCCAATTTGATTTAGACATGTTTATTAATGTTACAAAGCATAATCTTAGAACATTCTATATATCTATCATACAGTGTTAGAACATCCTATATATCTATCATACAATGTTAGAATATCCTATATATCTATCATACAGTGTTCGAACATCCTATATACCTACAGTCTATCTATCAAGGGGGATTGGATGGCCGAATGGTTAGCATGTGCACGCTGTATCATAAAGCCTGTCATTGAGTCAACTGGCGTGGTTTCGAATCCCCGGTTGTACGTGTCAAGGAGTAGGGTCGCCTGTCCAACCTCGTGGGTTTTCTCAAGGTGCTCCGGTTTCCTCCCACTGTTAAAGATCCCTACGCGCAAGCAAATTATTGAAATAAAATTAAACCATATGTTAGCCCCGAAATTACCTAATTTGTGTTGAGTGGACATTAAACCCCATTTCTCTCTCTCTCTCTATCAAAGTTATATAAATATCCAACAAAGCAAAGGATTTTTTTTTCTCAACATCACCAGCGGCTGCCAGGCAGGATACGCCCACATTTTCGAGAGATGGATAGAGAACAAGCTAAAAAGAAAGTGATTTTTCGTACAATCAGGGGCCATAATTCAGGAAGTTACGGTCCGATATGCACGAATATCGAAAGGAACCGTGATCTTTGGATTATAAACTTACATTTCAAGTTTCAACAAAAATCGGATAAAAATTGTGACCTCTATAGGGTCCACAACCTTGATATACCATATTTTTACGCTAAAAACAAGCTAAAACGAAAGTGATTTTTCCTACAATCAAGGGCCATAATTCAGGAAATTACAATTCGATATGCGCAAATATCGAAAGGAACCAAGATCTTTGAGTTATAAACTTACATTTCAAGTTTCAAAAAAATCGGATAAAAATTGTGACCTCTCTAGGTTCCACAACCTTGATATACCATATTTTTACGCAATTTGAGAACGAGGGGCGGCCATTTTGTCTGTCAGTTTTGGGCCGATTTTCACGAAATTTGAACTCAGTCGTCCTTAGGGTGTAACGGTGATATAATAATACGGTTTTTTAAATCGGATAAAAATTATGACCTCTATAGGGTCCACAAGTTAAAAACGCGATTTTTCGTACAATCAGGGGTCATAATTAAGGAAGTTACGATCCCATATGCGCGAATATCGAAAGGAACCGAGATCTTTGGGTTATAAACTTACATTTCAAGTTTCAACAAAATCGGATAAAAATTGTGACCTCTATAGGGTCCACAACCTTGATATACCATATTTTTACGCTATTTGAGAACGAACGGCGTCCATTTTGTCTGTCAGTTTTGGGCCAATTTTCACGAAATTCGAACTCAACCGTCCTTAGGGTTTAACGATGATATTTTAATACCGTTTTTTAAATCGGATAAAAATTATGACCTCTATAGGGTCCACAAGCCAAAAAACGTGTTTTTACGTACAATCAGGGGCCATAATTCAGGAAGTTACGGTCCGATATGCGCGAATATCGAAAGGAACTGCGATCTTTGGGTTATAAACTTACATTTCAAGTTTCAACTAAATCGGATAAAAATTGTGACCTCTACAGAGTTCACAAGCCAAAAACGTGATTTTTCGTACAATCAGGGGCCATAATCCATGAAGTTACGGTCCGATAGATGCCAATATCGAAAGGAACCGAGATCTTAGGGTGATAAACCTATATTTCAAGTTTCATTGAAATCGGATAAAAATTGTGACCTGTAGACTGTTCACAAACAATTGTGGACGGACGGACGGACGGACAGGGGCGACGATGTGGGCGTATAAAAATACTGTGCATTGCTTCCAGCCTATAGCTAGACTGATTCTAGTCAAAGATAATATATTTTATCCTAGTGTACAAGTTAATGTTTTGACATTTGATCTAATTTCTATAATTGAACAATTCACCAGTGTATTATTTTCCAATTGTTCTGCAAGGTGAAATGAAATTGGGTTTAATGTCCTACTTTTCTGCACCAACTGGGTTAATGGAGATAAGCAGAGACATTTTCGCTTTCCAATTCAAATGTCTATGGTTCTTTTATATGCATGGCAACGTGTACATTGGACCTTGGTGTTTCGTTCAATCCAAATGACTAGATGATGTTCCTTGCCAGGTCTCCTTCCTGCACCACTGACAAGGTGAAACCATGCGCGAACATCCTAAGGAAATTGCTTGGCTGACACCTGTGACCTAGTTAATGAACCAGTGCCTTACTCACTATGCCACGATTCAAGAAAACCGACTGAACATCTAAGAAAGAGTAAACTAAAATGCAGAAATTATGAAACAGCTAATTCCACTTGTGCTGGAATTTGATAATTTTGCAAATGGAGCTGTATCGAATCAAGCTTACTTCGTATCCTGTATCTCATCATCACTAGACAGGATGGTGCAGAAAATTTGAACATAAAACCCCAATTAAGTTCATTTCATTTGTCTGTGCCTTATTTTTAAATAAAGTCATTATAGATGTAACAAACCCCTGTAAAATGACAATGTTCTTGTGATACGTTTCGCATACCTATTTAATTGGAACGATCTGAAATGACAAATATAAGGGAACAGCCACACAGCCTAGAGGGAGGTTAACCTACACCTAGTAGCTTTATACTCGTAACATGTGCCAATATAATAATAAAAATCTTATATTCATATTTTAAACTGTATATAGCATAAGTTTTTACCTCAGGGTACAAATTAAATCGTTTTAATGTGTTGATGGTATCTGGATATTCTGTAATATTATCATGGCTTACAGCATAAATACCCTCTAAATATGTAGGTGTCTCGATGACTGTTTTAAAATATGAATAATATAAACCCATCTCAGTTCTAAATGATATTTCTCGTTCTAATGATGACAGATGGGAAAAATGACGATCTCGTTCAAACATTCCTGCTATATGATTTCTGAAAAAAATTTAAAGTACACAATATTTTCACTAAAAGGTAAATACAGTGCTTGTTAAGCCCCCACCAGCCTCCAGCACCAAAGTCGTCTGTGCTACACGTACCTCTAATATTAGTGTCAACAAATTCTGTAGGGTAAATTTCAAAAACAAAAGCAATAGGAACCAAGATCTTTGGGATATAAACATATATTTTAAGTTTCATCAAAATCAGATAATTTTTTTTATGAAATTCAAATTCAACTGTCATTATGGTGGAATGGTGATATATTTGAACGTTTTTTAAAATCAAATAAAAATTGTGACCTGTAGGGGGTCCGCAAGCTAAAAATGCGATTTTTCGTACAATCAGAAGCCATAATTCAGGAAGTTACCGTATGATATGTGCAAATATCTGAAGGAACCAAGATCTTAAATCGGATAAAAATGGAGGGTCCACAAGCTCAAAATGTTATTTTTTGCATAACCAGGGACAATAATCCATGACGTTAGTGTCCGATAGGTGCCAATATCTTTGGGGTATAATATAAACCAATATTTTAAGTTTCATAAAAATCAGATAAAAATTCTGCCCTGCGGATGGGATGGTCCACGGACGAACAGGGGTGACAACAATCTTTAATTTTCATGCCATTATCTTATCTTTTGGGCTTTTTTTTTTAGAATATATATATATATGCATCTGTTTTTCAACCTGGATGTAAACAATAGTCGTCTGTTCTTGGATTTTTTTTCAATTGACTCATCAGAAATAAAAACTAGCAGATAAACTTAAATTTCCATCTGCTATAAATAAAATATATTCCATCAAAATTTCTGATTAGCACTAGAACACAACTTTCCATTTATTTGTTTTTTTTTCACACTGATAACATTTTCTACCGTACTTTTGTATCATAGACTCAACAAGTTTTCTGTTTGATTATCTATTTCAATTACTGTCTGTGATGTGTTGGGCTTCTTCTGCTGGGGACTGGAAGGCATATTTTGAAATGTCAAGTTATACAGACTACATACATGTACGGTCAAACCTTAGTGGTGGTGTTCAATGTAATCTGTATTATAGCGGCTATCCTAATTGAAACGCTTTACTTGTTTTCACCAACTGGGCTAATGAACATGGGCATCTGCCATGAACTGTACTATCAGGGAAATATTGTACTGTGTGTAGTGTTTGTGTCTACTCTCGTCAATTGTCAAGGGTTTTTCTAATGGACCTACATGTATACATTTTTCCTTGCCAGGCCTTCTGTCCTGCAGCACTCCAACCCGGGACCTTCTAGCTAGGTGGTTCCCCCTTGTTAGTGGTGCAGGACGAAGAGCCTGGCAATGAACAAGGCATAGTCGTTCGGATGGCACGAAAAACTGAAGTCCTGTGTACACATTGGAGTGTGCATAAAAGATCCCTTTGGAGCGGAACAATAGGATGTTAAAGCTATGTTTCATTTTATTTCCTTCTGGCTAGTGAGCAAGCACCATAATCACTGAGCCACCCTATCCTATTAGAAAACTTTAATAATAATATTAACCTTGTAATAATACCATACTTTCAGGATGCGTTATAGAATAATGGAACTTTAATTACAGATAATCGAGTTGCAAATTTACGTTAACATTTATATCCAATCCAAATGTAAGCATTTTTACCATAATAAATTTAAAATAATTTTAAAATTTTTACAAGCTACAGATGTTTAACAGGAAGTTTAACAGAAAGGGAAGTTGTAATATATTTGTCATGCCTAAATGACCATAATACAACCGTAACACGATCATGATATCGCCATATGTGACACCATGTACATGTAAATTCATTGATTAATTGAACATGAAAGAGTTTTAGGTTACTTGTTGTTGATAACATCTGTTTCACTGTATCTAGAATATACACTATATACGTGTACATGTCAATCATTGGTGGTTAATTGAACTAGGAAGCTGTTGTAATCTTGCTAATAATTAATATCATTCATAATAAATAGCAGTGTTACATCTGATACCCAATTAATATGAATGAAGACCAGCATACGCCATACAGTGTGCTATGAGGGAAATCTGTCCCTACTCTTATATACACGGGACCTCGGCTTTTCGGTCTATCTGAACGACTAGACAGCTGTCTTTGAACATGCAACCTCCAGGCTAGCGAGCACGCGTCTTACTCACTTAACCACCGTGGCTCCCCCAATCAATATAACCATGTTTTTTGTATGACTATTTAAAGAAGAAGTCTACGCTTTAACTGGTTCTCAAGAAAAACATTCAGTATACAAATGTGACAGAAGAAACACCCTATTTCAGTCCTCACACAAACATGTTTGAATAGTTTGTCAAGGTTATTCCAACTGATATTTCTGTATTTGTTATTTGATTAAACCTAATGAAATTTGATCTGTTTTTTGTCTCTTGTTTTTTTTCTGTGCAATAATCATTGTAGGATTTTGTTTCACTCTTGTATATATACATGTATGAAGATATTGTTAATAATTTAAAAGGAAACTGTACATAAAATGATTAGTGTTTCACTCTTGTATATACATATGAAGATATCGTATTCAGTATCGCTAATAATTTTACAGAAAACTATATATAAAAAGCTTATTAAGCTGTTTTATTTATTATCAAAAAATGAAATGAAATGTGGTTCAGCTAACAATTTCCCAAAATTTAGGTTATAAAAATAGTCAAAGTTTGCAAATTAAATAAACTTCTGATAACTTTGTTTGCACAATACATGTACTATTCTTCAAGGCAGAGATTATATTAATGGGTACTGGTACTGTAATTATTTTTTTATTTATTCTTTATGTATTTGTATAGCTTGTACTGTACGTTAACATTTGTGCTTGATAACACGGTGAAATTTCGGGCTATACATATACATGTATAGGCCTTAGATAACAAACCTTAATCTCTCAACCCTCCGTGTTTCGAGTTAAGAACTGAGGTCATGACCTATAACGTTGCAGCTGCGGGAGCGATTCACACCCGGCATTTTTAAACAAAATTGACAATAGTTTTAATCAAAACAACGATTGATTATTGTTATTTATAATATTTCTACAACACCCAACTACAATTAAGCATATAATCCTACTTGAAACGGGTAGGCCTACAAATCGTCGTTTTTAAAATCGAGGCGTTTTAACGCTTAAAAGCCGATACTAAGACCGCCATCTTTTTAAACGATACGCTGTCATCATGAAGGCGGGGCTAAATATAAGGCTTTTATAACAGCCAATCAAAAGGACAATTGAAAGCACAGAAACTATGAATGGATTTCGATGGCGGTGAAATGTCAGACAAAAACAACGCTTCATTAATTTAAACGCGAATATTTGAGTTAGGCGACAGTTGTGCCACTACATTGGCCTCTGTAAGTTTAATTAATCATAATATCATAAACTTGTCTATTTTAAAGATGTTACATGCATTAATAAAGAAATTGAGTTTGCCACTTGGAACTAAAGGCATCCAATCGTAGCTAAAAACAAACACATCAGTATATCTCAACGTTTTTACTAGTATAGGCCTATGTACAAACCAGTGATTGTTTTCAATATAAATTGTATGTGTTTTTGATTGTGCTCAATCGCTAAAAGCTACTCTTATTGTGTCTATAACAGTACGAAGCTGCACACTGCGACCTCTGAAGACACAAAGCGCACAGCGGGGAGTCTGGAGAGCCTCCACCCAAAAGTTTTGAAAATTATGGAAGCCTGGAAATGCCATTTTAAGTCATCTGCAACAAGAATCTGGATTTGGATCCAGATAGGGGTGGGGGGGCATGCGTGCGCCAGGTGTGCCCTCCACTTGATCTGCCCTTGTAGCTTATTAAAAATTTGGAATGAGAAGTGCTGTAATACTCTGATATGATACTAAATATAAATAAGATTCATTGTGGCCCTCCCCCACAGCTGTTGAACATGCATATATTGCAAAAACGAATTTGGACAAAGAAAGGCTATAATTTTTAACCACAAATGACATATTTGGTAATGTGGTAGTAATTAATGTGATACGAGTTAAATTATTGCTTGATTTGGGTAAGCCATGCTACCCCCTACATTATCTTTTAATAAATAATAAAATAGAAATAAAAATCCTATTACCTGTGGAAATACGATATTCCAATGGCTATAAAACAAAGAACAGACATAATTAAAAGTGTGGCTCATGTAATTACAATATGGCAAATTTTTAATCAAATTGTGAACTTTAATAAATAGGTTACTGGTACATGTAGTTATTAAATTAGCTAACATACATGTACTATAATTAATTCATTAATGCGATGAATGTCATCTTTAAATGGTCTCCAGAAATTTGTTCCATTAAGTTATTATCCATGTACCGGTAGTTCCTTTAGGAATGGTCTCTGATAGGATGCTGTCGTCTGACCATTACTGAGCGTCCCTATTAAGCTGCAATATGAAAATAGCCCCCTTCCCCACCTCTGTTCTTAGGCTATAGTGTTGAATTATTATAAATTGGTGTCAGATGTGGCAAGAAATGATTCCTTTAGGTGAAAAAGAAAAGAATCACAGTGAAAAATCGAAGGTAAGGATTCCAAAATAGCCTTAGAACAAAGATGGGGGCAGGGCGGTATTTTCCAATCAGATTCAGAGACCGTTTCAATCCATGTACCTCAATCCATAATATACAATATGGACTTGAGTGTTGAGCTGTAGAGAGTATAAATGATGCTAAGATCCATGGCATAAATGGTTGCTACACCCCTCCCCACCCCGAAAAAAGTCACACGATTTTATTTTGTGAAATCTTGTGTAATTTAATTTTCAGGATTTATAAGTTTAAAATTATTGATAGTTTACATTACAAAATGGAAAAATTAACACCTACATGTAACCACTCTGGGCTGGCTCTTGCCAGGGAACTGCCCACTTTAAAAGAATCAACCCTCGGCATCCCTCCCCTCCTTATCAGTACCATGTTCATTTCCGTTGTATTTTATTATAAATTCTAAAACTAACCAACCAAACAAACTTACCCAGTGCAAAAATAAAACACGAACGGGCCATATTTGATATGGACCATGCAGATGTCTTCTCTGTAACGTCTTGTTGCTGTCGTTTACTAGACTTGTATTTGGAATAAGAAGACCGCTCAGAAGATTTCCCGTTCCTGGAATCAGCATTTCTTCGATTTGCAGCCATATTCTTTGTTTATGTCGTGACTGTCAGAACTCAACAGAAGCAAAAGACTTAACAGAAAGCACTGCCACTAGAACATAAATCTCTCAATGCAAGGATTTCCTGCCCAGTTCGTGAATCTATCCGCTAACAATGTCAAACTAGATTTACAATCAGCATCGCCGTAAGACAACAAGTCGTCATTTCGAACACACTTCATTGATTTAATGATTACCGTAATCCCGTCTCACATGGCTGCTTACGCGGCAAAAAACCGGAAACTTCCTTATTAGGTCAATCTCGCTGTTGTCCCTGACAACGCGATAGTTTACGTTCACTCGGTAAAAGTAGAACAACACAATCACACACCGGGCACCTGCAAAGAAGCGAGGAACGAATCGGTAACGGTAAATATTAAAACACCGTTAGGTTTTTATATTCCCGAGTATCTAAACAATTTAACTGGAGAAATGACTACTCTTGTCAATGCAAACTATGTCTTATCTGATTCAACTTTTCGAGTGAGACCTGATTTAAAGACGTATTTTTTGACTAATAATAATTCTGGAGGCCACACAGTCAGACAGATTGAAGAAAACAGGAGGCTCAGGCAGTCGAAATTTCCTTCATTAAGAGGAAAACATGATTATTCTTCATTTCAAGACAAAAAAAGTTCAGGATTTAGGAAATACAATGATGATGGAGATCACCAAGTAGCGGCTCCGCACAGATCCTATGATAATATTATCGACCCCACTACTGGTTTTGTTAGTGCTGGTGGTGATTTGGACCGGGGCACTGGTCACAGTAAAATAGACACCTTAGTACAAGTTAATGATAAACCTAATGCCAGCATTCCTCAAACAAAAACGCCCAGATCAACGACATCGATTCCTGCACCAGGTCTACATCGTTCCATGACCTATGTTCCTGGAGCTCCAACCAAATGGAACAGTAGAAAAATCTCTGATGCTTGGATAAGAGCTCAACTTGGAGGTAAGTGTAGTTATTGAATAAAAAAACACACTTTAAATCAAAGAGGGTTAGCTTCTTTAAATGAATATGCTGATAATTCTTGTGATGCATTTAGAAAAAAAGTATGGGCTGGCTGCTGGTACAAAAAAATAGAATTATTAATATTGTCAATCTGACTAAAATAAATAGAGGATATTTGTCGTTTTAGAGTGAATAACATATTTTATTTCATCGAGAAGCAAGAAAACTTATATTTTCACGAATTTCATTTATTTTATGATTTTACAATCATTTTGGGTAAAAACAACATGGACTACTTTGTCCGCTTTGACAACGCGGGGGGTTAGACCGCTTTACATCTTTATCTGCTTCTGGAATACCTTTGAGAATGTAACGATCGACAAGTCGGCGTGTCGGCCATATTGTTTTCATAATTTTGTCACTAAAAAGTGTAACTCCAGAAAAAAAGTAGTCCCGGCGGCCAGTGAAATAACAAGTTTTATTTCACTGCTAGCCAGTGGAATAACACTTTTATTTCACTGATAAAACGCGGTATTCCACTACTGATCATAAAATACAAATCTATATTTTGTTTCGTTTTATTTTATACTACATGACAATCTGACCAGATGAAATGGAAGGTATCATACGAGCGGCTTTTGACCCTATGGTGTCAGACATTGATTAATCAATCAGCGTTGATGTTTCTAGTGGTTTACCACAATTCCGTGCATCGCATGCCAAGAACTCGCTTCAACCAGAACACCGGTAATATAAAAACTCTTCAGTATAAAATTAATAGAAACCAATGTAAACATTTATTTTTGTCTGCCTTCAGGTTGGACAAGTGACTTTGACCCAACCAAAGTTCTAACAGAAGAACAAAAAGCTCAGGTATAGTCTTTAATTCTGACATGAATAGTAAAATAAAATACTTTCTTGCTGTGAAACAATCTTCTGATATTCTGATACATAAAGGGGGGTTGGATGGCCAAATGGTTAGCATGTGCGCACTGTATCATAAAGTATTGAGTCAACTGGCGTGGTTTCGATTCCCCGGTTGTACAGGGCAAGGAGTAGGATCATCTGGCCAACCTCATGGGTTTTCTCTGGCTCCACCGGTTTCCTCCCACTGCTAAAGATCCCATGTGCAAGCAAATTGTTGAAATAAAATTGAACCACGTTTTAGTCCCGAAATGCCCTAGTTTGTGTCAAGTGGACCTTAAACCCCATTTCTCTCTCTCCCTCTCTCTCCCTCTCTCTCTCTGATAATAAATGAAAGTTCCAAACTTTGATGTGCCAAGGGAGATAACTCCTGATATTTATTACATAAGTTTTAAGCACTGATTTTGTTTATATTTTGGGACAGACATTGTTTATTATTGAGTATCACCAATTTAAAAAAAAATGTCCTATGCAAGAAATTATTATTAAATGTAAGGAAAGGTTACCAAACTACATTTCTATTAAAATGTGTCAGGGGAGACAACTCTTGAGCTTTTTATTTTTACCTCCCCCCACCCCCCAAGGAGTCTCCCACATTCTCTAATTTACAACAGTTTTAAATCTGACATATTATGACATAAAAAGTGTTCAAAAACGCAGAATTCTAATAGATGTCAACTTTAATATTGAGTTTGTTCAGCTATCTAAAGTATTCTTTTCTTTCTCTCAGAGTTTTTTTGTGGCAAAACAACCGTCAGAATTGAGTAAAAGTTCAAGAGATGAGTTGGCAAGAAAGTTTATGTACAGTTCATCTACGCAAAGGTGAGAATATTTTGTTCTATAATACCAATTGAACAAAGGTGAGAATATTATGTTCTATCATACCTATTGAACAAAGGTGAGGATATTATGTTCTATTATACCTATTAACAAAGTGTTATGCATTATGCAAGGTATGCTTACACTTGATAGAATACCTGATATTACTTCTCAATTATTTATGCTGTTTGCATAGCTTGTTATTTTGTATACTAGGCCTATAGTTAAAACTGCTGATCGTCAATTACATTTTTCGAACAATATCAATTTTTTCACAGCTTAATCCATGATAAAATATACACAAATTAATTATTTGATCAAGAAAACAAATTTTTAATTTGAACTTTGGGTTTTGTGCAGTCTGATTACCACTAAGATTGGCTGTAATTTGGTGGAATTCATTTAGATAAAAGATAAATGACGAAAACTTATTTTCTACATAGCTTTAATTATTAACAGGTGTCATACACAAGACAAGGTATGCTCACTCTTTGTAGACCACCTAATACTTTTTTCCCATATATTTGGGAAATTCAGATAGGTAATAGAAAAAAACAGGATGACTGCAAAACAAAACACAGATAGAGAAGATGACACATAAACACGGCACAGTACAATAAGATACACACTGTCGAAGTATAATCTCTGATGGGTATTTGCCGACAGAACATATTAAAAACATAAAGACTATCTATATGGAATACAATCACTGGTTTATTATATATATAGCACAATATTTCTTGAAAAGTATTCTCATATATTTTTCAAGCAAATTGTTGATGATCAAAAGTTTTCATTTTGTTAATATTGTAATTTTAGACTATATGAAGGTGTACCATGGGATAATATGTTGAAAGGTAAACCATGGCCATTTAAAACAACACTTGAACTCCGACCTGATATGGTATCACAGAGATTCTCTGATAAACAATATGAACCTACAGCTCAGGAATGGCAGGTAAATAAAAACATTATTTATTATTTAAGGCTCAGGAGGTGTAGAAGAGTGGTCCAACATATGTGCTAATCTTATAAGATATGTCATTGATTAAAGTGGTGTGACTTTGATCCCAGGACTGTATGCTGAACCGCATGGGTTTTCTCAGGGTTCTCTTCCACTGCTAAAATTTCCTGTGTGCAAGCGAATTATTTATATCTTATGAGGGTCCCTTAATGACCTAGTTTGAGTTGAGTAGACGTAGCATATGTAACAGCATATTGATACCTTTGACCTTTAATAAATGTATGTTCTGGGTCAGTGCTGACAGCTTAATAATAATTTCGACCTTGATTAGTCAGCCAATCAAATTTCATGATAATTAAAGCCTTTCAAAAAGTTTGCAAAATTTTCTGTATTGCGGATTTTGATACCTAAATTGGTAGGGAGTTGACCAATCACGGTGGACACATTACTGAATGTAATCTACATATATAAAAAATTGTTTTTAGAGAAATCTTCTTCTTGTCAGTCTGAGTTATGGTTGATAATATTTATATTTTAGTCTGTGGGAAAATCATGGGATCGAGGTCAACCTAGAAGTGGTTATTATAAAAATAGACCAGTTACATTGTAAGTATGAATATTATCTAATGGATATGATATCTTTGTTATGTTTTGTCTTTATGGTATATTCAAAGCAGCTGCCATTTGGATAGCTGACATTAGCTTCATTATGCACAAGACTTTATAGAGTTTATAAATAGATCAATGGATATTGTCTTGACATGACTGAAACATGACAGTATGATTAAACTTGTTATCATGGATGTTAAGTTAAATTGAGTCCAAAATAAGAGTCAAATACAGAATATAAAAGAAATGAATACAAAAAGATAATTCTGATTTTAATCAGATTGGTACTATACTAACACAAACAATGGGTAAGAGGATCAGGGGCGTAAATGTGGGGGGGTATAGGGGGGTGGTACACCCCCCACCCAGCGAAAAAAATAGTTGGTCGCAAAATAAATGCAGTCGGTCGCAAAATAAGTGCAGTCGATCTCAAAATAAGTGCAGTCGATCTCAAAATAAGTGCTCACTGAATTAATACAAACAATGCCAAAATAGAAGGAAAAATGCCAAAATAGAAGGAAAAATCCAAAATTTTATGTATTTGCGTGAATCCTTGCACCTAAATTGCATATATTACGCTACTCACCCAAAACTTTAGTATAAAATAATCTTGTCAACTTATCATGTTGAAAAAATGTTTTTTACCCTTATTCTGTGAGTTGGTCTAAGTAAAAAAAATTCCCCCTGGGAGAAAATAGTCGGTCTCAAAATAAGTGAAGTCACTGCAGTCGGTCTCAAAATAAGTGCAGTCGGTCTCAAAATAAGATCAGTGTGTCTCAAAATAAGTGCAGTCACTGCAGTCGGTCTCAAAATTATGTATCGACGACTAACGAAATGAATTGATGAGGTAAACAAATAATGACAGAATAGAAGGGGAAAACCTCAAATACTTAATATACATGCACCTAAATTTCTTGCGTCACATAGTCGGTCTCAAAATAAGTGCTCACTGCAGTCGGTCTCAGACTAAATGAATTAATGAGGTAAACAATGCCAAAATAGAAGGGAAAAATTTTGTGTGAATGTGTGCACCTAAATTGCAACAGTATAGTATAAAATCACCTAGTCAACTTTTCATGTTTCAAAAAAAAAAATTCCCTGTTATGACTATGTTGGTCTAAGAAATTGAGAGATTTTGATAACTTAAATTTTATTATTGATTGTCATACGAATAACATTAGTCGAAAAGTTGGTAAGAAGTTATCGGACGCATAGATTGTTTCAGAAATACGTAAAAAATCTTTAAGTTATGAAATGTTAAGGCGATCTATTGAACTTAAGAATTTTTACTTATTGCATATTTAATCCCAGTAGAAATTAAAACGTATATTTCTCATGTTGTAAATATTTTCTGACCATCAGAATTCTGCAAAACCTTTCCCCAGATCCCAAAGTCCAGTAAATGGTGTTTCAGAGACCAAGTAAGCGCCCCCCGTGAGACAAAGTCCCCTCAGACCCAGTCCCAACAAATTTAAAGCTCAGTTACATAATCTAAATTTATTCGCGCCTACGGTGCTCAATTCTATTGTGTCATTATTCTTCAACTCCTCTGTCTTATACAATCTCATCACTATCATATTCAGTTGCAGTGAATCACCCAGTTAGTAGTACCACTAGTGAGTGGGACGACAGACTATATAATTGTTATTTCTACTCTCACAAAACATGCGAAATTTGATCCCATTTGTCATGACATTGACTATAATGGCATAATTCTTCCACTCCTCTGTGGTCTTATACTACACCGGCACTGTCATATTCCCAGTTATAGTGAACTGCCCAGTTAGTAGTACTGCTGGTGCGTGGGGCGTCAGGCTGTACAAATGTTCTGGCAAAACAGGCGGAATTGACAGAGGCAGATTTTGAGATTCTGTCCCATTGACTGCTATTTCTGGTTCTCTTGTTTGTTCACAACAATTTGCTCCCAGCAATGACCTCAAGTGTCAGGATATTGGTTCATTTTTTCAAAATTTTCTCAGGTTGCTCAGTGTTATAGCTACTACCTCTAAGGTTCATATAAATTTAATTACAAAATCAATAACAATCATCATATTATATGACATATACTTTATGTCAACTTGAATAAAACTGCTTTCCGACGAGCTATAGGCAATACGATAACAGCTATAGGCAATACGATCTATGTTCTACCCGGACGGCCAGTGTTATAGCCAGTATTTTGTTGACATTCATTGTGGGGTGTGATTGTGGATGGCGCCCTAGATTTGGAACCGCCGCACCCCACCCCCTATTCCAAGCTTCCAGATCAGCTACTGGCCCCTACAAAACTATCATATGTGGTGCTCGGCCCCTGACTGCGTGATTCGTATTAGGGACATGTGCATCAGTCGGTCGCATTTTTGTTAAACCCCCCTCCCAACAAAATCTTTATGTACCCCTGAAGAGGATAGGTTCTCCTGCCACCCTTCATCATCCTTGTAAAAAGGATTCTTGTAAGGAGGCATTAGAAATTTGGAGAACATTGACTACGAGATTTGACTACACACCTATTATATCAGTGATTACATGTAAAATTTAAGACAGATTTGTCAATCCATTGATGAGAGATAGACATTTCAAATTTCTATATGAGTTGCATACATTATTTCCTATAGTGGTTTTCAAAAGTTCAGCAGACACTTGTCAATACTGCTTTGATGTAATTAGGTCAATTCTTGTATTGTCAAAAATCGGCCAGGCCTGAATTTGTGCATCATGATTCTTGAAATTTTCAAAGCGAACTAATTAATATTGTATAATCTTTCAAAGACATCACCATTTCCTATTGGTTTCTAAATTTTATATTCCTGTTGTTGAATTCTCAACTTGTACCAGGTGAGTGGAAGTGAATTCCCTCAACAAACCAGATGGATTACAAATTTTCAATATTAAAAGAACATCATTTAAAATGAACTGGATTGTACAGAAAAGATATTTGATGGTTTGAAATCGACTGCCAGTGTCAGTAATAGTACATTGGATTTAAATGTCTATGTACATTGAGTAGGAATCTTGACTGATAATCTGGAGGTCAGATGTATGATCACAATGTTGGCCGAGAAATTTTCTGACTTGGTTCCCCAATTGTTAGTGGGGCAGGATGGAGGGCCGGGCAAGATACAACGTATAAAAATTCGGATGGGGCCAAAATTATTGTTGCGAAATAATTGATGTTAATCCTATATCACCTGTCTTACTGACATACTTGGTTCCCCAATTGTTAGTGGGGCAGGATGGAGGGCCGGGCAAGATACAACGTATAAAAATTCGGATGGGGCCAAAATTATTGTTGCGAAATAATTGATGTTAATCCTATATCACCTGTCTTACTGACATCCTTTGTTTAAAGATTTACGGGGCGGGGTGTGCGAAGGGGTGTTGGGTGACCTAGTGGTTTAACATGAACACGCGAAATCACAAGGTCTGTTATTGAATCAAGTGGTATTGTTTCGATTCCTTGCTTGTACGTGACAAGGAGTATGGTTGCCTGTAGTGGGTTTTCTGTTGGTCCTCCTATTTCCTCCCACTGCTGAAGATGCATATGCGCAAGTGAAGTATTGAAAAAAAAAGTGAACCATATGTTGGTCCCGAAATGACCTGGTTTGTGTCAAGTGGACGTTAAACTTTGACTCTCCCTCTTTATAGATTTACATCATCTATATAATTTTGTTGTTAAATAATTGATGTTAAACCTGCTGACATTTTGCTTGAAGCCAGTTTCAAAAAGATTTTGCAAAACCCTACATTTAGATTTGTCATGAATTGTGTTACCTCCCTTGCATAAAATTCACTAACTGTGAAACAGTCAATGGGGTTTATTGTTCACTCAATACAAACTAGGTCATTTTGGGATTAACATATCACTAAAATTTATTACAATAATTTGCTTGTGCATAGGGGTATTTAGCAGTGGGGGGAAAACCCACAACGTTGGACAGGCAATCTTACTCCTTGTTACATGTACATAAGCGGGGAATCGAGAGCACACCATTTCATCCAATTGCAGATCCAATCCGCTTCAATTAGCTTGTGCATATAGTCTGGTAAAATAGTTTTCATTTCTGGATTCTATTTTAAATTTAGATAAATAATCTGATTAAATTCAAATCTAAATTATTTTTTATACCTTGAATGGCCTCCACTCCATAGATCTGATCAGTATAGTGACAGAGTAAAATCAGGGGTCATGTACGATAACTGAATGATGTAGACTATTCACACAGAACTTTTTGTTTTGTTTTGTTGTTCTCAACCGTTCAATATATGATTCCCAGAATTCCATGCACAACTCACCCAATAAAGCTCATCTAAACAGACCATTTCATTTGCAAATCCCCCATATCAAATAGACCATTTCATTGGCTAATCTCCCAAATGTAAAATACAGATAAAACAAAATTGAAATCTGTCACTGACATGTTTCTTATAGCATGTAATTATTCATGGCTTAATCTATTCTAAATGATACTCAAATTGCTTATTTAACTTTTAAAACAAAATGCTGAATGTTGTGAAAATTTCAGTTTATTAAATCTTTTTAATCACTGAATGTAAAAGGACCATATTTGGACCATATTCCTTTTAGACAGAATATGGTAGTTTGCGAGGGTTTTAAAATTTCTCAAATGATGATCAGAAACATTCCCACGGATAAACCGGGTGATTTTATGATATATTTGGACTAAAAACATATTCAAACTAATTAATCTATCAAAATTTTGCTTCAAATCCTTCTCAAAACATTGTACCAGTATTCACAAGGGAATACCCTTGCTATCAAAATATATATCAAAAGAGATCATGTTTGTGTCACTTGACATGGCTGACGCGGTACCTAGCAACGGGTACGAACCCACAGGAGAATTTATTGCATATACAGGAATGCCTAATTAAAGTCTCAGATTATCCACTGCCCACTTTTTTTTGTCTCAGAAACTGTTGTACGCTTAAAAATACATTATGGGAGATTAGATAAAGAGCTTGCAGTTCTCACTATAATAGTTAAAAACTAGATAATGTAAAGGGAATTTTCTGAAAATTTCAGTCAAATTGATCCACTGTGAGCCGAGATTTTAGCGATTGAAAGTGGAGCAGCAAATGGGGGCCTAATCCAGTAAACATTGCAGGCTAGCATTGACATTGAGAGGTGATTTTGGTCTGGATAAGTTAATTAATGTCTAAGTAATAATTTAGATAACATTTCAGGCCTAAAGAAAGACCTGCAATTGGCAGATTTTACTCTTGCATAATGTATGTTTAAGCTCACTATCTAATTTATCAACACATACATCAAGCACTCACTAACGCTGAGAAATCAGACAATCCTCGCGTGCAATCTTTGACGTCACTTGAGCAGACATCCCTAAATGCTGGGTTGCCGATTAGAGAAACCTTTAAATTTTTGTCCTGTATGCGCTTCATGGGTATTTTTCAGGGATCCAGTATTTTTCTAGTAAGATTGGATGTTTCTACTTTCCATATATACCTAATTTGCCATACTTCTATTGGAAATAACCACCCAATAAATACTTTTGTAGGAAAGTATCTTTAAATCAGATTTAGACAAATGATAATTTTCATTACATAAAAATACTACTTTAATTTCTAGTATCACTCAACTACTGGTATGTACAGTAAAAAAGACACCAAAAAAATATATATCATAAATCATCACAATATCTGTTTGTTGGGTCATTATACCCTGCTAAAAATGTAAGATATTTGATAATTTATAAAGCACTAGATTATTTCATTATTTAATGAAAATTTGGCACTTTTAAAAATATCACAGTTATTTCAATAAAAAAAGAACACCTTACAAATATTTTGTGATTTGAAAACTTTGTAGATCACCACAGGTGCAATAAATTCCTTTATGTATATTATGCTCCGGTGCTGAAATTATGCAGAAGAGTCAGAATGATTTACCGAATACTATCCAATAGCCGGAACACAATAATTTGAATAACAATACTTTGATATCTCTACTCTCAGGAACTATTTGCTAGCAAAACATTATCTCTGTATTTAAATTTGTTTGACAGATTATTGTTTGTTTTTCTTTGCATTACTTTTCTGGGCATTTTTCTCAAGTTTCTTATGAACTCCTGCCGGAGTTGATTTAGACGGTGCTGATTGGCTGTTCATTTGCCCTGTTCGACGTGTCTTTTCACTTTGTTTCGGTGAAGAAACAGATAATTGTATATTCGAAGGTTTTGTGTCACCCGTGGGCGACAAAGAGTTTGATGGCTTTGTTACTGGATCGGTTTCTGTCTTTGATTTTGTCGATTGATCATTTTGAAGATTTTGTACAAGGTCAGCTTCCGTAGGCCGTTTGATCAATATTTTAGGAGGAGTTTTAACATCACTCCCGATCTCGACAGGGACCTTGTTTTGTGATTCCACTGTTTGTTCTGCCTTTATACCATTCTTTGCTTTGGTTGAAGGTGCCACGTTTGATGTTTTGTTAGCTGATGATGGCGCAGAAATTACAGGAGGTTTTTGCACAGGTTTATTGTTGGGAGTAACTTTACTCTTTTGATTAGATTCACTTGGTTGCTTTTTGGTCGGTGTTATTTCTGCTGGTGATACTTTAGAGTTACCATTACTGATATGTTTCAATGCACCTTTTCCAGGAACTTGAAGTGTTTTTGAATTACTGGCCAATGATTTCTGATCTTCATCAACAAAGGTGACTTTTGCAGCACCTTTTTTCTGACCAGATGCTGGGTCTTCATTTTCTTCATCTATCTCGTAAGCTTGTTGAGAAGCCCTTCGTTTCGTTGCCATTTCGGATAAATGCCGAATAACTAAAGATGCCCTGTGGACTGCCAAAATTTTATTTTTGACTTCTTTCTTTTTGGCTTTTGCTCCTGCTCCTAATAATCGATCACGAATTTTCTTCCTTGTGTCTTCACTGATGTTACTGTCATCATCACGGAGAGTGGAATGATCGTAGCAGTAGTCAAATATCTTAGCAACAACAAAAGAGATGATTAAAATTGCCACAAGGACAGCTATAGTAATGAACGCTTTACTGACATCATTAGAAATTTCTACATCTGTAAATAGAAAAAGGAAACATCTCAAAACAAGAGTTTCATAGTGGCACTAGGATTTTCCGGTAGGAGGCTTCAAATTTTCAAATTTATTGATTTGGAGTAGGTCCTGGACTAGGGTCACAATCAATAAAAATCATTGCATCTTAGCATTGATGATAAATGGAGGAATTTGGCTCATGGAGCTTGGATACAGCTAGCTTTGGTTTAAACAATATTTATTTGGAATGTTTACAATTTTATAGCTGAATTATAGTATGTAGGATACGAAAACAAGCATGAAGATGCTTATAAATATCGCTTCGTTTGAGTTAAAAGTACATAAATTAATTTTGTAATTGTGTTAGTGAATCGGATGTTTGGAGAGCGGTGGGTGACATACATTAATTTTTGAATTCTGTAAGTACATCAGATGTTTGTAGAGCGGTGGGTTCCCAATGGGGCTGCTACTATATTTTATGGATATATTTGAATTACTTGTAGGCCTATTTGACCTGAGCCAATGTAGAGATATAACTGCCGAAGGGTTAGCCCAAATCTGATTAAAACACAGATTCTATTTCGTTTCGTTTTTAAAGTTTAAAATTTCGTCTTACGTGTCTTTACTACACTAGGATCTGGAAGAGTTGTTATATAACCCGCATTCTGGTTCATGTGAGGGATTAGCCAATGAAACGGTCTTTTATGGCGAGTTCTTGGCGTGAGATGCACAGAATTGTGAGTAACCTACTAGAAACATCCACGTTGATTGGTTAATCAAATGTCTGACGTTATAGGGTCAAAAGCCAATTGTATGACCCCTGACATTACCTCCCACTACAACCAGTCAGATTTTCATGAAGTAGAGGCCATCGAGATATAGATCTGTATTTTAATCAGATTGGGTTAACCCTAAATCAAAATTAACTACATCTTAATATTTCTAAAGGAAAATTTAATCGTATAATTGTTTCCCAATCACTAATCAAACCAACACGTTAGATCAGCTAAACCCAGGTTTTTACTTGAATCAAATTTAATCTTACCCTGGCATAATACTGTATGGATGTCTGCCAAAAACACAAATATAATTATTTTAATATTGTTCTCCATTCTTCCCACAGTTTATTTATATACACAGCAAGTCTTTATTTCTACCTGATTAATCTTGTTAATCTTTTATTGACAACTTCTTATTTATAATGAATAAAACCAATCTCTCTTTCCATAGATTTAAAATCATTTCCAGTAAGTAACCCTCACTTATTCTAAAAGATTAAACTAGTTGTCCCCAGGTAACATTCACTTCTAAAAGATTAAACTAGTTATTCCCAGGTAACATTCACTTCTAAAAGATTAAACTAGTTGTCCCCAGGGTAATGTCCACTTCTAAAAGATTAAACAAGTTTGTCCCAGTGTAACATCCACTTCTGAAATCCATTTCATCAGACTATGGCACCCATTAGCTATAAATAATGAAAGTTTATTCATTCTAGAACTTCTCAAACCACTTCACATTTTTGGTAAGCTCACATAGGTAAATAATTTGATGCGTTCTTGTACTGGATTATGGTGTGGTCATTGACTCCAGTGAATATTTTTTGTCTTATAAAAACAAGAAATAAAATAAAACATTTCAAATTCTCATAAAAAATATCATTCAATATCAGCAACAACACTTCGTACCTTAGTTCTGAACACTAATAAACTGATTAATCATCTCCCAAAAGATAAATCGTTTTAATCACTTGCAGATAAATCACAATATAAGCATTTTTATAAAAACATTTTCTCATTTCTTAATGATTATGCACCCGATGATAGTCAAAAAGTTGAGAAACGTTGTACAGACTAGTACTATTGAACATCTTAGAACCATACAGGATCTTCTTTCCCCCCGTGCTCAGGAAAATTCTTCAGTTTTAAATTACATTAACGCACTTCACCTCAAGCGACATTCTTTAACTTTGCCTTGATTTGTTATGAAGATTGTTGACTTGTTATGAAGATTGCTGGACGTGTCTCAAAGAAAGCGCATTGAAGACTGACAGATATAAGTATAATATACCTATAGATTATTTTATAATAGATATACCAGTTAAATAGTAGGCCTCTAGACTTAGTTACCACATTAACAATGGTAGTAACCAATAAAATATTCAATATACCGTATACCATGCTTTACAAGTGGTAATCACATTTAGATAAATAATTGCACTAATATTTTGTTGCTTGACTTTATAATCATGGGGACAGCACCACATACAAAATCATGAGGACGGCACCACACATACAAAATCATGAGGACTGCACCATAATATTTTGGTTCGCTACTTTAATAATCATTATTTATCTGAAAACTTAGAGGTGAAGTGTAAGAAGTGTGTAAAATATATAGTATTGACAAAAAAAACAGTGTAATTAAATACAAATATGCTCACCACTAAGAAAATATTGAACGACTTTTCTAACAAATGAAATCTGAATTTGTAGGCTTTCTTTTTATAATCACAGATAAATTGCGAAGAAGCTCTAATATTATATGGTAGACACCCTTTAACATAAGTATTCAAGCGTGCATTAAGCTAAAACATGATATGTCTATTGTCATATACAGATTTTGCTGGGACACTTTTGTGAAGGAATACAATGCATCCAATATATTTCATATATGTACTTATAAGATTTAACCATTGTTAGGTTTAACCATTGTTTGGTGTGAATGCTATCTATATAAATTGCCAGTAGTGTTGGGAGAGAGAGAGAGAGAGAGAGAGAGAGAGAGAGGTGGGATTTAATGTCCACTCAACACAAACTAGGTCATTTTAGGACTAACATATGGTTCAACTTTATTTCAATAATTTTTTTGTGTGTATGTGTCTTTAGCTGTGGAACAGTAGGACGCTAAACCCCATTTCATTTTGTTTCATTTCTTTAGCAGTGGCAGGATCCGATTCCTTGTCATGTACTAGCGGGGAATTGAAACCACACCACTTGACTCATTGACTGACCTTAAACCATTCGGCCAACCTACCCCCTGGTCAGTGGTGTATAATATAAGATTCCCTTTTTTACTAAGAATGTGTATTTGTCAAGCTTGGCTCAATGAGTAAGATATTGGCTCGCTAACCTGAAGGCTCCCTGTTCGTTCCCTGTGGTGACTGAGTCAATGAGTAAGACATTGGCTCGCTAACCTGAAGGCTCCCTGTTTGTTCCCTGTGGTGACTGAGAAAATTCATCAGCATATTTTGGTGTGGTTCACCCATGTCAGTGGTGCAGGATAGAGGGCCTGTCAAGGGATAACACCTAGTCATTTGGAGGGTACAAAGGTCTCGTGTACACATTGGCATGCACATAAAGGAACCCTTGACAGTTAGAATTTGATATAGGCTGTAGAGCCGCTGTCCGGGCTAATTCCCTTATGGCACACTGTAAGGCGTATGCCCATCTTCATTAGCCCAGTCAGTAGGATGTTAAACCCCATTTCATTTTGTCAAGCTTGTTAGAAATGAAATCTATGTAGGCTGAAGAAGGTGGGTGTTGACCATGCTAAGGCGTGGGACAATGGGGTGGGCTGCCGGACTCTACTTTATTGCGGGGTGGCGGTGCTTTTGGTCTACTCCATAGCAAGACAAGTTCTTTTTTTCGTGTCCTGATAGTGGAAGGATACATGTGCCTTTTCCTGTCCTGACAGTGAAAGGATACATGCACCTTACACAATTAACAGTTTAAGTATATTTGATGTGTATTGTGTTATGTTTTGCGGTGGCAGGAGGCGAACTCAAGGACGTCACTGTGTCTGAGTAAAATGTTGTTGGTTTAATGGAGATTTTGTTGTTTTTTTGCGTAATGTTACCATACAAATCTAATGTTATATGATCAATCTGTACACAACTTTTGTTCTTAAAGATAAACTACTTGTATTTTTCAGCTGTTGTCCAAGTTCCAGAACACAACAGATACCTAGTTACGGGTAAGTTCAATTTCCGAATCTATAGCATTCATTGTCTCCAATGTTTAATAACTAACTTCCTTTCTATTTTGAGGAGTCTTTTAGTCATTTTGAAAATTGTGTATAACGAAAAAGATAGAGAATAAATGAGACTTGGTCAATTTGGTCTTTTTAAATATTTTTAAGGGTTTCACCCCAAGGACCCCCTCAGCACCACCGAAACCATCACCCACATTTCTCACGACCAAGCTACCCAGCTGTTTACAGCTTTCCTATTGTGACATGACTGATAGGTGGTGGAGGTGAAAATAACACCGAACAAACAAACGTGTGAAGCATTGCCACTGTTTTGTCCTCACTCCACTCTAATCCTTTACATGCACCACCTAAATGAGTAGAAATATTGTCTCTCAATTTTTAATTTTATTAACTTCTCGGGTAATCTCTCAACTCTCCTGACAAACTTGACGTTGTCTCCACCCTGGACACTCCCTCCCCCCCCCCCACTGCGCAGTCTAGAGTTTTCAACTTATAATTTCCTGTCAATTTTCATTCTATGTTGATTATTTTTAAAAAGTGTTTAATATTATGTGATATTTCAGAGGCTCTGTAGGTGCTAATAATATAGAAGAAATAGATAATCCTGCTGTAGAGTTCCAACCCTTAACAGTTAAACGGGTTAATATACCCAGACCTACAGAAACAGCACAGTAAGTACATATACATGTCTTTTTAGTTATTCTATTGAAATATCATTAACCTTTTAACACTTAGATAGCCCCCTTGATAACTGTGTACTAGCTCTAAGACTTTCCTCTAATTTTTTCAGTGAACCAAGGTAGTCAATATATACATAGTTAAAAATTGTTATTTTTGTGCCAGTTTTATATGGCTTACGTCATCTTCAGAAGTTTAAATAAATGGAACGGTGCTTTGCTTATTGGTTTATTTAGAATCAATCTTAGTCAAGGATATTTTATATTTTATGATAAAGGTGATCCTTTAAATGGCTTGACCAAGTCAGTGATCGTAAATATTTCTTCCATCTCTGACATAAATCAGAGAACAGACCCTTTTATTCTGATTCAGGATACACTTTAAGCTTACATCCTCATTATCATTATTCCATTGTCAAGAGCAGAGTGGCAGACACAATGGTTACGGAATCTGTCACTTGTTTGCTTTAGGTTCAGTTATATATAGTGTAATAAAATGTATCAAATCTATTTTAGTCGACCAAATATTCCTGGTTATGAGGGATGTACATTGTATCAAGGACAGTATGCTCCAGCCAACTCAGCACTACCATCTTATTCTCAGCATATTGCTTCAACATCTCTAGTCCATAGGTAATATAGCTTTAATTATTATCAACTACAGCTTATAGTCTATTGACTACATAGTTTCAATTAACATCCCTAGAAAATGTAGCTTTAACAAATCTCAACATATAGCTTCAACATATAGTATAATAGGTAATATAGTGTTAATGAATTACATCATATCTGGTGAATAGGTAATATAGCTTTAATAAATCACAACACATGTAGTCTATAGGTAATGTAATATAGCTTTAATAAATCTCAACACATCCAGGCCAAGGTAATATAGCTTTAATAAAACACAACATATCTAGCTTTAATAAATCTCAACACATCAATTCTATAGGTAATATAGCTTTAATAAATCTCAACACATCCAGTCTATAGGTAATATAATATAGATTCAGTCTATAAGTAATATAGCTTTAATAAATCACAACGCGTTTAGTCTATGGGTAATATAGCTTTAATAAATTACAAAATCTCAAGTGCAAGACAATATAGCTTTAATAAATTACAACATCTCTAGTCAATATAAATATAATTTTGATTATGTATACCATATATGGTTGTCTTTTATAGATCGATGCCAGTGATGCCAAGTTCATCAGAACATAAAAGAGATTCTCAGATGTCTAAAATGGTGACTTTGGTGCCACCTTGCAATCCCTCTAAATCATCGATGAAAGAAGGAATTGTCACAGTGGCTTAAACACCTGGTTTTCATGCAATATAATCTTATGCACATCAGTTACTGTGAACTATAGCGTGTTATGGTGGACAACAAAGGACTGTTAATGTGGATTTACTTGTCGAACAATCCATACTATATTGTTATGTTAAAGAATAGAAATACAAAATGAAATTAATGTGACTGGTGGTAGATGGTATTTAACACATTAGTTTATTGTTACCGTATATATGCACATACAAATCAGTATCAAGCTACCGGTAATCTTTGTTTTCGTAATTTAAATTGAGTTTTACTCTCAGAGCTATAACTGTGTGGAGTTTGGGACCAGTATTAAAATCAACATTTTTATGTCTTGATAATTAAGTATTATGAATATTCTAGAAGTAGTCATTCATGTCAGTCAGAAATGAACCCAAAAATGTAATGAAGAAATGTATTTTATTCTCATCTGTGATTGCATTTTATATTTAATATTTATCAAGATAAATCATGTTTATATAAAGATGTAAATAATCTTTGTTATAATAATTTAATGTACCATATGTTGTTTGATATTAAAGGAGCTAACACTCTTCTCTCATTTGGTCCAACCTCGTGGGTTCTCTCTAGGTCCTCCGGTTTCCTCCTACTGCTAGCGAATTATTGAAATAAAATTGTACCATAATGTAATTTCTTTATGGTCCCAGATGAAAGAAGTTTAGTCATTTTAACATGACTAAATTGGACAATTTTTACACAAATCTTTTAGGATCCTTGTGACATCTATTTTTGAGAGTACTCCTTTTAACTTATTATTCAAAAAAATAAATAAAGTTCATAAACTAAATATTGGCATAATTTAATGTCTAATGTGAAGTTTGGTTGATGTGTTCTGAAAATCTTAAAGAATTCAGATGTCCGTGAGAATCATGATGCAATTAAAGATTCACCCAAATTACCAGGTGTTCATGACCCTGAAATTTATGATCATTGAATTATTAAAAAAATTATATTAATATGGATAAAATTGTCTCAATGCTGTTATTGTCTCAAATTAATGTGTAGAATATATATATTTAAATTGTTTGAAAATTGATATAAATTTTGTTATTTTTATTAATTGATTCCCTGTTTTTAATATTAATATGGATACTTTATATTTTATTATTATATATCAGATTTTGTATATTTTATTATCGTGTATGGAAACCTGGAGAACAAATCCTTTTTTGAACATGCTGGTTTTCACAGGGTAACTGTCATCAACTGTAAACATGCTGATTGTGACGGGTAACTGTCATCCACTGTAAATAAAACTTGTTCTATATTTGTCTTCAAACCATTGATTTTCTTAGCATATATGACAGCCTTGACAGGGCTAGATCTATTTGTTAAGGCCAACTCAATTTTCGTCAAGGTCGCTGAGATGTAAATAAGGTTAGGGCACGTGATTGTTGGCAAGATTGTAGGTTAGGGTTAGGGTTAGGGTAAGCATTAGGGCCAGGTCCAGGGTTAGGGTTAGGATTAGCGCTAGCCCTGTTTACATCTCGTGACCTTTGACCAAACTTGAAGTTTGTCTTAACAAATAGATCTAACCGACAGTTACAACCATTTGAAAACAAGAGTAACTATTTTATCAATCGCACATAGCTTTATTTATATACAGTGACTGACAGTTACCCTGATATCGGCAAAGAAATTTGCACTTCTGGTTCTGAATTGTGGAAACTATTTTGATACCATACCAAATAATAAATAAAATATCAGGAAACTGCAACCATTGGATGTCTCTTTTAATTTAACGGCCATTACCAATTTATAAAACTTGTCATGAACAATCATTAATTTATAACATGATTAAACACACACTGAACTTACATGATATAATTGTTACACTTCCCATGACCATTTTTTAAATGAAGAGCTTTAATAATGTGTTTAGCTTAGTGGTTAATAAATTATATAAATGAGTATTAATATAGAAAACAAAAAATTAATTTTAGTTTCTCTTGGATATTTGAATAATGTTTTGTATTGACATGTGATATTATATCTGATCAGTATTATATATAGTCTTCCCTTTTTAATACGAACACTAGGATTTGTAGATCTACTTTACTACAATCATATCTACTTTACTATAATCATATAGGATACTGTATTTTATAGATCTACTTTACTACAATCATATAGGATACTGTATTTTATAGATCTACTTTACTACAATCATATCTACTATAATCATATAGGATACTGTATTTTATAGATCTACTTTACTACAATCATATAGGATACTGTATTTTATAGATCTACTTTACTACAATCATATCTACTTTACTATAATCATATAGGATACTGTATTTTATAGATCTACTTTACTACTATCATAAAGGATACTGTCTTTTATAGATCTACTTTACTACTATCATAAAGGATATAGATCTACTTTACTACTATCATAAAGGATACTGTATTTTATAGATCTACTTTACTACTATCATAAAGGATACTGTATTTTATAGATCTACTTTACTAAAATCATATAGGATACTGTATTTTATAGATCTACTTTACTACTACCATAAAGGATACTATCATAAAGGATACTGTAATTTATAGATCTACTTTACTACTACCATAAAGGATACTAAAATCTTATAGGATACTGTATTTTATAGATCTACTTTACTAAAATCAGAAAGGATACTGTATTTTATAGATCTACTTTACTACAATCATCTACTCTAATTAAATAGAATTCAGTATTATTTGTTGCTGTTAAAATATTATGAGAAATACAAATTGTAAATAAAGTCTTATTTATATCATATGATAGCTGTATGTGTCATTTATAATAGTATACTCTTCAAAAAAAGTAGGGGATATTCAGAAACAATACAAAACTGTGGAAATGCACTGCTGTTTTTATTAGAGGTAACCAGTGTATGTTAATAACAGGCGGATTGCCTACACATGAACATAAGCAGTTCATATGGGCGGCTTATCTGACGGCCCCATTTCATTCGCAAAGAGATACACTGTCAAAAGTGAAAATGGACGTTTTTGATTTTTGTCTTAATGAGTAATTGCTCCATTCAGCAATTCGTCGTGGCATGCTCCTAATATAATCAATCGTCCAATCACGATTTGGGGCAATCTGACCCACTCCTCTTGCAGTGCCACGGCCAAGTCTTGCAATGTTGTCAGTTGACGTTGATGTCAACGAACACGTCTCCCGATCAAATTAAATGTAACACACTAAAGCAAACATACACTAAACAGTATGTTTTTTATTACTGTGTAATATGTAAAAGGTATAACTGAAACCTTCTTCTTCTATTAGTGTTTAACATCCTCTTCCACCAAGGTTGATATCGCAGACTTTCCTGTGGGAGGAAACCAGAGTACTCAGAGTAAATCCACAAGGTTGAGAAGGCGCCCCTATCTCCAAGCCACATACGCTCACAGGTGACTGACCAGTTAGAGCTTGAAGCACGACACCCTAGACCACTAGTCCATCCCAACCCCTCACTGTGAGACCATGAACGAGCATGTATATATTTCAATTCATTCATATCAGGTTTTCTGTGTAGATTTAAAAATTTGCAAGTTTTACTAAAAGAGAACTATAACTGGGAAGCTTTTCACAAGACTAATCAAATAGCCTGTAATACCAGGGGCGGACCCAGCCGAGAAGGGGGGGGGGGGAGCGGGAGTTGCTCAGCTGAATAAAAAATCACTTCTTTTGAGAAAAGTTTCATGGTCGTGTGCATTATCCTTTTATCATCAGATGGTGGGATGGGATGGACATTCAAAGCCCGAGATAATGATTCGTTGAGAATTATGCGTTTGAAATTTGCGCTCTGTTGTTATCTCTGTAGCCATCAAATAATAATGTTTATGTAAATGACGTACCGTGTCCTGATGTATATGTATGAAATATTAAATCATAAATAAATGTTAATATTTGATGGCCACAGAGATAACAACAGAACGCATAATTCTCAAAATTTAAATATTTCAGATTCGTCGGTTCGCCAGACAAACAACGATATGTGAGATCACAATTAAAGCTTTGAATCAATGAAATTGAATTACAATGTCATCGTATTAATTCATAATAAATGAAATGGGGTGTTGGATTTCTCTCTTTAATCAAAACGCCCAGCATGTATGTATCCAAAATATTTTCAAGGCTGGTGGGTTGGGGGGGGGGGGGAGAGGTAGGCTGAAGAACCCCACCACCACTGGACCCCCTCCCCACAAAGATACATTGCGTGTTTGAACGACAGTTAATTTCAAGGTTTTTGTGCTATATGGCTGGAGAATAGAAAAAAAACCAATCATACAAGCTTTATATTTGGTTTACTAGTTGTATAATTGTATAGCTTAGGCATGAATTATCAGTAGGTATGTATTTACATTCATAATATCATAATTAATGCTGATAGACGATTAATAAATAATAATATACATAATTTATATTTTTATACATTATAAATCTATTAAATAAAGCTACAAATTAAAAAAATAAAATTGATAATACTTCTTTGAAATCATTTATAAAAAATAATTCTTGAATTGAGAGATCAGATAAATAAATTAATAAGTTATTGATTACTATTGTCAATATTTATCCCCTTTATGTAATATACATTCAATTTATATGAAGGATATTTTGTCATATATTAACTAAAAACAGAGACAAATTATAGGCTACACAGATTTTGACAATCTGACTAGGTTTGACAAATTTGCAAACATTAAGCATATAAATGCTCCTGTTACTTGGTGCTGCTGGAATGTGTTTTGAAGACTGGCAACCAATTTTTATATTCCATCTATCAAACACCAGTGATCTGGTATTTCTGTGAGGTCATATTTGAAATTAGGATATTGAAAATTCTCTTCATTGCATTAAATAATTTTACAGTCCCCACACTATAGATTTTAAATACCTATATACTAACACAATAACAAACCGACAAACTAGGAAAATATCAGACAAAACATGTAACATCAATGATACAGGAGAAATGCACAAAAAACAACAAACAAGACAAACAAGTATATAGCTTAAAAAAAAAACACAAACAAATAATCTGGCAAGTTGAAATATGATTTGGAATGTTATTAGGTTTAAACCCTGAAAGAAAACGATATTAATTATACCCCATGATAAAGGAGAGAGAGAAATAGGTTTCACATCCACTCAACACAAACTAGGTCCTTTCGGGACTAACATATGGTTCAATTTCGTTTTAATAATTTGCTTGCGCTTAGGGGGTCTTTAGAAATGGGAGGGACCCAGAGAAAACCTATGAGGTTGGACAGATGAGCCTACTCCTTGTCACATATAAGCTTGGAATTGAAACCACGCCAGTTGACAGACACCTAATGATCTCATTTGTCCCACCCACCCCTCCCGCCTATGATAAATAAATCTGGAAAAAGACAAAGTACTTTTACAATCACTCTTTAATTATAAACTTAAAACAAGTAACCAGACAGGGGCATTAAACATTGAACCAGAAATACAAGGTAGTATGGCATTATTAATAATGAATGAAAGTTGTTTTACTAATAAATATTTATACATAGTAGTTCTTGTTCTATCATATACACATAACAGACAAGTACAAACAAATGAAAGAAAATTGTCTATGGAATGCAAAATAAAAATATCACAAATTTATTTTAGCACTTAGGATTATTAAATTAAAAAAATGTAAATACTGGTTCTATAAAACACAATAACATAAACTCTGATAGCAGGTATCATTATTTATAATAAAAAAAAACCACGCTTTGGATCAAATATAAAATATTTCTATTAGAAAAATAATTTTTAGAAAAATCATTTTTTTGAGAGTTTTGAGAATATCTAAATATGAGGCCTTGTACCTGACTTTAGATGACATATCTTGACCGTAAGTTTTCTATGGATGAGGCAAGTGTAGCTAACTGGATGGGAAGATCAAGGCACCTAGATGACATGGATGGTGATGTACCAAGCGTGAATCAAGGAATTTATGGATTTGATTGGGGTGGAAGCAGAGACCAACCCAACTCAAAAATGACACATTCATGGAAACTTTAATTAAAAGTTTATAGATTCAGCTTTTATATGGATTAAAATTCTAATTTTTAAATCCTTAGTTTATAATCTGATTATTTACCACACTGTTGACTCATACTATACACCACAGGGTCACTGTAACATCTATGTTACTATAACACTGTTGTCAACCGATTATGCCTATGTTAGCCAGACGCTTATACACTATAGCTTACTAAAACACCACTACATTACAATGAGATCCTTATATATTAAACTAGTGCTATGTACCCACTTTATATTGACATATCATACATACCATCAACAAGTCTGGAAATCTACTTTAAAGCTTTGTCTGTTGTTATTCTTATTTTTATACATGTTCAAAATTTAAACGATTAGGTTTATCTAATAAAATTATTTCTAGGTCTGTTAACTATCAAAATTACTTTTTACAAATACAATCTATTTACCCCATGTATTTGACATAAAAATCAGAGCACCAACAGATAGCTAGAGTATAAAATATTATTTGGCTTTACCTGTAATTCGATCTATACCCCTTAAATAATTGAGATCTTAAACTACTTGAGATATTAAAGTGACTCAATCTTATTCCATAAAATAATACCTGACTTAATACAAATACAGTTAAATTAAATTCTTTCAATAAACTATGAAATTTATACCGGAATTTCATGACATCATGGAACTTAGTTTATATAATGTTACTGTTATTATAATGATGCAAGTTATTACACAAAAAAAAGAAGCGTTACGGTCTACTCTTACTACGAATTCCAACTGTCAACGGGTCTTTAACGTGCACGCCAACATGTACACAGGACCTCGGTTTTTCGTCCCATCCGAATGACTAGACACTGTTCCTTGCCAGACCCTTCGTCCTGCACAACTGACCAGGGGACACCACACCTGAATATCCAAAGGAACACCGGGATCAAACCCAATACCTCCAGGTTAGCGAGCCAGCGTCATACCCACTGTGGCTCTCAATAATAAAAATAATTTGATATAACATGAAATAAATACAAATGATAATTAACCTAAATATTAAATAAAAAATAAATAGCATTCTCCGCCTACCCACATATAAATATAATTATTATGTTATTAATTGTTTGACAAATAAAAATAATCGTTATATGGAATCATATTTGAATTTAAATACCATTTTAAAATACTTTATAATATTCCTACAATTTTTAAACAGATATAATCATGTCAATTAGACAATAATGTTGATCTAACTTTTTTCTTTAATGAACAAACATCAAATTCTAGTCCAGTACGACATTAATTTATGTCGGATGAGCTCCAAAGTAATTTGATCAAATCTTACACTGAATGTGAGAAACTATTGATTTTTTAACAGCTTTGTATACAAGTGATCTCAAGTAATTGAATTGAAAGAAAGTCATTGTGAAAGAAGCAAAATGAACCAGTTATCAGACAAATTAAAACTGAAGCAACTGGACTGCTTCATGTCTAAATGTATCTAATAAATATTTCACAAACCAACCTTTGACATTCTGTAATTTCTGTATCTTAATTTTTGGCAAAAAATATAAAATATAAATAATCACAGGTTTCAGTAAAAAATTGGTCTAAAAATGTTTTTAAAAATTAGTTTAAACAAGGCACAGATCAAATTAAGAATACTTAAAATGGCTAGGAGTAGACCTTTTTAATTTAGGTCAAAATTATAATTGTCGATTCAATGGATTTTATATATGGCTTTGTTTTGGAAGATGACAATGTGTCTATAGATAAAACCAAAGTTAAGAAGGAAATGATTTTCTTAGTCAAAAATCAAACTTGTATATTATCTTTGACAGCAAAACGAATCAAAAATCGCATGTCATTTTTTACGATAGCCTAGGCAATATGAACAAAAATGTCGAAACAATCTAAAGATATAAAAAAAAAATTTAGATTGCTTTATTTGTCAAATCTCAATTTTTACCTTTTCGTGCTATATCAATAAAAAGATATCTTTAGCCTATTTTAATACTTTTGTTCATATCGTAAAAGACTCAGGACTTCCGGCTCATTTTGCTATCACAGGTCACATACTGATCTGTCAAAAACAAAAGTTTTATCATATAGAACCTCATCGTATCACTAATCAAAATAACAACATCAATACTTTATATTGGCCTAAATCAAAGAGTTTTATCTCCTTTAAGGTTAAAATTGAAATATATATATTACTTTCACAAAAATAACAATATGATCAACCCTAACGTTGACATACGATTGGATTAGTTTTCCAAAATAATAATTTGTTAGAACTGTTATATAAATATATCAATACTAAATATGATTTTATTACATAAATATTACATAATATTCAAAAATAAAGCTGCTGATGGTTTTTGAGCAATTTTTATTTTCATAGAAAAATATCTTATTCAACTCCAAGTATTAACTAGAATATTTGATATGGATCTAATCACTATGGTTGTTATCCGGCAACATTTCAACAGAATTTCACAAGTTATTTTTCAAGAAAAAAAAGGTATTTTAGTAATTTAGTTGTGTTTTTTGCTCGCAAATGAGAGTTGTGAAATCTAGTTGAAATGGTGCAGTGTAATATATCTATACCACATGTTCTAATGTTATCAGTCAAATGTTAAATGCCTCGGAGTTTCAGGTCAATATTACCTGAAGAAAAATATTTGAGCAAAAAGCATATTTGACACCAGGAGCCAATTATAATAGGATGCATTATGACCAATCACGATCTGTTTTCAGTAGAATAGCCATGATTTCACCCAAAAATTTAAAAATATTCAATAAGAAATATACTCTTTACTTGGAATGACTGTTGAAGATACCTTCCCGTGTACAAACTGGGTGATTTGATGATATATTTGGACTAAAAACATATTCAAACTAATTAATTCATCAAAATTTTGCTTCAAATACCTTTCAAAACATTATATTCGCGAGGAATACATCAACATATACATCAAACGCTACCTAACGCTGAGAGATCAGACAATCTTTGCATGCAACCTCTGACATCACTCAAGCAGACATCCCTAAGCGTCAGGTTGCCTGTTAGGGAAACCTTTACATTTTTGTCCTGTATGCGCCCCATGGGTGTTTTTCAGGGAATCCATGGACGGGATGTTTCTACTTTCCATATATACCAAATTTGCCATACTTTTATTGGAAATAACCACCCGATAAATACTTTTGTGGGAAAATATCTTTAAGGATTAGATGACAAGTTGATGCATGTTTTAATCAACAAATAATAATTACATGCTGCAAATGAGCCAAAAGTAGATTAATTTAACAAACTATGGCTTATTCAAACATCAAACAGACGTGACCAACAGAATTCACCATATTAAATTGAAAGCCATGTTTATAAGACAGACCTTCTGCCCGCAAGATGATATGATTTATAACTGTGTATGTGAGACAGATTGATTTTAAAGTCATGTTTAGCTCATGTCATGTATCGTTAGATTTTCTCCCTGATATCGGCAGACTTAAATTATGTCTTAAATAGCGCTTCGTTGAAAACATCTTGTGCTGACCAAAAAATTCATGCTGAAGTGGGGGCAGGCGGACGGACTGTCATCGGGCTCCATTTATTGGATACCTTGAAGATGCTATTGAGGGAGATGGATGACTGGATGGAAGAGATGAAGTACTGGGTGACTGAGACAGACATCTTAATGGAGTTACACGGGGAATCTTTTTGTGCATCTTTGGAAGTTGTGAAGTTGAGGCACTATAAAAAAAAAATGGTGTTAATTAATAAATTTTAACACTTTATTCTTGTATTTATCTCATAACTTCAGGATGGAGGGCCTGGCAATAGACAGCATATAGTCGTTTGGATGGGACGAACAATCAAGGCCCTGTGTACACCTTCCCGTACAAACAAAAGAAAACTTATCAGTTGGAATTTGATATATTAGTAGGCTGTCTGGGCAAAATTTCCCGCATAGCACACTGTAGGGCTTCGGCCCATCTCATTAGCCCAGTCGGAGCAGGACAGTAGGACGTTCAACTCCATTTCATTTTATTTCTTCTCATTTCTGATTCCATTTATAAACAACTGCTAAGCAGGGTCTTCATTTGGCCAGACTGGAAATGCTAATGTCAGGTCAAGACGATTTGTCTATCAGTCAATAAAGGTTTCAATAGCCAGGCCCCCGAGTTCACAAAGCATTCTCAGACATAAGTTAAGAATTTACTTAACTTTCAATCACTGTTAATGAGAAATATCTTTGATTCAGAAACACAAAACTTTGCACATAGTTTCTTATTGATGTATTTGATACATTAAAACAACAAAAGTTTTATAAAGGGCTATAGTTTAGTTAAAATAATAGGAACAATTTTGAGTAAAATCTTAACTTTGAGAACTTACGTTTATAATGGTTTTTTGATAAAAATAAATTAAACATTCATGATTCAAAATGTGCATAAAGCAAGATGATTTGTTTCGTTGGTTGAAACAGGAGGTTATAAACAGTACATACCTTTGTTTTGTGTTAGCTTCTAGTTTATTTGGTTTATTGGTTGAAACAGGAGGTTATAAACAGTACATACCTTTGTTTTGTATTAGCTTCTAGTTTATTTGTTTGATTGGTTGAAAGAGGAGATTATAAACAGTACATACCTTTGTTTTGTGTTAGCTTCCAGTTTATTTGGTTTATTGGTTGAAAGAGGAGATTATAAACAGTACATACCTTTGTTTTGTGTTAGCTTCCAGTTTATTTGGTTTATTTAACGGAGCACTAAATAGACGATGATCTCGATATGTCAGCGTTGTCGCGTTCGGTGGATTCCATTGATGTATAGGATTTTCTGATGGATTCTGTAGATGTTCGTCGTCTTCACAGAATGATGATAATAACGCTATTCCTATAATAAACAGAAACGTATTCAGGGTCTTGTCACACTAGATGCAACGAAGTCATCATCATTTGCTCTAATATCATTGTCAATAAATTCCTTTTTTTTTGCTCTATCCCAAATGATAGCCTTTAACTAAAACTTCAAAGATATTAAAATTCTCTATCTGTTTAAAATACAGATCTATATATCGTTTTGTATTTTTATTTATACTTTTGATGGCCTCTACTACACGAAGATCTGATCAGTTGTAGTGGAAGGTGGCGTCACAGGTCATACAAGCGGCTTTTGACCCTATGACGTCAGACAATTGATTAACCAATCAGCGTTGATGTTTCTAGTGGGTTACCCATAGTTCTGTTCACCTCATGCCAAAAGCTCGCCGTAACAGACTGTTTCATTGGTTAATCCCTAACATCATCCAGAATGAGGGTTATATAACAACTCTTCCAGATCCTAGTTTAGTAAAGACAAGTAAAAAGAAATTTTGAACTATATATAAAGAATGAAACGAAATAGGATCTGTGTTTTAATCAGATTGCAAAATTCTCATACCTTTGGTCAAACAAACTAAAAATTGTCCAAAAAGTATTTATCGGGTGGTTATTTTCAAAAAGTATGGCAAATTTGGTAAAAATGGAAAGTATAGATGCCCAGTCTTCTTAGAAAATACTGGATTATCTGAAAAAGTCCCACGGGGCAAGCACTGGGCAAAAATGTCAGGGTATCACTAACTGGCAACCCGACAATGTCTGCCAGCTTATTGTGTGCTAGCTTGACTGAGAGAGCCATTGTTATTTTTTTGCTGAAATGGTTAGGTGGTTTGGGGAACATTGAGCGGTGTCAACGTTGACAAAAAATATTTAAGAATTTACTTAGTCCTCAATATGTATGGTAAATGGACAGTAAGTAATGAAAAATAAATTCTGAAAAATGGACCCTCACTTACTCAACGAAGTTAGGTGACAAATATGGCATCAAACAATAGTTTATTTATAGCTTGTGCTATATTCCAGCGAATACAAAGTTTTGAGAGGGATTTGAAGCAAGTTTTTGATAGATTAATTAGTTTGAATAAGATTTTAGTCCAAATATATCATCAAATCACACAGTTTGTACGCGGGAAAGTATCTTTAAGAATGGTTTAAACTAAGAAGACCCTTGAACAGGTAGCAATATTTTAACATCGACTTTGGCAACTGCGAAATATAACCCTCTTCAGATAGAAGAAGCAAAATTTTGGAGGAAATAATCCTGTAAATAATCGCCAAATAGTACACATTTTTGTTAAAAAAGACAGAATCTTAGTACATACCTTTTTGTTCCATCCTATTGAAGCGTTTAATATACTGATCTAATAATAGATTATAATACCGGGGCTGTTCAAATAGACGGAGGTATTTATGTGTGGTAGGGGTGGGGAATACTCGCTGAAATCCTCCTTTACGACTATCTTCATCTATACTTGATGTTAACATTCTCATGTCATCAGGTGTTATAATATCTAACACTGTCTGCAGCGCTTGCTGAAAGTAAAAGTAGAAAACTATAATATCTAACACTGTCTAACAGTGCTTGCTGAAAGTAAAAGTAGAAAATTTAGAATATCTAACACTGCTCAGATAGGACAAAAAAAAAACAAACCTGGAGGTGCCGTGTACACACTGTCTCGCATGGAAAAGAACCCTTGACAATTGGAATTCGATATAAGAGTAGACTGTATCGCCGCTGTCCAGACAAAATTTTCTCTATAGCACATTTGCATGGCGTATGCCGTCTTCATAAGCCCAGTTGGTGCAGAAAAATAGGTTGTCAAACCCCTTTTCATTTCATTTGATTTCAGGAATAATGACAGATTTATCTTATTTATTACAGTTATGTTGACTGGTTAAATTCTATTTATAAAGTATCAGCATCTCCAAAAATAATCTCCATATTTTACACCAGGTTTCCTCATAGTTGAACAGATTAAGTTGTGCTCATGTTTTGAGGTCAAGACCTACTTTTTTAAGCAAACAAATTATTTTCTCTTATTTAATATTACCTCATCTTGACTGCGCTGACAATAGTAAGCATGTTTAGCTCGTTCATCAGATGAAAATATAGATGTAAATAAGCGTTTATCCATACAATAATTTGTTGATGGCACATGGGAACTGCAAATAAAAAATTTCAGATGAGAAAAATCATCCTAACATATTCCAAGAATTCTGAATCCATACCAAGATGTTAAATTGCGCCAAATATATTTTAACCATATCACCGATATAATAATGTTTATTTTTGTGCAGAAAACCATTTGGTATGACATTTTTATTACATGAACTCTCTTGAATACAGGAACAAATATTAATACAAAATTTATTCACAAGATGAGCCTTATAATCAACTATCTAGAGCATCGGATGGTTGTGATTTTGAACGGATCGAAGCACGATTGCTATTTAATAATTTAATTAAATAAGCGGTTGCCATGCAAGATACACCTACATTTTGAAAGATGGACAGAGAACAAGCTAAAAAAAAAGTGATTTTTCGTACAATCAAAGGTTATAATCCAGGATTTTATGAGCTGACATGTGTCAATATCGAAAGGAACTGAGATCTTTGGCATATAAACCTATATTTCAAGTTTCAAGGGTCCACAAGCTAAAAATACGATTTTTCGTACAAACAGGGGTCATAATCCAGGAAGTTAAGCCAATATCGAAAGGAACCAAGATCTTTGGGATATAAATCTATATTTCAAGTTCAGTCAAAATCGGATCAGAATTGTGACCTCTAGAGACTCCACAAGCGAAAATGTAAAATCTAAAAATCAGAAGTCATAATCCAGGAAGTTACGCCAATATCAAAAAAATATAAACCTATATTTCAAGTTTCGTCAAAATCAGATAAAAATTGTGACCTGTAGAGTGTCCACAAACAAATTGTGGACAGACGGACAAGGCCGACAACAGAATACATCCACATGAAATATGGGTGTATAAAAATGGATAATTGAGACTTTGTTTATTATCGAAACAATGGTAGCAATATTCTTTAAGTGGCATTTCGTAACTGGGCAGATAAATAAACTATAAACATACTTATTGAAGGAAGCTACTGATTTATTGGTAGCAATGAAAATGGAGACTACGCTTTTCTCCAAACATTGATATCTTCGCTCAGAATGAAGTAATTATCAATAAATTCTGTCAGCTCTTTATCTAAATCTTACATAATGCATCTTTAATACACACATGTGATATTTTGATGGGATTTATTTGTCTGACTGTAAAAGTTGTACCTGAAATCTGTTATCTGTGTGGATGATGAACTATACGCAACATCTTGTTTATCTGGTACCAGAAATCCCGCGATATTAAACAAATCTTTAATCATCTGACCCTTGATATTTACATCTAACTGAGAATTGGAATGAAGACTGAAATATAAAATACAAATAATATATGACTGTTCTATCCCTTGCAAATTATAACATTGTGAAAGTTAAAAGATGATTCAATTTCATTCAGTTTTTACAAAGATATGAGAGAAAGAGAGAGAGAAATGGTATTTAACGTCCACTCAACACAAACTAGGTCATTTTGGGATTGACATTTGGTTCAATTTTATTTCAATAATTTGCTTGTGCATAGGGGTCTTTAGAAGTGGGAGGAAACCAAAGGACCCGGAGAAAACACTGAGGTTGGACAGATGACGCTACTCCATGTCACGTACATCGAAACTATGCATCTTGACTCAATGACAGACCTTACGATCCAATGCACACACATTAACCATACAGCCATCCAATCCCAATGACCATGCCTTTACTGTTCCCTGGGCAGCTAACCTGGTGGTCCTGTGTTTGATCCTGGTGTTATAGTATTATAGAGGGTGAGACATCATAATCAATCAACACATTTATAAATACCTAGGTGAAATATTCACTTCTATAATCCATGGTTTTAAAGCTTCATCTAACATCACATCAAAACCAAACAACTCATGTACAGAGTAACGACTTTTCACATTAGACTTTATCATACTGTTTATAGAACTATCGGCACTGAAAGTCCAAAATAAAAACTTAAAGCCATACAGTTTATAGAACTATTGGCATTGCTAGTCAAAAATAAAAAACATAGTCATACAGTTTATAGAACTATTGGCATTGATAGTCAAAAATAAAAACTTAATAGTCATTCTGTATATAGGACTCAATCATACCGTTCATTCAACTATCAGAAGAAAAGTAAAAAATTGGACATAATGATACTTTTAAATGGCAAACGTTCTAATCTAGTTAAAATCTTGAGTATCCGATGCCATCAAGAGTTGATTATGGTTGGATAAGTTAATTAATGTCTAATTAATAGTTTGTATAACATTTCAGGCCTAAAGAAAGACCTGCAATAGACAGATTTAGCTCTAGCATAATGCATGTTTAATCATAGTTATTATAGGACTGGAGCTAAAAAAAAAAGCATTTTTCATTCATACACAAAAGGATTTATTTGCATGTTATTAAGCTGACAAGTACAGATGTTGTAGACTTTTTTAATATTGAATATCTGGCTGGACTTTATTAATACTGAACTTGGGTGGACTTTATTTACAGACAGCTTTCTTATGTTATGTACTGGTATGTAGAGAAAATACAAACCATATGATAGTCTTGATAACCAAGTCTTTAATAGTATCCCATATAGCAGTTGTATTTATACCCTGTTTCTTCATATAACTCCACAATGATTTCAAACTCCTGTAAATAAACCATTGACACATACATAATAATAACAAAACCTGTAGTTATCCATATATCTAATTTACGTAAATAAATCATAGACTTAAATTACATTATATAAAGGTAAGACGCTGGCCTAGCCTGGAGGTCGCATGTTCGATCCCTGCATTGGCCGAGAAAGTTTGTTGGGATTTTCCGACGTGGTTCCCCCTTGTCAGTTGTCTAGTTGTTCAGATGGCACGTAAAACAGAGGTCATGACTACACATTGGTATGCATGTAAAAGATCCCTTGGCAGATGGAATTCAATATAAGAGTAGACCGTAGTGCCGTTGTCCGGGCAAAATTTCTCTCATAGCACACTGTACGGCGTATGCCCTTCTTCATTAGCCCAGTCGGAGCAGAACAGTCGGACGTTCAACACCATTACATTTCATTTCATTATATAAAACCTACAAAAATTTATGTGATTAATTCTGTTATCTTGGCGATGCTCGATTGTAAATCTGGAATGTCCTGAAATGACAGAAATGCAATCAATTGGCACGGAATGTAGTCGTGTAACAGTTTTGTCAGTCCTGAAAACGGAGGTGGTGTGAGTAGAATCAGACGTAATAAACACAACAAATGTTTCAGCTGTCATGGTTGGTTGAAAGATTTTCTTATGCAGTTGGCACATACATTGTAGCCCAAAATCTCCCTTTTCACACGACTGTCACTATAGTGGGAATTCAATTCTAATATGTTCAATCAAGTATCCCCTTAAGTATTCTGCAGTTGGAACTGGACTAACAAATCTTTCATATATTCTTTCTACTTACAGAATTTCTATTTCTGGTATTTTGAATATATTTTCAAATCAATAATAAGTCTATACATTTAGGAACTTGACTGTCAAATAAATATGTCTTTATAACGGTATTAGGATGTCCCAGAGATCCATCCCGGTGTTGGATGAGAAAGTTCCTCGTCTGGCAAGTAACGACGTCTAGTTGTTTGGATGGTATGAAAAAATAAAAGTCCAGTGTACGCATTTGTGTGCACATAAAACAACCTTAACAAAATTTCCCTCATAGCACACTTTATGGCTTATTTGTCCATCCTCATTAGCCTAGTTGGTGCAGCAAATTAGGATGTATGTTAATGTATATATTTACTCACCATTTATGTCCTTGACAGACAGAATCATCGGTATTACTCTGATAATCTGAATTACGTTTATTTATACTGTAGTTGGTTAGATGCATGTATTTATTGTTCAATGATTTCATTGATGACGAATACCTAAAATAATATCAAATATTACATAATAAAGGAAGTAAAGATACATTATGTAAAATTAAGACAAAGAGCTGACAGTTCTGGCTATAATAGTTTAAAAATAGATAATGAAAAATGATCTACTGGAAATTTCATTCAAATTACTTTATTCTGAGTGAAATTATTATACAGCAAATGTGTTCTAATCCATTCATTATCACGGCCACCCATGGGGTTGTCATGTGAATAAATGTCTAATTAATAACTTATATAAGATTTCATGTCAAAAATAAGACCTGCAATAGGCGGATTTAGCTCTTACATAATGCATCTTAAAACACCTTGTACCCGGTGCATGATTTTTGTTTGGGATAAAAAAAAAGGCCCATGGCCTGAAACTGTAATTAATACTTTAATTTCTTCATTTTTATTTATTTTGTAAGACTTCTATTGTAATTTTGAATGTAAAATCTTACTTGCATGAAGCGAATCTAGCGAGTCCATCTTCATAGATATAAATACGTAAAGGATCATAACAGCTGACATAAACATAAATCCTCATATCAAATTTACTGTCATTTATCAAATATGGACGAGATAAATATCTGCAAGCAGAAAACATTTTAATCTTGAGATTGCGAAAATCAAGCATGCTCCATTATTTTCTCAGGAAGAGACACTCATTCATTCCAACTTAACATGATGTAACAGAGCTAAAATTGAAAGAAGACTAACAATAAATTATTTGACAAAATCCAAGGATATATATTTAAATAGAGATTTTAAGGATTTTATCTGAATGAAGATTGATCTAACCTTTGAACTATGACAGGTCGTCGTCGTGGTATTTGGTTCCATTTATGAATAACTTTGATTCCAATACCTCTAGCAGAAGCAGGCTTAAAAAAAGAAAAAAAAAAGAAGTCAGAATCTGAATTGTAAAATCTGGTTTCAGATATAAATCTAATACCAATCTAATTTTGTTGTTTATTGGTTCTTAAAATACTTTGAGGATCAGGATAAACGGATAAATGTTTATTTCTGTCATCAGAAATGGATTATATTAAGATCTGGACATTTTTCTTATATTTTGTTCACACTGGGGTTCATGTGACACATTTTAGTGCCACGAACGGTTCAATCCGTTTCATCATTATGCAGGAATTCTAATGCTGTCGTTGTGTAAATTCTTTTCGGTAATATCAATGTGAATGCAGTTTGAGTGGCCCTTCAAAAGTGAAAACTTATTATTTACCTATTTATAACTGCTCACATAAATATTTAAATATTAGAATTCAAATAGTTCTCAAGGCTATTCGATATGTTATTCAATGTCAATTAAAAGTAATGGAATTTGATCTTGTTCTCTTAGCCCATATGAAATATTTTTTTCATTGATTCCATGAAATCAGCTAATGTTCCAAAAGAAACATACAGATAAAGGAAAATATACTGAATTGAAAGATTAATAGTTTCCAGAAATATGAAATAGCATGGAAAGCACTCCATAAAAAAATTATTTTCACTGAATCGAATATTCCAATACTAACACTTGATTTGACCACTGCTATTTCTACATATGTAATGGGGTTTAAAGGCAATTATATGACGTCAAAGAGAAAATTGTCCATATCTACATATGTAATGGGCGTTAACTAGAGGTTTAAAGGAAATTATACGACGTCAAAGAGAAAATTGTCCATTTCTACATATGTAATGGGCGTTAACTAGAGGTTTAAAGGAAATTATACGACGTCAAAGAGAAAATTGTTCAACCAGCATGACTATTGCTACATTTCAAATATCAGTTTACCATCTACAATAGTTTAATGCCACCGAAAGTTCTTGCTCTATTAGTAAGTGCAGGACGACAGCACTACACACAAACAAAACCGATAAAACAAAACCTGCAGACAAGACTCAAACTACACAGACACTGCAAGCAATAAACAACAAATATCAAAACAAGCGAAAAGATCCAGGAGCAACCGGTCTATCTAGAATAGTATACTAACCGGTTTAATAATCCACTTCTGTTTATTGCCACCATCTTCCCAAGCTCTCTTTAAAAGTTTTAGATCTTGTGGTAGAACATATGTCTGTGGGAAAAATCCAAACTCACGTTTTCCAAAGTGAACCTGCATCCTTGCTAAGTTTCTCCATAATCGATCTTTACGACCAATTTGGAAAGTTCCAGGAAAATGATTTAACTACAAAAAAAAAGAAAAAGAAAATTGATTGTCTGCAAAAAACATTAACTATATTTGTAAACAGATTTAGAAATGAAAAGTACTAACCGGGAGAGAGAAATGGGGTTTAATGTCCACTCAACAAAAACTAGGTCACTTCGTGACTAACATATGGTACACTTTTATTTTAATAATTTGCTTCTGCACAGGAGTCTTTATAAGTGGGAAGAAGGCAGAAGACTTGGATAAGATCCAGAAGGTTAGGAAGGTGATCCTACTCCTTGTCATGTACAAGTGTAGGATTGAAACCATGCCACTTGACTCGATGACAGACCTTATGATTTAAACAGTAGGAAGTTAAACCCCATTTCATTTCATTTCTTATGATATAAAGCGCACTCGTTTGACCGTTCGCCCCCCCCCCCCCCCAATCAACCCACTAACTTTACAACAGAACCCAATGGAATGAAAGTGAACTTACCTTCTGATATTCTTTTATAGCTTTAAAACCCTGTGATTTCATGTGTTTACCAAAACATCCCAACCAATCATGATTCTCTGAGAATAGATGCAAGGATATATTTCATTAGGCCAAACCCATTCAATGTATCTTGATAAATAAAAAAGCCCTAAAAGTCTCATGAAAAATATCTTATTTAGAATTTTAAAACTTCTGGAAGTAAAAGCTTTTCAGAAGAGTAACTAAGTATTTTTTGGTTTTTAAACTATCATTGTTTACCCAAGATATAGAACATAAAATTTTTAATGTGTTCTTGAAGAACAAAACTTTAAATTATTGTGGCCTTAAATTACTGTGATCTAAATCATTGATTGAAAAATATACCCAAACTACCAGAGGGTCTATTCACGAAAATTTAAACTAAAATATTTTAATAATGCAGCATATTCATTGGCTAAGAGCTCAAATTTGCACTAGGATTTTAACCATCAACCAATGAAAAGGCAGCATCCTTAAAATATTTAGTTTAATTTTTCAAGAATAAGGCCTAAGGAATAATATATTTCTTACCAAAATCTATGTTGACACTGTACAATCTCATGACATTTAAGTAATCTTTTAGTCAAATAAGGCTAATTCTGATCAAGTAAAGTAACTACTATAATTTAAGAACTTACTTTTAGAAATTCGAAATCCGACTCTAGCTAAAGCTGATTTGACTATGTTAGGTGTGATGGGACTCATTCTCCATTTTAATAATTTACGTATTTCCCATGGCAACTGTTCCACTGAAGAAATAAAAAAAAATTATCATTAATACTATATTTGTTGGTGATAAAGAAGGCAGTGTAAAATTGGTAGCAAACAATGTAAATTAAAATGTCAAGACATCTTTTTCTCGTTGCCAGACACTCCCCGTCCAGAACCACTGAAATCAGACTGTAACATCCTGAGGAACCTTTGCATTCAACATCGGGATCGAACCCACAACCTCTGGGTTAGCGAGCCAGTGCCTTACTCACTGAAAAACCTAGTCACATATAAACAAATTCTTACCCTTCTCATTTTCAGCTATAAAGTTTATAGTTGGAGGTATATTTGGAAATAGACTAGGACGAAGACCTGACTGTACAGTTGTATCACTAGTACTGGAATATGGTTTGACTTTTGCATCAGTTTTGACGCTACGAGTAGAGACGGCTGTTGAAGGACGTCTAACTTTAACGGTAGATATTGTACGAGTAGGTACCGATTGACGAGACAGACTACTAGTGATCGAGTAACCATCAGATTCACCTGAAATATTAAATTAATTAACAACAGTCAAAATAATTCATATCTTTACCTCACAAAACCAGTTTTTCAAACAATATCCTAATTTATAGATCAGTTATCAAATGTAAGACTATAAATTTATCCATGTTTTAAGGTTGAATTCTTTTTAAAAAAGAGAGAGAGAGAGAGAGAGAGAGAGAGAGGGTTTAACATCGACTCAACACAAACTAGGTCATTTCAGGACTAACACATGGTTCAATTTTATTTTAATAATTTGCATGTGCGTAGGCCTCTTTAGCAGTGGGAGGAAACGGGATGAACCAGGGAAAACCCATGAGGTTGGACAGGCGACCTTACTCCTTGTCACGTACAACCGGGGAAACAAAACCACGCTAGTTGACTCAATGACCGACCTTATGATACAGCGCGCAAGTGCTAACCATTCGGTCATCCAACCCTCCCTTCCATAAAACATGACTCAACTCACTGATCTGAAACTATGTGGAAAGAGATGAGAGTATTTTACCTTCTTCATCTGATTCTACACAGTCATCATCTAATCCATCAATACCATCATCTTCATCATCCAGATCATCATCTTCACAGCTGGCTTCACCATCTCCAGGCAATCTCTCTCTATAATATTATAATATACAAACAAATAATGCTACAATGACAAACACGATCAATGCATATATTCAATAATGGGGGGGGGGGGTGAGAGAGAGGGGTTCATAATGCGATGAATTTCATATTCTGATTTAATTTCAAACAATATTAATAATATTATTATTCATAGCAAGGAAATATCAATGAATGACAAATTAAATTGTGACAGTCTCATGGCTAATATTACTAGTCATATTATAAATAACAAACAAGACTTAGTTTATCAAATATTGCCTTCACGTGTACTGTATATTCTATACTCACTACTCAGCACAGATTTGCTTTATATATTTGCATATTTTTCGAAAGATGTAATTTAGTACATTGGATGGGAAGTCAATTTAAGTAGTAGTTATAAGCACACTTTCCGAGGTGTATCGGTGAATATCAGGACAGTTTTGGTCGAGGGGCCCAGCCGAGGAGGCTCCCGACCAAAACTGTCCTAATATTCACCGATACACCGAGGAAAGGTGCTAATAAGTTACTTACATCACATTTCTATCGAGTCGTTTCAACCGAAAAGTGACAAATACTTTCTGCTCTTTCATTATTTATCCCTTTCTGAGCCTCACGTTACATTTCATGGTAGAATGATTTCGCAGTGGAGAGACGACCTGAGTAGTATTTACACGTGCGTCTTGCTATGATACTCTGAGCGTAAAACAATCACGTGTTTGTTTAGACCACATTGTCAAAACAACTTGTCTATGGCGTAGAGGACTGCGATATTATTAAATGTAGTGTAAAGGAAATGCGAAACGTGGGTCATTCCTGGTGAAAGTATGCATCGGCGGATGGTTCTTCCGTTGAAATTTATTTGTAATAAAGTTTATGACTTTCTAGGCGTTTTTTTCATCCTGCTTATTTTCAATGCCAGCAAGAGAACTGCGCCTTCTATCATCACAATTAATTAAAATAATTATTCAATATTGTAATTTATATATTTTGCATATTAATATAAATCAAACCAAATTATGAAATAGATGCCAATTGATATGTATAATAATTGATTTTTGTAATATGTTGTTATGTTAATTTAATGTCATTGTATATGTTTTTTAACTGCCATGTAGTTCCCCCCATTTTGTTTTGTTACTATGATTTTGACTAGTTGTTTCATGTACATTGTTCAGAACCATCGTTATCAATTGCGATCTGGGTCGGAGGTTAAACGTGTTAAACCTGGTATCTAAAACCGTATAAAAGTGGTATAAAAGTATCTGTGTATCACAAATGAACAGTACTCTTTCTGATACACGGATTCTTTTATGCATGTATAGCAATTAAACAGGACAATTTTATCAAAGGTTGCCAGTGGCAACGAGTAGAAGTGGGATGTAATTATGAATACATGTACAATTTTTTTACAAATAAAGCCTGTCAGTTTTTGGTTTATTATCTTTACAACTCAGTTGAGCAACAAATAAAATGAAATGGCGTCTAACGTCCTACTGTTCTGCTCCTATACTGGGCTAATGAAGATGGGCATACACTATACAGTGTGCTATGAGGGAAATTTTGCCCGGGTAGCGGCACTATCGCCTACTCTTATATCGAATTCCAACAGCCAAGGTATCTTTTACATGCATTTCAATGTATACACGGGACCTCGGGTTTTTCATATCATCCGAAGGACTAGACAGCTGTCCTTGTCAGGCCCTCTGTCCTGCATCACTGACAAGGGGGAACCACGCCGGAAAATCTGGATGAACTTTCTCGGCCAATGCAGGTATCGAACACCCAACCTCCACAGTTGAGCAACAAAGTGGGCCACATATCTCTCATAAAATTTTAGACTGAAATTCATTGGACTGTCCTGCATGCAACCATACTTGGTGACAATCTAATACTGAATTTAACAACAATCTCGTAGTACATGTAGTTGATGGCAAGGACAAAATCATGTATAGCAACGGATGCACATTGTCATGTAACTCACACAATACTTAGACAAGTTACCTACCCTGATGGGGTGTAGTCTTCAGATTCATCATCTTCTTCCATCTCATCAATATCCTCATCAATATTTGGTTTCTCCATTCTTTTCTCCTTCGTAAAGCAAAGTGATCCTTCAGCTTTCGGTCTCTGTTCATGAATTCGTTCCTCGGCTTTTGAACCCTTTTTATAATAGACTGTTCCAGAGTTCAATGGTTGTTTAATCAAGGTGTGAGAGTTTATTTCGGTGTTAAGGGTGGTTGTGGCAGTTAAGCTTCTGGTCTTGTTAATAGGAATATTATGTAAAGAGTTGGTGCTACCAAAATTTTGTCCGCTTGTGGAATTATTTGGTCTAGTGCTGGTGTATTCCAAGATGGCAGCAGGATTTAGAGAATGGGAATAAAGGTTACTGACTTCATCATAAGGCTTAGTTGGAGTATAATTTAAGTTTCTGACTCGGGAAAGCGTTTCGAAGGATGTGGGTGTTTTGTTAGAAGGTGGCCGTGAATGTTTTTGAGGTGATGTAGGTGGCTTGGGTTGAACTTTTATTTCTGAGGTTGCTTGAGATAATGCTGCTTTGTAAGTTATGGATTTTTTATCCAATTTTTCTCGGAAGCTGTTTTTACCACTCACAGCTGGTTCGTCGCCTGTTGAAATCGGTTCAACCTTTTGTGCATCAGCTATCTTACATCTGAATTTTTTGGCAGACTGAACTCGTTGAAGATGTGATTCTCGGTGAACAGCGCTAGATGGTCTCATGAACGTGTTATGTTGTATGGGAGCAGCTTGTTCTGTGACACTGATATGCGCCTCACGTACAATGCCACCATTAGGCAGGTTGTTCATCATGGATGTGCTTGGACTCTTTTTGATTCTACTATGCGTATGAACTGTTTGAACATCTTTGGCACTAAGTGGTCTAGAATAAGGATTTGATGATCCTGGTTTCATAGGAGTCAAAACAGTATTTGGTTTTGTGGAATTTGGAGAAGATTTAATAGAATAGACGTGTCTTCCTGGAGAGACTCCACGTCTATATATGGGGTCGGCAGCTGGCGTGGGGTCGCCATTAATAGAAACAGGTGATTGTTGGGAATCTTGCTGAACAGAAGTGGCATCATTATGGTTGCTAAGCTGAACAGGTTTGGAGATCTCAGTGTTGTATTTTAAAATGGGTTTTTGTGTTTGTTGACGTCGCGGTAATTGTTTTTTGACTGACAGATCGTCTAAGCTGTGTGTCAGATGGTCTAGATCTGTATTCATGATAGACGCAAGGCTTTGGCAATTTAACCTGTATCCATTTTTCTGGGCTTAACTATGACTGTTTAAACATCTGAAATATAGAAATAATGTAAAACTGAAGAAAATACATAGAAATAATATTTATTGTTTGATGCTTTTGCACATAGACCTGTTAAAGCGAGAATTTCAAATTTTCTAAGAAAGCCAAAACATAATTATTTCTATGTCTTTTGCTCAGTAGGTTATCAAATCACTATTATACGATCATGGGCATTATTTCCCACCCTTAAAAATCTATGACACAGGAAATAACAACACAATTACCTCCCCTGTTTTGCTATTGACAACATGGGGCAGCCATTTTCCAACGTTAGAATTTGAAGTTAAAAATGATATTTTTGCCAATTTCTCAGCTGGCAATAGCAAATTATAGGATTAATAGGATTATTCTTTAACAAGGTAGGACTGTTTATGGATACCATCTATTTTAAGGCTTTATTTTAATACATTTTAAAAATATGAAATGAAATGAAATGGAGTTTTTAACGTCCTACTGTTCTGCTCCTAACCTGGGCTAATGAAGACGGGCATACGCCATACAGTATGGTATGAGGGAAATTTTGCCCGGACAGCGGCACTACGGCCTACTCTTATATCGAATTCCAACTGCCAAGGGATCTTTTACGTGCACGCCAATGTGTACACGGGACCTCGGTTTTTCGTCCCATCTGAACGACTAGACAGCTTTCCTTGTCAGCCCCTCCGTCCTGCATCACTGACAAGGGAGAACCACGCCGGAAAATCTGGATGAACTTTCTCGGCCAATGCGGTGATCGAACACCCGACCTCCAGGCTAGCGAGCTAGCGTCTTACCCACTTAGCCATGTGATCCCCTTTAAAAATATGACTTGAAAATTTGCAATTGCAACTTTAATGTATTCAATTAGACAGCAAGTTGAGCAAGGTAAAATTGGAAAATTATTGATTAACTTCAGAGAAATTTGTCCATGTGTGCAGATTCGAACTATTATAGCCTACTAGATTTTTGGTTTATGCTATGCAGTATTGTTTGCGAATCAATTTGTTACTGAATAACGGATGCTAAATCATTAACTAGACATCGCTGATTTGAATCCCATACAAGATTATCGATATCATTGCATCTACAACCATCGACCAGTACCGTAAAGAAAGACTAGGCCTTTACTAGGCTACTATGTATAATATATATATAAATGAAACTAATAATAGTAGTAGACCAAACTTCTGCATTTATAATCTTTCTAGTGTAGGCAAAAATTTAATTGTAGAGTTTGCCCTGTAACAAATCAAAATCACACATCTGAGCAATAGCCTACAATTCTATATTGACCGTACTTAACTGATTTATTAGTATTTTATTTGGAGGTTTAGCCATAGGCCTAAATCGGAAAATTGACTTTATAGGCTATCATCCTTCAACGTGGACATAATACTTACAATAAGTTATATGGTAATTAAGCAAACATCGATTTCTTGTGTGCCATTCAATGACTTAAAACACCAGCTGCTGCCAAAATAACTTCTGGTCGGCCATGATGTAAACAACAGCCATGATGCTAAGGAACCCAGCGCACTCGTAACCAAAATACCCAATGAAATAGTCCGTTATAACTAATGAACCAATCAGAGCCATCGCATTATATTGTTCGTGGATATCCAGGCGCTAATCTGTCCCCAACTCCCCATACCTCTCTCGGCGAGAGAGTCGCCTGGATTCGGAAACAGTAACCTACAACAAATCAAATAAACATGAAATTTTTCTGATTGTAAATAGCCATAACACAATCTATTCAAAATAACTATTGTAATGTTGACAATTATGTACCAAAGTAAACAACTAAGGGCAAGTACTTGTTCTTGGCTTGTACATAGTGGAGACGGAATTTTAATCTCGGAAGTGATGAGTTACTTCCCTTGATATGTATTTTTAGCCATGATGGCCATATCTTTAAAATTGTAAACAAAATGATTTCCGCGTTTTTGTCAAAATAGAAATAATTTACATTATTGTAAGTATCTATTAGTGGTTTTAAATAGTCTTGGGGTTTATTTACGTCACAGAAACACGAGCTTGTTCAAAAGTCGTGTAGTATTTAAGTTCTTAACTTACTATGTTATAGTAAGCATGATTAAATGGCAAATATTTTAAGACCTTCTTAAAATAATTATCAAATGTGTTCACCTAGGTTAAAGGAGCTAAATGGCTAATATTTGGGACCTAGAAATTGTCACAAATGGGTAGCAACACATATAAAATTATAATATGATATAAACTGATTTACATTCAAAAGTTTCTGCTTTTACTATACTTTCTAATCAGTTATACGCCAGCAGTCTCAATCGAATGGCATTCTCTAGCGTCTGGTTATATCCAGTCTACACCGATATTATTTATTGTGCATGCTCTCCAGATAAGAATATGGCGTCACAGTTTGTCATGACCTGTGGAATATGTTTAGCTCTGTTCTTCAAGTCCCTTGTTACAAATGGCACTGAAACGCATTATGGTACACGATTCTGTACCAATGGTAAAATGTTTATTTTGTCTTATAATATAACTTCTATATTGGATATCAGAAGCCTGTCTTTTCCCGGTAAGATCACAACACCAGTGTTGAATTAAACGGATAAATAAGATTATTTTCAATGTTGAAGACTTTGGGTGATATTGAGTTAGAGACTTGAAATTGGTCAATCCCAGTTTTAGTTTCTATCGATCTCAAACCACAATCCTTATGTGTCTGCTCAGTGATGACAAGACACCATAATCATACCAACTCAGTCTGTGGATACAAGATTTCCAAGACTTTGAATTACATGTTGAATGAGCAATGAATATAAATAATATTTTGTAGTAGTAGGCAAAATAGTGATTTGTAATCCATGCTAGAGATTGTGGACCTGTGTTTGCTCAGTTACATGATTCTGAATAATTGGAAATATCACGCAAATGATCCTTTTTAAAAGATTTCTAATTTTGTATTTAAATTTATCTTTTCAGATATCCATAGAAACCCTGTGATGGAACTGGTTGCAAAACATACACCGTTAGTCTTAATAAATCCTGAAAAATAATTATTCTAAAGTTGCTAAACAGATTTCATTTTGTTTAAGTGTTTAAAAAAGACAAGATCTATGGAGGTTGTAATCAGATCATACGATGATGTTAGTTACTACGTAGGTGAAGCACGTAGAAGATGGGTGTACGGAAATCTAAATATTCATTGTCAAAAAATAACTTTTATAGAAGTTTGCAAGAATCCTTCAGATCAAATAATCGATGTCTTAATTCCATTTCAAAGTGTTGAAAAAATTTACAAAGCCACAACTACTTTAATTTACAGAGCCGTGGTTGTAACATTAAAAACTGGCAAAACATTTTGGTTTTCCTCCTTCAAAGATCATGAAAGTGTTTTTAAGCTCTTAAATTATTTCCATAAAAATTTAGTATTAGATCGAGAAAAGAGGGCAATAACTGGTAGTGATGTAGGCATTTCAAAAAGAACAGAAATGGGGACTAAACTTTTGAATATCACCCATGATTCCATGGCAACTCTTTCAGGGGCTGCGGTCAGTCTTAACGAGCAAGGTGAAAAAATTGGCAATTCGGCAATTAGAATGTTGGATATTCACAATGATCTTGACATTGCCCAACACATAACTTCTGGTTTAGAAAAATGGGTTGGGCGATGGAGTCTACCAAAAGAATACAAGGTTATCAAGCCAGTTGTTATTAAAGGAAATGACATACCAGAAATCTATGACTACGAAATCTTGTTCACTAAAATTGAGCCTGGAAAAATGTGTCAACAACAAGAAGGGGTTATCCAGGTGTCACAGGTTAAACTCAGTGTTTTAGACCTTAAACAGAAGGTGTTGCACCAATTCGATTGGTCAGATGTTTCTACAGTTAGAGTGATCAGCCCTTGGGAAATGATGGTGATTAGAAACCAGATAGGGAAACCAGACATTTCTTATTCTTTTGTTTCATCAAGATTAGTTGACATTTTGAGCAAAATTGATGTATATGCAAAGCATAAAATGGATTACGAAAGCCCAAATTTATCTCCAACAAGCCCTGAATCTTCACAAATTCAAACAAAAAGCTTTCCTGTAGACACACATTTACAAAATAAATCTAAGCGCGAAAGAATCAGCATTCCAGATGATGATGCTGACATCACATTCGGATCGACATCAAGAGATCATACAATGAAAAGTCAGGATGAGGTTTATATGCAACAAGAAGTCGTATCTACTGCAGAAGTGGAAGAATTGTCTAGTAATTTGCAGAATCTAAAATCTATGATGCTAGCTGTTGGAGAAGAGACAGATATTCAGAATGAAAACTTGGACTCACTAACTGAATCTGTTGATCAAGCAAATATTAAACTACGAGATGTCAATAAAAGAATCAACAAACTGATGTAAATCAAAACAATTACTGATCTAATTAATTCTTTATTTCTCTTTGTTTTTTATATTTCTGATTTTTACATTACATGTACATATTAAGATCTACCAATCTGTTCCACAGAGCATTATGAAAGTCTTCTAATATCTCTGTAAATGATGACTACCTTCAACACCTGACGTCTCATTACGCGACGTCAATCATTGGCTCAATGGCGCATGCATTGTTTACAAAAGACGTTACTGGTTCAGGCAGAATGGTGTCTTTTACTCATTTTAATACCCATTTACACTAAATAAGAAATGATTTTTACCCACAAATATGTCAAACGTCTTTAATCATTTTTCTAATATACTATTCAAAAAAAGTAGGGGATATTTGATTTTTAAGTGTTATTAAAGTCACCTAATGAAACTGACGAAGAAACAAATGACAAAATGAAATGAAGTTCACATTCATCGATTTATTCCAAATGATCGTTAGACTAAGTAAGGCACAGACTGACCATTATAAGGGTAAAATGAAACCCGGGGTCAAACAGCAAAGTTACCACAGCATCACAACCAAGTCAGTAACGGGTAAATCCTCCTGTTTGCCAAACAAGCATTGATCCGACGTGGCATACTCCTAATGAGACGTCTAAGGTCATTTTGGTCCAGATTGTCCCATTCCTGTTGCAACGCAGCAGCAAGTTCTTGGACATTGGCAGGACGTTGTTGACGTTGACGTAAGCATCACCTGCATTCCATGCGGTAGCTATTGGTGCGTTTGGGCGTCACATGTAACTGGAAATGTTTCTTCTGTTAGGTTCTATAGTGACTTTTTTCGTAGTCATTTGCATATTTTAGTATTATGTGACTTTTTTTCGTAGTCATTTGCATATTTTAGTATTATGCCCCCAAAATCAAATATCCCCTACTTTTTTTGAATAGTATATATATATAAAAAAAATGTTTTATAATTTAATTTGTTGGAGGAAAAAAGTTAATATTTGTGGCTCATTAAGTCGCATCGATGTCATCCTTATCAGTAATTGTAGGGGCCTAACGAATATTCACTGCTGATCAGTGTGAAGATCTACATGTAAATATATTCAAAACAACTGGTGATAAACCGTTTGAGTTCCTAAATAGATCAATGGATGAAGTCTTTGTGTAATTGAAACAGACAGGTCTATTATTAGGTTATGTTAGTGAGATTTCTGTTGTGATGGGATTTTTATATTGTACACTGTACATCAATATTCAATAATAAAATCTAGCAGGTAAAATATAAAATACAGAATTAAAGGAAAGAAAAAGAATAGAGTATCATTGATTCCACAGTTCGTTTCTGTGCATTGGTTGTTCTGTGGTCGTATATTGCGGTCGCCCCCGTCCGTCCGTCCATCGTCCACAATTTCTTGTGAACACTCTACAGACTACATTTATCATCTGATTGTTTTGAAATTGATATATGTTGTTTGCATTAGTGAGATGAAGAAGCCTATTTAATTTCAATAACTACCGTTAATTTCTTCTGGAGTTATGGCTCTAACGACAAAAGTCATCAACCGATCTGTATGAAATTTATATGCATCATTTAAATTAGTAAAACAAAGAAGCCTATTGAATTTCAGCAATTTCTGTTAATTATATCTAGAGTTATTAGCCTTGTTTCACTTTGTTGAATGTTGTGAACACTCTAATGACAACGGTTATCATCCGATCTGTTTGAAATTGATATGCATCATTTAAATTAGTGAAACGAAGAATCCTATTGAATTTCAGCAATTTCCATTAATTACGCCGGGAGTTATGACCCTTGTTTCACTTTGTTGTACCTTGTGAATGCTCGTTAAACGACAAAAGTTATTATCTGATCTGTATAAAATTTAAATGTACCGTTTAAATTAGAAAAACGATCAAGCCTATTGAGTTTCAGCAAATTTCCGTTGATTACATCTATAGTTAAGGCCCTTGTTTAGCTTTGTTGAATTTTGTGAATGCTTGAACGACAAAAGTTATCACTTAATCTGTATGAAATTCATATGCATCATTGAAATTAGTGAAATGAAGAAGCCTATTAAAGGTCAGCAATTTCTGTCAATTACTTCTAGAGTTATGGCCCTTGTTTTACTTTGTTGAACCTTGTGAACGTTCGAACGACAAAAGTTATCATCCGATCTGTATGAAATTTATATGCATTATTTGAATTAGTAAAACGAAAAAGCCTATCGAATTTCAACAATTTCTGTAGATTACTTCCAAAGTTACGGCCCTTGTTTTAGTTTTTAGAACCTTGTGAACCCTCAAACGACGAAAATTATAATGTCATCTGTATGAAATTGTCTATTAAATTCCCCTAATTACCTACAAAAGAAAAAATATGCGACAACCCTTGTCAACTGCTCGGACGATTAAGCTGCTGTGGGCGTATGTTTTGTTGCCTGGCAACCTTCCTTTTTTTTGTCCACCGCCTTACAAAGAAAGCAGGGGACTATTAAAATAGGTTCGTCCGTCTGTCTGTACGTCCGTCCGTCCGTCTGTCTCTCCGTCACACTTTTTGGGACACAATAACTCTCTTTCTAATTGAGCTAGAATGTTCAAACTTGGTGTTATTAGGTCAATACCTTGATCGAGTTCGAAGATGAGCATTTTCTGCTTATAGTCCATGTGACAGAACTGGGATTTTGGAACATCATTACCAATTTGATGAATAAATTCAATCACGATTTTCAGTTAGCCTGGTGGCTGAAGTGTTGAAATTTGGTTGATGGACTTCCGGGCTACTTTGCTAAATTGCATTTTGGCGGCCATCTTTAAAAATGGCCGCCGTTATTTCATTGAAATTGAGTGCATCGGGGAAACCTTCATAACTCCTGAAAAGATGGACCTATGGATATGGAATGTGTCTCACAATGTTCACAAGAAACTGCTACTTCTGGTGCTATATGATAATCATATATTTTCCAAATCAACAGATTATTCTGGAAAAAGCAACCTTTTGGCATTTTTTCCCCAGGTTTTCATGATTTATTTTATAAGTTTACTACTAAATCATGTTCAGAGTAATTTTAGCCAAATTATGTGTGTGGTCTTCTTAATTTATTCAATTAGCATAAATAAATACGCCCAGTGGTCCTCCCTATACAGCTGCGGTTGCCGCAAAATCTACAAAAGTCTTAAGTAGACTGTCAAATTAAAATGTTGAACGTCGGCGAGGCAGGGCTCAAACTTAGTGAACTTTTAGCTAGTGTGTCGTCACAATCGAAACGATATTTGGGGATGGGTTGTTTCCGTGTCAAAATTTGTCCCTAAAGACAATTTTAAGATTATGTCACTTCTGTCACGCCATTTTCGGTTTGGGTTCTGTCCGATTTCCAAAATGGCCGCCATAATTTAACGAAAAACGAATTTCTAGTTAGGATGGGTGAGTATCATGCAAAGTAAGACTTGTGATATATCATGTATAGGGTTTTCGTAGCCACTGAATTTAAAATTGAATTATTTATTGGAATTTTCGATGAAACGGAAAGGTTTGTTCCGCACAGGTATTAGCTTAGGAGGGACAAATACAATTTGTAGAACCAGATATTTGATGTTAGTGAACCCATTTTTTCCAGGACACCTGTTTCACACAAAATCTTATCTATCCAGACGAACCTTCAGTATAATAATCTATCTGCATACAAAGTTTATGAAAATACACATTCAAGCAGCATTTAATATGGTCTACCACCTGTAGGCACTCCCTTCAACTTAAAAATAAATTGTTTATTGGAATTTTCGATTAAACGTAAACTTTCTTGTACCTGTAAAATACTCGACTGATATACCAGTTGTTAATTTGTAACATGTTTAACATCATATCTTTCCACGCGAATTAACAATAAATTGTTCATTCGATAAAACGGAAACATTTTTTATACTTGTAAAATAAATACCAATTGTTTATATGATACGTTGAAGTCTACCATGTAATACGGAAATTTGCAACACGTTTATAAGCACCATATCTTTCTACATGAACTAACAATAAATTGTTCATTGGATAAAAAGGAAACCTTTTTTTTTATATAACTGTAAAATAATATACGAATTATCGTTTTAACATCATATCTTTTGCCTCCCTTTTCAGGGATGGACACTCAAAAGGAGTATAGTAGTTTCGGGGGTCCCTAAACTAGTCAATGTTCTTGCGTAGTCATGAATTTATGTCGTTTTTGATGAATTATTAAGATATATGCATAAGCTAAAATCACCAGGATATACTCTAGAAAGTACCATTTAAATTACAGTCATTTTTTTTTCAAAAGAAATTTCGAGCCTGGTTGTAGAGAACCCTGTCGTTCATCTCACGGAGCAAAGGTAAGCCTGTCCTATCCTAGGTATATGTGTAATTTTATGTCAACTTCACAATTGTCAGTATAAATATAACATTTACTTGACAATTATCACAAATTTCATCTGGTCTTAAAACATTTTAATTGGATTTGTGTTCCTGTTGTTAAAAGCTTTCCAAATATGTATAGTTTGTTTAATAGGGAGGAACTTGTAGCGGAACTGTGTTTCTAAGCAAGCTAAAATTTTTGGCTGCAGGCCTACTAGACTAGACGACAAAAGTTGCCGGGCATAGAGGCGTTAATGTAAAAACGGACCACATTACCATTTCTGAACGAATAAGAGATCTTAAATTCTTAACAACTGGATATATCATAAATAATTAAAAATAATTAATAAATAAAAATGGTGCAAAGGCATAGTAGATGAAATTAAAATGCCTCACTATTTTGGTTAAATGTCTTGTGATCTGTGAGATCCAGAATAATCAATTCCATATGCCCCATTGTGTTGTTTATGGTGTGTGGGTGTGTGTGTGTGTGTGTGTGTGGGGGGGGGGGTCGCATAGGATGTCATTTTTAGCAGTATCATTAACATCATTTTCAGATATTATAAGCTATCTAAATCAGTCATTCATGTTATGGAAATCCTGGCCGCCGTTTTGAATTTTCCCCACCTTGAATTTTTAAAACCTTTTGTTTAGATTAAACATACATTATGCAAGAGCTAAATCTGCCTATTGCAGTTCTTTCTTTAGGCCTGAAATGTTTTCTAAATTATTATTTAGACATTAATTAACTGATCCAGGCCATAATCAACTCTCGATGGCATCAGATTTCTCCGATATTAAATAGATTAGAACGGTTCAGCCATATTTTGATTTAATCTAAAAATGGAGGAGCGAGACTTAGCTTCGAACAACCAGTTCAGTGGTTGAAATTATTGCACGTGTCTTGTCAAACCTTCAAAGGCTAATATATTCGCTCGCAATAGAGTAATTTGAATGAAATTGTCAAATTATTCATTTTACATTATCTATTTTCGAACTATTGTAGCAAGAATGGTTAGCTCTTTATCTAAATCTTACGTAATGTATCTTTAATTGTAAGCTCATTGGATAGTACATGTCATATCAAACAATGAAATGACTATTATCTGACATATTGGCCATTTTAGGAAATTTTGTCGCCATTTTGAATTTTCGCCATCTTGGATTTGGGACACTCATATTTGAGATTATTTTTTATGATCAATGTTTCTGATATCTATTCAATCACTTTAGTTGACCAAACAGATAATTTGGCTAAGATGGGTCTGAACACGATTTGTTAGTAAACTTACGAACAGACATGAAAAAAAATCGAAAATGTTGCTTTTTTCAGATAAATCTTTTATTTTAAAACTGATAGTATTGATTAAACAACATATATCATATACCAGTAGATGCAGAATTATATTATGAACATTTAGAAATATTACATATCCATATAGGTGAAACTGTTGAGGAGTTATGAAGACTTCCTCGACTCGCACTATTTCAAATAAGAAAAAAAAAACGGCGGCCATTTTTAAAGATGGCCGCCAAACTGAGATTTGGCAAAGTGACCCGGAAGTCCATCAACCAATTTTGGACACTTTAGACCTAAGGCTAACTGAAAATCATAGTTAAACCAATTCATCAAATTGGTAATGAATATCTGCCTGTCACATGGACTATTAGGGTAACCAGAGATAAGCAATTTGATTGGTTGATGCTTTGGGACACAATAACTTTAGTTCTAATTAAGCGAGAGTGATGAAACTTGGTGCATAGTTTCATTACATCAATACCTCGACCAAGTTCGATAATGAGTATTTTCTGCTCGGGGTAAGCAGAGCGATAAGCAATTTGATTGGCCGAGACTTTGGAACACAATAACTCTCCTTTTTATTGAGCTAGAATGTTCAATCTTGGTGTAGGTGTTTATTAGGTCAATGCCTA